CTGGATTTTTGTTGTTATTCTGTCTCTCACTGTTCAAATAAACCTACCATTAAAATTATAGACTGATCATTTCTTTGTCAGTGGGCAAACGTACAAAATCATCAGGGGATCAAATACTTTTTTCCCTCACTGTAAACTTGGAGACGGTGAGTGGGTGGGTGCGTTGTATCTGCAATTTACCAACTCTCAGGCAAAAGCAATTAGACGGCTAAATAAATATCACTTTCGAAATGAATTCACAAAATGTGCTCCTCATTGGCCACACGAAATTATCTATCACCCCTATGGCTGGCATGTAATAGGGATTCCTCTATCCAGCAGCGGATTGACCAAGGCCTGTACATTATGTATTACTTTATTAAAACGAAACTGGCAGGCCTACCGCTACAATAAAACCACTCGCCACTATCATCGTTAAGTGTGCTTTAGAGTGCACACAACTACGTCTCTGAATGAGCTGGTGGTGTGCAAGGGTTTCTTTTGCATCGAAGCAGACGCTGTCATATCGAGGACGTAGCATTCTGCTGAGCCCCAGAAGGACGAACCATGTTCACAGTTGGCGTAAACAGTTTAGAAGGCCAACAGGCCACTAGACTAATACACATACAGTATATATTTATATTGTGTGCAGATATACAGAACGGAGGTTGATTTATCTATCTAAATGATATTGTATGCTGAGATTTCACGCAATGGCCCTTATTCAGGACAGAGGGGGAGCAGACAGATCAACTGACTTAGGGTTGGAGATTGCACTTGGCACCGTGCAGCCATGAAAACAGTGGAAACAAATGGGAAAAGCTACGAAGAGTGGTGACATCAGAACTGGTAGGTGGATAGGCAAGGGGGTATTGAGGCAGGTAGGCAAAAAGGAGACGTATATGTAGATGAGTAGGTGGATAGGCAGGAAGATTCGTAGATGAATGAGTAGGCATAGCTGTATATGTAAGTACGTGGGTACATATAGTGGCAAGCAGGTGCCGTTGAGTTTGCTGTTCGCAGTGACATCACAGTTAAATTTCGATTTAAAGCTTTCGTGACTGCAGGGATTCATCTTCTTGGTTCTTTCGGTAAAGTCACGTAGAATTGAAATAAGATAATAAAAATAAAACATAATAAAATAAAAATTCTCACGACGTTTCGGCCACAACACAAGTAGCCTTGCTCAGGTTAAGAGACAGAACTGTCGGGAAGACAGCGCTTCAGTGAACACTGCTAAGCTTGGCAGCGTCTTTTAAGCTGGGTGGGAGGAGCAGAGCGCCTTGACGAAGGAGTTTACATATCAACAGAATAATTTAGCATTGAAATAGCTGTGTTAATGTGTTGGATTAGCATGATGTTAAAGTCAGAAATTAGCATGTAACTGGGGGATTAGCATAATGTTAGTGTGAGGGATTAGCATGTAACTATGTCGGAAAAAGTGGCGGTTTCTTTTTTCTTTTCAACGTTAGCACCACGGAAAGCGACGAGCTTTGTTCAGATGGACGAGTCCATCTATGCTCGGAATGGCTTAAAAGACGCTGTGTTCACTGAAGCGCTGTCTTCCCGACAGTTCTGTCTCTTCACCTGAGGAAGGCTACTTGTGTTGTGGCCGAAACGTCGTGAGAATTTTTATTTTATTATTTTTTATTTTTATTATCTTATTTCAATTCTACATGACTTTACCGAAAGAACCAAGAAGACATCACAGTTGCTCTTCGCACGGTGATTCTGTGTCGTCGCATTGCCACGGGCACTCTCGATGCTTAGCTCGTGAATGCATGCACGCATTGCAGAGTCTACACGAAGTACCCATCCATGGTTACTTTTAGAAGTTAATAAACAGGAACTAAGTTATACACACACTGACAAAGCATCACAGCAAGTGCGCCAACATCTTACAGAACAACTAAAGCAATGTAATTTCGGAAGGTAGGGAGGTAAAGTCAATCAGAAGGTTGGTGATACGGTGGGTAGGCAGGTAGGCATGTTGGTAGGCAGGTAGATTGAATGGTACGGGGACACATAGCTAGATAAGTGGGTAAGTAGGTTGGCAGGTGAGTAAGTAGGTAAGCAGGTTGGTAGATCAGTAGACACGTGGATAAGTAACTGGGTAGGTAGTAGGAATCTAGAGTGGTAGATTGTGTGCAGGTATGTTGGTAGGTAAGTGGGATTGGTTGATTAATGAGTAGATTGATTGGTATGTAAGGAGATACGTGGATTGGTAGGTTGGTAAATCGATGCGTAGATATGTGGGTTAGTAGGTTGTCAGATGAGTGGGATGGTGGGATAGGCAGACAGGCAGGTAGGCAGGCAGGTAGGTAGGCTATGTCCAAGCTGGTGGGAGCGAATTTACACAACACGTCTCATGTTGGAAATGAGTCGGGGGGCGAAGACAAACACAGGCCGCAGAGATCATCGAACGCCGACGATCGCCACTCTGCGACCAAGGCAAGCTCCAACCAGAAAGGGCTAGAACCCTGATATTTGGCATAGGCATCGTGCAGACGATGCTTTACAGTCAAACAAATCCAGCGACGAAATGTTTCGAATTTGGAGCCAGCAAAGATGTCGGGCAGGGGGTAGATTGTTTCACTCCGACGGCAAGCGAAGCCTACAGCCCTACGCTGATTTGAGTCTTGCGCTCAACACTTACGAACATCGCGAACTGAAACAAGAACAAAATGTCTCTCAAACCTCTGACGATATTTAATAATAAAAAAGGAATTATTACGAAACCCATTGGCCCGACGGCAGCACTAACACCCAATGTTATACCCGTGCGTGTGTATAAATACAATACCATTGGTGCTATTCTGTGGTCATATTTGAAACGATGGACCGTTCGCTTTCAGGGGATGCATTGTTTCAGCGGCCTCCGGTCAAAACAAGCAAAACCTGTTAACCGCCGTCGACATGTAGCGTCTCATCAACAGCGTCAGGCTTGCTTGAATCAACAATGCTGGTAAACTGCCAGGTTGTTCCAGGCGATTACCCCTCTTATGTAAGACGAGCTTTACTACCCGGCTTCGCCCGGGACTTGGATTCACGACGCCCGGCCGCCTTTGTCCCCCCAGTGGCGATGTTCACACACCACACCAGTTACTAGTTTGAGGCTGAGTCCACCGAGGGGAGGCCCAGGACCAGTTCAAATAATCGTCACCGGCGGTGGTCGTGAGCGGGAATTCGAACTCGGGTCGCCGGGTTCGTAGCGCGGCGCGCTAAGCACTACACTACAACGCGTTACACTTCCACGTGTGCGGGTCACATGACAGATGTGACGTCACAGCTCACTTGCCGTGCAAAACAAATATGCATTATTGAGCTCCCCCCCCCCCAAACACAAAAAAGTGTATTTTTATAATTTTTGCATGGTGTACAGTTTGGAAAGTACCCACATGGCAAATTTCAAGTTTGTTGCATAAACATTTCGAACAGACACACATAATCACAACTTATATATATGGAGATGTGTTCTGGTTCGACATACAGTATAATGCAATACATAGCACAAATCACCGTCCACTGTGGTGCTATGAAAACAGTGGAAACTTGCGCAAAGCTATGACCAGCGTTTGCATCCGAACAGGTAGGTGGATATTTTGATTTAAAGCTTTCGTGACTGCAGTAATTCATATTCTTAGCTCTTCCGGTAAAGTCACGTTGAAGGGAAACAATAAAATAATATATATTTATTATTTCTTGTTTCCCTTCAACGTGACTTTACCGAAAGAGCTAAGAATATAGGTAGGTGGATAGTTAATGGGCATTTAGCCAGGTAGGCAACCAGGTAGGCAAGTAAATAAGGAGGCAAATAGGCAGAGGAGTAGGTGGATACGTTAGTTGGCAGATTCTGAGATGAATGCGTAGGCAAAGCCGCATAGGTAGGCGAGCATATGGGCAGATATACTGGTAGGCAGCAGGTAGGTGGCTAAGTATATGACAGTATTTGAAGTTACAAAGTATAAGCTCACCGTCAACAGTGAACCAAGTAATTCGCCAACCGTGGAACGTGACGCTCTACGGCGGCCCCTGACACCCCCCATCATCATCCTATGTGATGGTGATGGGACATTTTTGGCAGTATTAAAAAATGAAACAACAAGAATAGGTTTTACCCTTCCTGGCAATAAAACAGGAGCCGTTAAGATGATCAAGGCGTTAACCACGCGCGGTGCTTGTGGCAAAACGTGCAAACAAATGTGCTCTGAGAATATCATATTTGTGTTGTTGTCTTTGAAACGGATTGGCCTACACCATCGTGCTGTGAAACCCAACACACTTATCGAAAGTGAAGAACACTGGTCCCAGCGGTGTCGCAACTAAATGAGCACCCGTGGCGCAGTTGTCGAAACATTGTAACAAAGGCCTATCAATAGGTGCTTGCTAACAGCACCTGGCAACAAAGGCGATCTTTGTCTCCAGAAATGTATCTACAGGCGGCCCTGGAAATTCCACATTCCCATGACGAGAGCCAGCGAGATTTATAAGACCACCACCGTTGACGTGTTCCTCATTCGCCTATTTTATCGACCACGGTGGGAATGATGATGATGATACTGTCAACCCTTCTAGCAGGAAGAGCCCTAACCTGGAATTCTGGAATTAACTCCGAGATGAACTCTTGAAGCCTCTTACAAGCCTCCTTTTTGTGCGTTTAATTTGCCGTCCTTCGCCCGCACCTCCAAGCAGCATGGTTTTGGCTACGTACGGTGCGAAATAAGTCCACCACACATACAAAGACCCCCGTATAGCCTTAACAGACTGTAGGGGCAAGTCCTGTTAGCGAGCACCTATGAAGGCCGGAACGGTACACGAGGGGGTGAGTGGCCAGCACCACGCCCGACCGCCGTTGTCTCTCCAGTGGCGATGTTTACACACCGCACCAGGTACTCATTTGAGGCTGAGTCGACCTAGGTGTTGACCGTGAGCGGGAATCGAACCCGAGTCCCCAGGTTCGTAGCGCAGCGCGCTAACCGCTACACCACCGCTCCCCACAACACACACACACAAGGGCTCACCTCGTGAGAAGACACCGTCACAGCCATCGCCGCCAACACCGCTAACATCACCATCCTCCGCAGGAGCGCCGCGTCTCTGGCCATGGTCTCTCTCCCTTCGAGTGACTCTTCCCCCACCTCCAAAGGGAACCTTCTCTCTCGGCGACTCTGGAACTCCGTGGGACTCTTCACGCAGGACTTCGCGGACACCCACCACCACCACCCGGGTGCAGAGTGATTCCTGGGGCACCTCGCCTGCCTCGACCGCGTAGCGACGACGACGATCCGGTGCGGTATTTGAGCTTGAGCCTTTGGTGAGAGGAGATATAAGAGAGTACACGGGGGAACCTGCGCTGGAGGGAGGAGCGAGCCAAGTGAGGCGCGGGGAGAGTTTTGGGGGCGCTAAAAGGCGCGACCCGCGACGCCCTGGGGCTAGGGCGCGGTGCGGGGCTCTGGGAGGGAGGAGGGAGGGAGGCAAAAGACGGAGGGACGGAATTGACGAGTTCGAGAGGGAGGGGAGGATAAGGAGTGGTGGTGGGTTTGGTGGATGCAAGAGAGAGGTGAGGGATGGAGAGGGGGGGTTAAACTGCGCTAGGAACCCACGGGGCTAGAGACTCCAGGCACCGGGGTACGAAGAGGGGACATCACAACAGCATCCCTCGCACCGTAGCCCGTGCCAATCAATGATGGTGATAACGATTGGTGAGGATAAGGAGGAGGTGGCAATGGCGAGGGCGGTGGGTGAGTTAGTTAGCAGGTAACTCTACCGCATATCCATCATCACCACCACCACCACCAACAACAACCACCACCACCCCGCGCCCGCCTGGGTGGAGTCCGTGCGTCAATTCAACCGTCACTCATCACACAGCAACCTCACACGGGAGACGACTCTGTCTGCCCTAACAAAAAAATAAACTCTCTGTCTCTCAAGAGAGATACTTCCGACAGCTGGGGACTCGGGTGCATCAACCACTCAACAGCCCTGCCCCTGCGCATCCCCATGGCAGCGCGGCCACCACACAGCCCGGGGGATTGAACCAGGTCCGGCCGGACCTCGCCTGTTGGTTTGTCACAGCACAGCTATCGAGTGTGCAGGCGGTGCAGCTCCGCGTGGGGTCACGGGCGGGAAGGGCGGGGGAGGGGGATTGGACAGGGGGAGAACATTTAAATCCTCATTCCTTTCACCGGAGTTTATGCTATGCAAACAATGCTACGCTATGTAATAGGAACCCTTACACTCGCAGACACCCATCGACTCATATACCAAAAGACGAACGCAGAGGCCCGTAGACTCACACAGAGACACATACAGTAGTGGATGGACTAAACGCTGTACATAGTGGACGATTAAGCCAGTGAAGAAGTTCGGGGTTTGAATCCCGTGATGAGGGATAACATTGATTCATTATTTACTGCGCAGATAAATAACATCACTCGCGGGGCTTGAATTGGTGATTCGGCTCGACTGGAATGCGCGCGAACAGCAACCCAGCTACACGCACAGCCAATGTCTCGATCAGCTGTTGGGTCACCTGGCAGGCAGCACGTGTCGATCATCATCAGTAGCCATACTCAATCCACTGCTGGATGAAGGCATCCACAAGTCACCGTCATCCTTCACGGTCTCGCGATGCAAAAACGGTCCCGCGAAGGACCCAAGTGCTAAATGTCAGATCTGAGTCCATGTGATAATGTCAGATCTGAATCCATGTGATGAATATCAGATCTGAGTCCATGTGAAGAAAATCAGATTTGTGTCCATGTGATAAATATCAGATCTGAGTACATATGCTGAATATTAGATCTGAGTCCATGTGATGAATATCAGATGTGAGTCCATGTGATAAATGCCAGGTGAGTACATATGCTGAATATCAGATCTGTGTCCATGTGATGAATATCAGATCTGAGTCCTTGTGATAAATATCAGATGTGAGTACATATGCTGAATATCAGATCTGTGTCCATGTGATGAATATCCGATCTGAGTATATGTGATAAATATCAAATGTGAGTACATATGCTGAATATCAGATCTGTGTCCATATGCTGAATATCAGCTCTGAGTCCATGTGATAAATATCAGATCTGAGTCCATGTGATAAATATCAGATGTGAGTACATATGCTGAATATCAGATCTGAGTACATGTGATAAATATCAGATCTGAGTCCATGTGATACATATCAGATGTGAGTACATATGCTGAATATCAGATCTGTGTCCATGTGATAAATATCAGATCTGAGTACATGTGATGAATATCAGATGTGAGTCCATGTGCTGAATATCACACCTGAGGCGATGCCCTCATCCTAAGATCTAGACTCGTGGGATTGGCATCACTGCGGGGCCCACCGACGAAGCACGGATTTGTTTGTCTCGCTGCATGAAGCGAGGCCTCTGTTAGAGACGGGGGCCTCGGCCCGTCTCGCAGAACCGGTTTTGCGGGCGGTAAAGTGAAGAGCTCTCGCATCTTCTTGGAGACCGCGGACTGCGCGTGACTCACTCGCCCCGGGTGCAGGAGGGGCGGATGACACGGCCCCCACCCCACGCCTGTCCCTATATGGATGGGGTGACATCGAACCCTGGGAACCTGGTAAGCTGGGTTCGTGTCCACTCTGAGTCCGAGTTCACGGGGAACCTGGGCACGAGGAGATTCGTGGTTGGACCCGTGAACAAGCCTCGAGGCACCCGCGTGGCTGGTGACGCACATGCACCTGTTTACGACTGAACTCAACATTCAGGTTTCAAGTTTATTTGTGTAACCAGGCGAGGACTCACGGGTACCAGGATGAGTCCAAGTTGCGAGAGTGACCTGGGTCACCAACATTACAAAAGCAAAAAAAACAAAATAAATAAAGTGCAGCAATTAAATACTGTAACAGCATTATTTCTTAAATCGCCAAGCGAGCTTACGTATATAATGCGTCGTCACTATCAGCCATGGTCAGTCCACCGATGGATGAAAGCCTGCCGAAGCCGCCAGAAACTCGCGATGCTGCGATGCAATAATCCATGATCCATCCAAGCACCTGCATACGGACTAATTTCATCGCTCCATCTCCCCGGCGGACAACCTATCGGATGCATTACATACATATCTCGATGCATTTAAGAGGATGGGTAAAATACATAGACCTTACAAATTACTGAAGGAAGTATAATTACATTAACCGTATCTCGTGTAATGCATATACAATCACCAATGACTTTGATTTTCGTAATTTACATAACAATTTCGAATTACTAATGCAATTAATTTACATGTAATTTAAATAACGTGTCATTTAAGTAGTGCCCATCCACACCAGGGATGTTGCGATTGCGAATATTAAACATATGTGGCTGGTCATCGAGTGCGCATATCGTGAACAGCCTTTTCTCTACTGCTGGATGAGAGCCTACCTCACTCCGTGCTGGTCCTCGGGGGCTGTGGCGGGGGGGTATTTAACCATAATTCACCACGCTGGTCAGAGCGGGTTGGCAAAGGTGGGTAGCATCGACGTGGGAGCATTGAAACACAGCCCAGCAGAGGATGTTGCTACACCGCCCTTTGCTGGTTCACAAGTTGGCTCCGCAACCTATAGCACCTGTTATGCACGGTGGTCTCCTGACCCAGCACTATCCAGGGTTAAAACCCCGATTAGCGTGCTGATGATGTCAGCCTTGTTCCGGGGCATGGTTCGTAGCCGGGTGTGTGATGTGAATCTTAAGAGTGTTGTAGAAAGGCCATCACTGAGATGTGGCACACATACCCATTGGTGAGTCTCTGCTCATAACGAGACAATCGTAAAACTAAATTTTGGGGTACTCAAGAATTACGACCAAGAGCAGTAAATGGTTTCACTCAGGGCAAGGTCAGTCTGAAGTTCTACATTTGCGTTGGGTCTCGCGCTAAACCCTTACAAATATTCGGGTCTCATAATCAGTGAACCAATTCGTCTCCAGTGGAGTGTGCCGCGAAAGTCAAACGAAAGTCAACAACGCCTGCTGCTTCATCCACTTGCGCAACTAGAGACACATCTCGCACGCTCCTCATGGATTGAATGCGCCGGTACACACACACGCCCTGATGGGCTGGTGGGCTACCCACACACCTGCTGGGCTACACACAGCTTGAGGATTACACACCTGGTGGACTACACACACCCCTGGTGGATTACACACCTGGTGGACTACACACACCCCTGGTGGATTACACACCTGGTGGGCTACACACACCCCTGATAGATTACACACCTGGTGGACTACACACACCCTTGATGGATTACACACCTGGTGGGCTACACACACCCCTGGTGGATTACACACATGGTGGGCTACACACACCCCTGATGGATTACACACCTGGTGGACTACACACACCCTTGATGGATTACACACCTGGTGGACTACACACCCTTGATGGATTACACACCTGGTGGACTACACACCCTTGATGGATTACACACCTGGTGGACTACACACACCCTTGGTGGATTACACACCTGGTGGGCTACACACAGCTTGTGGATTACACATCTGGTGGGCTACACACACCCCTGGTGGATTACACACCTGGTGGGCTACACACACCCCTGATGGATTACACACCTGGTGGACTACACACACCCTTGATGGATTACACACCTGGTGGATTACACACACCCTTGATGGATTAGACACCTGGTGGACTACACACACCCTTGATGGATTACACACCTGGTGGGCTACACACAGCTTGAGGATTACACACCTGGTGGACTACACACACCCTTGGTGGATTACACACCTGGTGGACTACACACAGCTTGTGGATTACACACCTGGTGGACTACACACACCCTTGATGGATTACACACCTGGTGGGCTACACACAGCTTGAGGATTACACACCTGGTGGACTACACACAGCTTGTGGATTACACACCTGGTGGACTACACACACCCTTGATGGATTACACACCTGGTGGGCTACACACAGCTTGAGGATTACACACCTGGTGGACTACACACACCCTTGGTGGATTACACACCTGGTGGACTACACACCCTTGATGGATTACACACCTGGTGGGCTACACACAGCTTGAGGATTACACACCTGGTGGACTACACACACCCTTGGTGGATTACACACCTGGTGGACTACACACACCCTTGATGGATTACACACCTGGTGGGCTACACACACCCTTGATGGATTACACACCTGGTGGACTACACACAGCTTGTGGATTACACACCTGGTGGACTACACACACCCTTGATGGATTACACACCTGGTGGGCTACAAACAGCTTGAGGATCACACAGCTTGTGGATTACACACCTGGTGGACTACACACACCCTTGATGGATTACACACCTGGTGGACTACACGCACCCGTGATAGATTACACACCTGGTGGACTACACACACCCTTGATGGATTACACACCTGGTGGGCAACACACAGCTTGTGGATTACACACCTGGTGGGCTACACACACCCTTGGTGGATTACACACCGGGTGGACTACACACACCCTTGATAGATTACACACCTGGTGGACTACACGCACCCTTGATGGATTACACACCTGGTGGGCTACACACAGCTTGAGGATTACACACCTGGTGGACTACACACAGCTTGTGGATTACACACCTGGTGGACTACACACACCCTTGATGGATTACACACCTGGTGGGCTACACACAGCTTGAGGATTACACACCTGGTGGACTACACACACCCTTGGTGGATTACACACCTGGTGGGCTACACACACCCTTGATAGATTACACACCTGATGGACTACACACCTGGTGGACTACACACACCCCTGATGGATTACACACCTGGTGGGCTACACACACCCTTGATGGATTACACACCTGGTTGGATACATACAGCTTCAGGATTACACACCTGGTTGGGTAGAGAGCTTGAGAATTACACACGGACACTCACTGGGCGTGGTGCTACTGGCAGAAGTCATTGTGGTTTAGGTCGCGCCCGTTGAGAAGAGGGCGTCTCCGCGTCTCGGTGTTTCTGTATTTCAAACGTGATTATTAATATCATGACAACTAAGCAATCATGGGGGCATGACAAAAACAGTCTCCTCCGCCTCTAGAATGTATACGCAGACGCTTCGTTCCCATATTTTGGATGTGTGGCTGACGGGATGTGTACATTTGATATGTATTTTTTACATCCCAGCGGCCACACGGCCTTCTGTAAGTCCATCCGTTCAGCAGCATTGGTTTAACACAAGCAGACCCTGGACCAGTTTCGACACCCATTGTCTAATCGGCTATAGATTTCCACACGATAAGTCACATCGTTGAGCTATGATTTGTGGCCAGGACGCTTCTGAAAAATAATAGCTGTGGGCTTTACGTGGTAAAAGAAAAAAGTGTAGTTCATTTATTTATTTTTTAGGGATTTGCTTACGTTCTCTATACTTTGCACTCCGATCGTTTTTTTGTATTGATTGTTTTTGTAAGTTTCTGATACGCCCCGACTGGACATCTGTGAAAAAGCGCTTCACAGCTTAACGGATTTCTCCAGGATAAATTAACATTCTGATTTAACCAATGTTGACGAACTGCCTTACTGTTTCGAGGCAGTGAACCATTCCGTGGTACTGTCGATCTCACATGGCCAGCGTTTTTTTTGTTCGCGGGCGACGGTGGCTATGCACGCCTGTAACCCAACACCGTGGTGGAGAGAGTTGGGTGGATCACACAAATGTTATGAAACAACCCTCCCAGGAAGGCGTCAGTGAGCCGTAACTCTGCCTCGCCAGAAGACGCGCGGGACAGCAAGCGTGCACTCCGCCCCGTTCCATCTGTACGGAGTCGAGTGTTGTTCCCCTTCGCAGGCGTGGGCTTTGCTCCGGGATCTCCGGGTTTTCCCTCCCGCGCGTACACAACACACACTCGCTTGGGTGACAACGTCTGAACACACGAAAACGTTTTGGATTAGCCATGTGTTTGTTGTTGTACAGAGTTAGACGGATAACTTTAATCTAAATTGTCTTATGGTTGTTATTGTTTGACTTGCATCCCACTGGGATTTTTGCACACAGCGTTGATATGCGGTGCTTTTTTATGGAAGACTTTGCTGTTTTTTCCTGGATTTTTCTGTTGCGCGTAGACACTTTAAGATGTTTTCCTGTTCATGTTTTTGTTTGTTGCGGTTGCACCCGAGTCAAGAGCCGAACGGCTTACAGGGCTCTTCGCCACGTGGCTGATGTTTCCTTCACCCCCCCTCCGTCTGTGCTTCGTCGTCTCTCTACGAGAGCGAACGAGTGCCCCGTACGGTACGGTGGCGACGGCGGCGCGTGACAAAGTGACCACTTTGTTCTCTCGACTGACCTCAAACTAAATTGTTGATACTCATTTTACCGACGCCCGAAGGATGATACTCATTTCACCGACGCCCGAGGGATTGCGCGCACATACACACGAGCAGTTCAAACAAAGACAAACAAACACCCCCGTATAGCCTAAACAGACTGCTGGGGCAAGTGCTGTTAGCGAGCACCTATGAAGGCCAGAACGGCACACGAGGGGGTGGGTGGCCAGCACCACGCCTTTGTCTCCGCAGTGGCGATGCTTTCACGCACCGCACCAGGTACTGATTTGAGGCTGAGTCGACCTAGGGTGAGGCCCAGGACCGGATAATCGTCGCTGTGTGTTGGCCGTGAACGGGAATCGAACTCGGGTGGCCAGGTTCGTATCGTAGTGCGCTAACCACTACACCACCGCTCCCCACACACATACATATATACCTTTGTGTATATATATACACCTACACACATCTATACACATTCCCAGCCACGGCTGACCTCAGTAGCTCCCCCCCCCCCACTGCCCCCCGGCGGAAGACACGGCGTGCGAAGGCCTTCATCCAGCAGCGGATTGATCGTGGCTGTTGCTGATACATTTGACTGCATAGTGAATGCACCGACACAACAGGCGCGCCTAGCCCAGGAATCCTTGTGCAGTATTCGCATGGTTACAGCTCAAGCCTTTGGGTGGTGACAATTACGCCGTCATGCTGTCGGAAATGTGATCTCATCTGATCGGATGAACTTAATCTCAGATTCCAGCGCAGGGCTCCGTAGTGGGGTTATTTTGTGGGGGGGTGGAGGTAGGGGTGGAAGTGGCTGAGCGCATCCAAGCGCTATGCGGGCCCATACCTGCTTAGCTTCTAACGAGATTGTACGCATTGCGGGCTTATTTGGTCTTCGGCTGTGTGGATATTGATGAACTATAAGCGATGTATGTACATCTAACTTTATATAGATGTATATAGCGCCTTAGTCCAAGTCGCTTTGCAATAATTATAGCGTTGTGCATAGGATAGTGGTTGAAATAGAGAGTGGTGGTTATTAAAAGTGTAGTTATGGTGACAGGAGAGATGGGAATGGTTAAGTAGGGGTTGGGGTAGTGATAGGGGTTGGGGTAGTGAAAGGGTTTGGGGTAGTGATATGGGTTGGGGTTGTGATAGGGGTAGTGATAGGGTTTGGGGTAGGCCTGATCGTTGCTGGGAGGCTGAGGCAAGGAGTAGCAGTAGGATGGGCAAGGGAGAAGAGATGGGCTTTAAGGGTTTCTGTATTTCAAACGTAGATCACGTACACAGGTAGTCAATCAGAATGTAGGACACTCGTCCTGTTTGCGAGCGCCCGAGGCGAGCAAGGTGTGCTGTAAGCGAACACCACGCGCGGCCGCCGTTGCCTTCCCAGCGCTAATGTTTACATCCTGCACTGGCCATGACTTATCCACTGCTGGATGGCCTCCCTAAAGCGTCACAACCTCCCAGGGCCTCGCAACGCCACAATCCACCTAGCTTCTGCAAACGAGCAAGATTTCATCGTTCGATCTCCCAGTAAGTTAAAGTTCTCTTAAGGGTGCGTTCTCCCTTGGCGATATCTCCCAACTGTAATGAAGTCTCGACCACCTCTCCTCGTGACACGTCTTGCCCAAGCCTCACGTCGTCTAACACTGCATTCATTTCGTATACAAAGGAGCAAAGTGGGTGTTCACGCAGCCAGCTCGCGTCACTGCCAAGTTGCAAATCCCGGGTTCTAATTGCCCACATGGTTTGGAATTGGCCGACCAATCTCTAATAGTGAATAAGCATTAGGACAACCGAGTGACCCTTCCTTTAACCGTGACGTCGACATTGACCTTACAGAGCCACCAACAGTCAAGACGCCGCCAAAAATTATTAGTCGGGGTGACCTCATACCGGCGACTGGCAAAAGCCTCGAAATTCAAAGCCCTCGAAATTCAAAGCCCTCGGACAGATCGATTTCCCACCGCAACTATACAAACACAGGCTGCTCGAATTATCAGCCTATAGCTGTCCTACCGAGCTAATTTAGCGTGATTTGCACGACTCCATTCATGCGCACATTACTGACATCACCAAATACTTTGTGCGGATATGGGGGTGTGGGCAAGCGCGCTCCAAACCTCTTGACGAATTTCCATGGGGCGATGTCACTCGCCGAGGTGCGATTGTATAAACTTGCAAATGTATAAATAGAAAACAGACAAGGCCATGGGAGCCTGAAGCAGGGAAGGAAGACACCTCCAGTGCCGTCAGCCCACTCCGCAAGGCTGCCGAGAGCAACGCGTTGTGCGTGTCGGAAGTGCCGTGTGTTTATAGGTGGTGCACATCTCAGTCATCTTAACCCACACACCTGGAACCATACGGACAGTTTGAGCACGTCTTCTGCTACCCATGGCCTAAATTCTGTTTCGTATACAAGCAGACTCTCTGGGGGTAATTAACGAGTGAACGCCTTTAATTGGGACACGGGCCTCTGCAGTAGCCATCCTCACATGCATCTGTACAACAGGGTTCGCCTTATAATTACATACAATCAATAAAGGACCTCATTGAACCTGCCAGCTTCCTTGCACACAAACAATAAAAAGAGAGGTTAAACGAGACAAACAAAATGTCCCTCTTTCTCAACAGCACACGATGCGCCCCCCCCCCCCTCCTCAAGGGTCACATTTCCAAGCACGAAACGGCAAACAGAAAATACAAAAGTGCAAAAATTTCCAGACGTGAATACGAGAAAAAGGATGGCTTTTTTGTACTTCCGGTGGCCGTTTTCGGCATTCAAAAAAATGTCTCCCGACTGTCTGTGAAAGAAACCATGCGAGACTAATAAAGCGATTGGAGATTGAAACAAGCTTGCAGTCCCCCCTCTGTCTGCGCGTGTCCATCCATCCGCATGTCCCTCCATCTGTCAGCCAGCACAGCACAGTCTGCATCCCCCTTTCAAACAATAAAATAACAAGCTGGTGTGTCCTCTTTAATTAAAGAATTAAGCTCACAGGGAAAGTCAGCCGCCGCGGTGGGGGGTGGGGGCAGTGCGTAGTGTGGGCGGGGGTAACAAACAAGATCGACGCAACCAGAGTCCTGCGAGAAAAACCTCCTGCCAAGAAGCTCCTCCACATTTCCAATGCCAAGTCTTTAAGTGCTCAACAACAACAAAAAAGCAAACCGACGACGTAATTAAACTCGGTTACATCTCTCTCCCTCCCTCCCTCCCGCCACCTCGCAATGAGAAGTCACCTCCCCCCACCCCCACCCCGTGACGAAGCATTCGTCAGACACGCCCCGGAGGACACCACGCGGGGTGACCGAAGCAAGTCTTGATCGACGTCCGGGACTCCTCGCCCACGAAGCCTGCAGCCCTCGTGAGCCCCTGAATCTGGGGGTCGCTTGTCTCAAACTGCCGATGGCGGAGGGGGGCGGGGCAGAAAGGAAGGGTGGGGGGCTTGTACGGGGGGGGGGGGGGAGGCGAGCGCCAGCTATCGCAGCCGCATCGCAGACTTGCGCCTGCGCCCCCCACGGGGCGGCTGCGAACCGCACGCCTGGCTCCTGTTGCCGGAATTCGCAAATTAAAAAAAACGCCGTCACGACCACCGTGGAAGGAGTCGCGCGGGTCGAGGGTCGTCGGGGCTGTCCAACGGGGTCAGGGCTTGGCCGCCGGTTTGCCGTCGCTGCTGCCCTGGAGGTCGGACGACGGGTCACCGCCCTCGTGGAATTCTCCCTGCTTGTACTGCCACAGGCCCAGCACGCCGTCCCACTGCACATGCACAAGACAAGGATCCCCCGTATAGCCTTCAACATACTTTTCAAGCAAGCGCTGTTAGAGACCACTTATGAAGGCCGGCACAGTACACCAAGGGGTGGGTTGCCAATATCACTCCCAAATGCCTTTATCTCCCCAGAGGTGATGTTCACACATAGCACCAGGTATTGATTTGAGGCCAAGTCAACCTTGGGGAGGCCCAGGACCGTTTAGGATAATCGACACTGCTGTTGGGCGTGAGTGGGAATCAAACTCGGGTCACTGGGTTTTTAGCGAAGCACATTAATCACTACGCTCAGGCTCCCCATATGCACAAGTACACGCATACACACATTTACACACACAAGGTGAGACATGTTGCTAGAAGAGATGATGTATGGCGGTCGAGAATAATTACAGTGGCAGCCAGAATGTCAGCCAAAAGAATGGAGAGAACACGCCCGATACGCTGAATTCAGCTCATGTGCAGGAGCAAGACACGCTGTTGCATCGCATGAGTGGCATTCATCCAGTAGTGTAATGATCACGGCTGATAATGTAATGTATTCCCTTAACTCCTGCAGCAACTGGAGAGACTGCATTCACTATGACGGGGAAATAACTATTGACGTTGGAAGCAAAGGTGTAAACCCAAAATCTTGATAATTCATTAAATCATTATATGCCTACTAACACTGTGGGTAGAAACATGGCAGTGGAACAAAATCCATTGTAGTGGTCGCCTGTCGTCCTACGTTTATGCTCCCAGCTTTGACCATCCCGCACTGACCAAAAATGGGGAAGTGTTGTCAGATATCCCCGACGACCGCACGGCACGAGGGGGGGGGCCCTTACTCAGCGGTGGCCTGACAAACGCACACAACGAATGGTCAAGATCACTTCATTCCTTGACATTATAAGAGGAATTTTAAAGCAGAATTCAGCTCGAGAAGCTAACGCAGCCGAGGTACCACTTCTGCTTCACGGCGACCAGGACCCCACCCCCTTCCCCCCCTTGCCAGCTTCGAGCCCGATCCATCCATCTCGTGAATCCGACCACCCTGCTTTGTCGAAATCTCGCGCACCAGACGCGTGCATCACAACCGCAAGCACAAGGGCGTGCACCCCATAGAGTCCGACACCCCGGGGCAGTGCTCGTTACGCACACGGGCCAAACCCCAGCACGGCGCACGCGCAGACAGAACTGTTGCTATAAATGGAGGTTGCTCCGGGCAAGAAGCAGGCAGAGCGACTCGCAGCGTATCCTGACCACACCCCAACCCACGCCATTAATTCCCTCCAGACCTCCAACCCCTCTTTTGCTACTTAAAATAAAATATCGAACATTTTTATCCCAACTTTGCTATCAGCGTCACATCACAAGACGAGGTATCCATTCGGATCTCTCGCAGAGCAGTGTGACCCTTATGGCAAGACAACGGCCCACGGAAGTGAATACCACAGAACTACTTATGAGATTTCTTCAGGGGGTGCGGTAGAGGTGGGCGTGCGCCGGGTAAAAAAGTGCCTGGGAAACCCCCAAGCCTAGTGCATTTCTGCAGGGCAATCGGCTTAGCCACACACACAATAATAGCATTTACACACACTTTGTGTGACACTATATTGGTAGTGGTGCATAAGCATGAATGACAAAAGCTTGAAGTATTCATCAACAACACTTTGTTTTATCAAGGAAAGCCTATCTGAGTCTTGAGACTTCATCATCAGGAGAATTCTACATTTAGGATGTTTGGCCAAGTCCACTGTAAGCGGTGGGTTTACGGACGGCAGAAAATCTAAACCAGGCCTGGAATTACCTCCACATCCCCCACTGCCATGTGATGTCCTGTCGTCGTTCGGTCTCACAACTCAACTCAAGAAACGATTACTTCTGTGTCTGGCTTGTACCGCCATATTCGACCCACTAGCCGAATTTGAAGATTTGCATACATAGTGCACGGAATTTTCATTCGTCCTTAAAAGATGATTTTTTTTCACATACTGCTCTATACATGTATCCAGATTGAAAGAACTGTTTTTAATCGATGAACTGATGTATGCTTACGAGGGGACAGCACTCACAAACCCAACCGCTGTGGTGCCGTCTCCTACCCCACCCCCTCGCAGCCCAGTGGGTTTGGGAGTTTCACAGATCTCTGTGTGATCCACCAACCTTGACTCACGGACGTGCGCCAACACCAAGAAAGGGCACCCTAAGGTGGACGCAGCCACTGTGAAGGAGGGGCTCGAGACTGGGTTCGACGCAGCTGCTTGATTAAAATGAGTCGTACAGCCCATTGACGCTCAGAGTGTGTATCTGGCATGGTGCGGCTAGAAGGTGTGGCCGACTGGTGCGGTGAAGTACGTGTAGCCAGATGGTGTCACCAGGCTGTGCTGTGAACAGGGTGGATTGGCCAGTGGTGTGATTCATCAGCTGGGATAGTCAGGTGTCACTGGGCAGTGTGCATGAGATCGCATCTCCTGATTTTGTCTGGTGGGTCTGGTGTGGCCCAGTCTGGTGAATAGATAGTATTGCTTGTACTGGTGCAGCCGTTTGAGTGTGTTTGCGCCGATATGGCCGGTGGTGTGGCCTGTAAAGGTTTGGCTGGTAAAGTTCGACTTGTCAGGTGTCACCGGGCAATGTGTCTGAGATGGTGTGGCCTCATTTTGTGTGGCTGGTGTGGTGTGTGTCCTTGTGTTGCGGATAGATAGTATTAATTGTAGAGGTGCGGTTGGTGGGAGTGCAACCATTCTGGCAGTGCCGGTGCGGTTGGCCTCACCGACGTACTGACGATCTTGCCGTCGTACGGGTGCCAGTGTACGTCGCGCACGCACGCGCGGTGCCCGTTGAGCCGCGCCACCACCTTCCCCGACAGCACCTCGTAGACTACACGCAGGCACAGACACGCCAAGTGCACACAGATGAGTGTGCACACACACACCCAATTCACTGTTCCAAGAGACCTGGAACACAAAGTTACACGAGGAGGGTATGCTTTGTCCATTTGTAATTAAATTCATTTTGGATTTTGCAGTGGCATGGGGTGAACTGAAAAAAACTGTGAAGATAAAAATATATATAATTTACAGCCAGTTGTTAATCCACTCATAGAATTAACATCTTGCCACACTATAGATCATGGGGGTTGTTTGATCATACTGGTCAGTACAGACTGGTGAAGTGGAAGGTCCAGGACCGGTTCAAATATAACTTGCCACTGACGGGCCCAAATCGAACTCAGGTCGTCAGGTTCATGATGCAGTGCGTTAACCACTGCGCCACCACTCCCCCCAAAAAGATATCACAGGGTCTTTAACTTTTGCACTTTCATATCGGACATCTCACTTTGTTAATTTACTCTTAAAATTACTTACGTGGCAAACATATTTCTCTGAAGCAGAACGCAATTATACTCTTAGCATTGTCAAATGATGAAATGTTTAATTCAGTGACAATTTAAAGCGGTAGCATTCTTACATGCTTTCATCGGTGACCAGGCTGAGACCGTGACTAATGTTGGCCTCAGGCCAGTCATTGTTTGTCATGGAGATTTCTATTTTCCACGTTAAATCAACTCGGTACAACCATCGCAGTGGTCTCACCGGGCCACCAAGGCAATTTGTCTGCTCCTTAGATCCATTATTATTAGTGCTATTTATAGGAAGTTTTTTTTCCAGAGTATTGTTTATTTACCAATTACTGTTTGTTATTTCTTTTATATATATCAATGAAGCATATGTTCATTTTTTTTTTACTTTTTTACACCGATTAATGAGACCAGCCAGATATAATTGGTCTAATAACTACAACTGAAGCATGTGCGTCAGTCTGAGCGGACACTTATGTGTGAACACATTCAATCGCCCGCTCGCTCCGCTAATCACTCGTGAACTTAGTTGCCGTGTGACCACGGGCCCACCAGCTCGCCGGCAACCCATCAACCCGTTTGGTCGTTTACCCATCTGATCGCTCACCCGACCGACCCATCTGCTCACTCACCCACCAGCCCACATGCTCAGCCATCCACTCAACTGCTCACCCACCCACTGGCCCACCAGCTCGCCCACCAGTCTGCTCGCTCACTCGCTCACTCACCCACGACCTTGCCGGTGGAGCAGCCCGTGTAGACGTATCGCTGTCCGGTGCTGAACTCCGGAGAGAAGCGGCAGCGGATGAGGGTGTGTAGCACGCCGTGACCGCGGTACGTCATGACCGACGTGTCACCGGGCAGCTTGTGTTTCTTTAGGGCTGCACCACCAACACCAAACAAAGAACCCCCCCCACCCCACCATATAGCCTTAAAAAAGACTGTTGGGGACAAGTGCTGTTAGCGAAGGCCGCCAAGGTACACGAGGTTGTGGGTGGCCAGCACCACGCTGCCTTTGTCTCACGAATGGGCAATGTTTACACATCGCACCAGGTGCAAGCGTGCAAACGCACAGACACAGTACACAGGAGATCGTTGTCTTTGCACGAGTGTGATAATGAGTTTCTTACCACGCTTGGGCACCTGCTGCCAGCGGTAGTCCCAGTTCTGCTGCGTGACCGCCTGCCTTGACGCCTCCAGCCCTTCCTTCGGCGAGAAGCGCCGCACGTCCCACAGCTTAATCGACTGGTCCTTGGAGTTGGAGATCAGGTAACGAGCGTCGCCCTGTCAACAACATACACACACGCGCATCCTATGTATAAATAGACCAGGCTTGGGAACCCTTTTCCTTAGCAAGGGCCGAATAGGATTTTAAAATACCTTTGGCTGGCCACACGTTAATGCAGGTCACCCACTGTAAGGGTCTCTTCCAGTGGCAGCAGTGACCGAGTGGGATATATTTGAAGTGTGTTGTTGCTAAGTCAACAGAAAATAAAAAAATGCCAAACTTGAAAAACATTTTGGAATCCTCAAAGCCGTAAATTTTTCCCAGGGCAGTGACAAAAAACAGATTTAATCCGACGGTTCAGTTTAAGCAGTTGCTGGTGACATCAACTCGCTGCACTTGAGAATCTGGTTAACCAACAGGCGGATGAAACCTGGCCCTGAACCCGTGATCTCAGCAGTGCCGGCTCAGCGTCTCTGACATTGTATCAGGTGGTCGGTCTTACTTCACCCAGTGAGCTCCCCTCCCCCACGCCCAGCATGCTGTCTCTCACCTTCGTGTCGATGAAGGTGACGCCATCGCGGTGTCCGGCTAGCACCCCCACGGGCTGTGGCGAGTCCTCGCGCAGTGTGCGCCGGTCCCACACCTGGGCAACGGGAGGGAGGGGATGGGGGAAGGAGAGGGCAACTCTTGTTCAACACCACCGTAATCGTTCATATTATATGAGAACAACTGGCTTCCCTGGCCGCCTCTGCTTTGACTTACAATGCTTTAAAGCCATCGTATTACGCTCTTGGGTAAGCATGCATGAAGATCGATCGGAAGGAAAGCTTACGGATGAACTGTTGAGATAAAGAGGGACATTGTCTCAACCCCACGAAGAAGGAAGCAAGGTGTTATAGGCCGCTGCCGACATTAGTCGGGAAAGGAAAGTCAGGAAGGCGAGCATTTTATGCTTCTGTAGCTCCCTGAAACACAATCGCAAAACATTGGCCTACATCAGACACCAGCAGTAGCCGGCAACGCTGTAAAAATGAAGGAGAACTGGAACTGATCATTTTAGTTAGAATAAGAAGCTCCAAGTACACGGTGTGAAATGTCGGACAACGTGCCAAACATCACGCGGTGCAACCCGTAAACACGTCGGAGAACTACAAGAGCAGGAACAAGATCGCGAACACGATCGCGAGCGTGGCGCGGCGCCGGCTCCACACCTTGCAGAGGGCGTCGTCGCCACCGGAGAAGAGGATCTGGGAGCTGGCATCGGCAAACGCCACCGTGTTCACGTCGTCTTCGTGAGCATCGATCTGCAAGCGTGCACGTCGACACGGGGAGAGGTCAATCCGCCGCCTTCATCACAGTGCGCGGAGCCCCGCTCTCGCCCACCACAGGTGGAATGATCGTCCTCGTCTGCCGGGCAGCTCGAGCGGTCGCGTGTGCGTGTGCGTGGCCGACAATTCACGCCCCTTGCCCGCTCGCAATGTCGCACCTTGAGCGTGCGCTGGTTCCTCTCGCGGTCGAAGACGTAGAGGCAGCCATCGTTGGCCCTGACGCACACGCACGTATAGGCACACAGACCACGTAAATTCACACTCGCACACACACAAGCATAATAGCCAATGCAAGAGCGCACGTGGGTAAGTATACAAAACGCAAGGACACAGGTACGGGTAGGAACACACCTGTATAAGCACATATGAAAAAAGACTCGTAAACAACACTGCCTCAAAACAGACATATATATAAAAAGGTAACGTTTTGGGCAATGTCCCTTCTCATGTGCTATAAAGAAGGGCCCGTGTCCATATTATTGGCATTATACACATGTGGCGATATGATCCAACAAAAACTATTATTAATAATAACATTGATCACAAATTCCCGTGTGTGAAATCATTAAGTCGTATGTACGCAAGTGAAATGAGGGAGTGAGTCAGTGATGCACACCTCCCTTGTCAACTACGCAACACAAGGTAGTATGGTTAGTGACTTTAAACAATTATACGACTGTGAGTCATTAAAACAAATATATATCGTTAGCATATCCTTGCCGTTGGCAGATCTATTATTTTATTGTTTCCCTTCTATGTGACTTTACCAAAAGAACCAAGAATATAGATCTAAAGCTGTTGTAAATTTTACAGCAGAGACAAAAATGCACAGGTCAATAAACATCCTGATGACATACTGAAAACATTAATAATCGGCGGCCAAATACACAGATTTTTGTGATGTGGTACAGATGAGAGAGTCAGTGAGAGACTGACGCATGTGCAAACATCACGTTTAATAAAATACGAGCACTGGAAAGAAGTCACTTGGCACAAAAACCAACACGACACCCAGGCCCCCTCTACAACTGAACGAGACTGAGCAAAGCCACGAAAGGAATCGACGCCCGGATTAAAAACGACCACAGCTGCTTACGACGCCACAATGTCTAGAATTCAACGTGGCCGGACTTGCCTCGACTCTGTGACGGAGCACTAAGTGGAATTGGCTTCAACAAAACCGTGGCTGAAAATTTTACGACAGGTGAGATTCAAACTTTCTTTGTGTTTCATTTAAGAGATACGTTCTTTATTTCTGCCAATTATAATGTTCCGATTATTTAGTTAGTGTCCTGTAATGAGACGAAGGAATCACCATCTGTAATTCCTGCAAAGAGCACCATGCGCCAGAGGATGAACGTGGAAGGTGACAATCGCGGAACGACTTCTGGAGTAATTTCAGATGGTTTTCAATACAATGGGCACACTGTCCTCTTTATACACTCCGCATTGAGTGTTTGTGACAAATCAATCAGACTGACATTTTTAATTATTCAAGTTGGAACAGTAAGTCTCATAAAGTGAAAAATTTACTTTCATCAATATGCCAGAGATATTTTTTGTACAGTTATTGGTGACCAGGCTGACACCATTAACTTGCTAAACTTGAGATGTGGTTTAATCAATGGGCATTTCAAATCAAGATTAAAAGCCAGGATCTCAGCAGTTCCGGCAGCACAGTGATCTATTAGCCCCAAGTCACACTGTCAGAAACGCGAATATTAATAAAAAGGCCGAAAATACTATCACCTTGGTGATCTTCTCTACGGTTTGTGATGGATACGCCAATACAATCAAGCCACAACATGTGAAGCTGCCCAAGTCTGCAAAATTTGTAGAATTGATGATATTGATGTAGTTTATATTTAGTTCTTTCACATCGGTTTATTGTTTGATAGTTGGGTAGTTGCAGTTCTTTAGCGTCAATATACTAAATGCCTCTGTTGATATGTAAAATCTGACTTTAACATAGCTACTTCCGTGACCAGTTATATGCTAATTCCTCACATTAAGATCATGCTAATCTCCCAGTTACATGCTAATTTCTGACTTTAACATCCTGCTAATCTCTCACATTAACATAGCTACTTCTATGCTAAATTATTCTGTTGATATGTAAACTCCTTTGTCAAGGTGCTCTGCTCCTCCCACCCAGCTTAAAATACGCTGCCCAAGCTTAGCGGTGTTCATTGGAGCGCTGTCTTTCCGACAGTTCTGTTTCTTCACCTGAAGACGGATGCTTGTGTTGTGGCCGAAACGTCGTGACAATTTTATTTTATGTTTTATTTTTATTCTTTTATTATTTCCCTTCTATGTGACTTTACCGAAATAACCAAGAAGACGTGTAGCATTTCTGTAGACGTGGAGCGATCTAACCCCACAGCCAAACAATTTTGTTGTCACAATTTGGTGTCGCGATTCGATTGAAGAATTGATTTCCTGTCACGTTCGCACCATGTCATTTGTATTGACTGTACATTTTTCCCGGCGAGTTTGTACAGTTTTTTTCTCTAGCTCCATTAGCTAAAGTTCAAGGTTCGACGATCATTAGCGCAACTTGTAAAGAATACATTTCGACGAGCACCTCCCGAACCTCTTCGTGTCACGTGGCGCGACTCACCCGCCAAGCACCTCGCGGCTGTCAAGCGACACGGTGAGCGAGAAGACGCAGAATCGCCGCTCGTCTGGGCTGCGGTGGAGAAACACGCGCATTACACTACCGACAGCACGTCCGCTTTGCTTTTCAGCTTTTGTGAAGAGAATAGTACCATAGCCCTAAACCTCTATCCCTAACCCCAAACCTACCTGTGCAATTTTTATCACTTTACAGTTAAGGATGAGAGCAGTTCATATTCTTAGCTCTTTTGGTAAAGTCACGTTGAAGGGAAACAATAAAATAATAAAATATATATAAAACAAATATATAAAGCAATATTGTTTTATATATATTTTATTATTTTATTGTTTCCCTTCAACGTGACTTTACCAAAAGAGCTAAGAATATGAATTACTGAATTAAAATGAGAGCAGTTATGCATTAGCTGTCCCGCCCATCTCTCTTCTTCTGTCCATCTGTCCTTGTGCCCTCCTGCCCGTCCACATTTCATTTCGATCGTCCATTTATATTGCCGTCCGTCCATTTATCTTGCCGTCCGTCCAACCGTTGGCTGCCAGCGGAGGCCATGCCACTGCACTTCCGCCAAAGTCACAAGCGGGCCGAGGCGTTTCCCGGGGCGGTGATGTTGGGTTTGGCGAAATTTTAGCCGAGACTCACTTGAGATCGAGCGCCGTGTGGGTCTCGTGCTCGCCGTAGATGTTGCACACGTGAACTGTGGGGAAGTAGAGGGTGGCGGCGCAAAGAACCGGCGATCACACGCGTACATGCAAGCACGCACCTATCCAGTGAAACGCAGCAACGATAAGACGCTGTCAGAAAATAGTTCAGCCACGGCGGCTAATTACTGTCAATACCATAACCTGCGTATGCAGTGGTTAGCACACTGTTCTATTAACCTGGCAACCTGATTTGCATTACCATGCCACTGGCGTACAGTTTTGTAATTATATGGTCTGAACTCCCCCCTTCACCAATCCCGCACTGATCAATGTGGTGAAGCATGGTCAGATAACCTTCAATGGGTTGGCGATAAAAATGTTTCAAGCCCCATAGCGCCCAATTACTACCTAATTAGTGCCCCATTAGCATCTCATGAGTATCCCGTACCCCGTCAGCATCTTGTGAGTGCCTCTCGAGTTCCCCGTTAGTCCCCCGGACTCACTGTAGTCGGACCAGCTGGAGTAGAGGAAGTGCGTGCCGTCGGGCGTGAAGGCCGTGTCCAGCACGCTCCAGCCGACGTCCCGGGCCTTCACCGTCTTGAACTTCTTGAAGCCACCCTTGCGCGCGTCGAACAGACGCACGTTCTGGTCTGATGGAGCAAGTGCACGCGGATCAGTGATGCATGTACACAGACACATGCGCACACGCTCACATGCAAAATACACGTGCATGGATGCATACATACATATGTACAAAACACAAGCGTGAGTGCATACGACCACATAACAATCGTCATTTTCCACGAAGAGAAGGTAATGTCAACACAATTCTTGTGGTAGGGTCAGTGCACTTCGAGGTATACATAACATGTACGCACACAACATACGCAAACTTTATGTGCAGACCATTCAACACGCATATGCACGCACAAAACAAAGGCACATGCATAAAAGTAGATAACACTCGTTATCACAATGCACGTATGGAGCACACACAAAACATGTATCCAAACAAAACATGCACACACACTTACCCAAAACTAGGAACCCCCACACACTGTCATTTATGACAAATGCATCAAGAGGGAAAAGTGTGGCAGGCTGGTACAAAGCAATACATTTTGCTTTCACCGAATTCACGTATAACAGATGTGCCACCCATCGCTACCTCTCAACTACTTCATTCACCTATCTCCACCATTACATTCATATGTACCGTTGTTAACTCTTTGTAAAGCGCCTTCGTTAAGGCGCTATAGAAAGACCGATACGAAAAAAATATTATTCATAAACAATGAGAAAAAGTTTCAATTTAAACCTATCGTGACTGCAGGGATTCATATTCTTGGTTCTTTCGGTAAAGTCACGTAGAAGGGAAATAATAAAACAATAAAAATAACATATTATAGTCTTGTTTTCCTTCTACGTGACTTTACCGAAAGAACCAAGAATATGAATCCCTGCAGTCACGAAAGCTTTAAATACAAATATAATATATCACGTTTAATATTTTTATTTTTATATTATTATTTACCTTCTACGTGACTTTACCGAAAGAACCAAGAATAGAAAAATTAAAAAAAGCTATAAAAACAGAATAAGAGTGCAGGTTGGATAACCACAAGTTTCAAACATCACGCAAAAACGTGTAAAAAGTACATCTGATTATTGTTGGCATTAGCCAGGCCAATGTGCCCTACAGTGTGGATGTAGGGACTACTGTGCTGACGAGCCCCAATGAGGACTAATCCAGTCCAGTGGCCTTCACTGCATAACTGCTGCTGTCAGTCGGTTATGTTTCCTGCAATTTATTTTGATGGTGAATAGTGTACTGCTTCAGAAACTGCTGATGGTTTTCACATAATGCACAAAGAACGTGTGCTTTTTACAGATTTTTTGCGTTATACTGCAAAAAGGTGCGATTGTGACTATAGGATCACCCTCCCATGCCTTGTATGTCACGCGACACCACCATGCTGCACGTGTAATTGACACGGCCTTCTTTTGGAACCGCAGACTCAAGAATCAGCGATGTGGCTGCACATATAAGTTTGAGTGCTTGACTCATTCCCCACACCGCCAGCCCGCTCACCCACCCTGGCAAGCGGACATGAAGATGGAGCCATCTTGGGAGAACACTCCACAGAACGCTTTCTGGGTGAAGTGCGCCGCCTGTGTCATCTGGTTGGGCAGGAAGCTGAGGGGTAGGCGGAGGGGAGATGGGAGCCAGGAGACAGGGGGCGGTGATGCGAGTCGGGGATAGGGTGGAGAGTTCAGAGGTGTTGGGCGAGCCGCTCAAACGGCATGCGCCACGCGGTTTGTCCGCAAACCGCACGCAGCACGCACATGAACACGTACACTCAACACAGACACACAAAAGCACTGATGTGAACCCCCATTTGTCAAGCCACTTTGGGCGAGGGCCTCCCTCACCCACGTGCGGATCCTGGGGTTTATTTGGCCACCTTTCATCATCATGTTCGTTGGTGCGAGTTGAAGGCAGGGAGCATAGACGTTAGAGCATTGTATAGTACAATAATGGATTTCTGATGCACTGCCCACTGCTGACAACGCAGCAGCCTACGACGCCCATTATATGCACGGTGATTCCCCATCCAAGCACTATCCAGGCTAGGCTTTCTGAGATCTGACGAGATTGGGCATTTTCTGGGTGAATTGGCCATATGCCCATAGTACAATTGCAATGTAATTGTAGAAGACAAAAAAACACGTATAATGCACGGGCGAGACGCAGACACCACACAACGCATATCAGAAACAAGTGCTCGCACGCCCCCTGCCTGTTACGAGTGCCAGACGCCACAAGCTACGTGGATTCAAAAAGTGGTCGCTTCGCTCGAGATCAGTGTTTTCCACCAGTGGCCTGCGACAGTCCTCCAGGTGGTGGAAATGCAGGTTGATCAGAAAATAAAGACAAATTTTATACATTTTGTGTCAGACAATAATATTTTACTCATAATTAATAAATAAAAATGAAGTTAGCTAAATTGCCCTGATTAAACTATCCTAACCCTAAGAGCTATGCCTCCCCTATATACATATATAAAAACCTTATTTCTGCGTTTAACAAAAACATTGTTCCGGTAATATGAATAATTTTGTATTTCTGGTATTTAGAGATAAGTGAATGCGTTATGCCACCAGGGGTGGGGAGCTGGCTGGTCCGCGGGTCAAACAAGTTTGAGAAACACTGCTAGATGAAAGCCATCCATGATGTTGACTCCCTGTCCCTGTTCAGACTTTAATTTTATTTCAACTGCTAAGACCCACTGAGCAAAGCAGCTTTTTTACAAGGACAACTAGTTCAAGTCATCCAGGCTCAAGGCCTTCCTCTTCTCCTCTGCTTATATCTGACTGATCTACCCCCCCCCCCACCCCCCGCTGTCTGTGTCTTTAGAGAATATGCCCACTGTTTTCAAACATTTAGATGCCGTATAAAAATTAATTGTATTGGAACACAAAGCCACCAGATTATAATCGAACTTCAGTGCTCACCATAACCCTATAATATTAATATAATGCACTTCAGTATTCCATGAAAGCCTCAATGAACCTTGACAACTTTTCAAGTCGAAACTGCAACATTTGGATATTTGGACAATCCCAGATGGTCTCTCATCCAAGTACTAACAAGTTCAAGCGGTCACCACGGACATTGGCGCTGATGTCACCGCACCTCGGCCATCGACTCCTTTATTTTGCCAGAACTCGCAACTTTTGGCACAGCTGACATCCGACCTCCAAGGTCGGCTCTTACATTATCAACGCCAGCATCCATAACCGCAGCGTGTGCCAGCGCTAATAATTTCCACACCCTACAGAGAGCCACTCTCCTGACCTGCGTATTATTAACTTGGGCGTAAAGTGCAGACCGGCCCTGCCACATTTTAACTATGGTTATTTCACCAAGGGCCAACTACAAATGCATTACGTATCATATTGCTATTACTGTATGAAAAACAAACACGGCATTGTATCGTATTACCGGCAAAATTCAGCACGCTGCATGAACAATATGATCGTCTCTTAAGACGATCTTGGATGTGAGGTGTAATGTGCTGCCATCGGTTGCAGAGGCAAGGAGAACAGACGCTTCTGGCCACTGGAGTACAGGTGCACGCACAGAATGGTAGGAATTTTTTGACTGGATCGGGTAAGCAATGTGAGGGTTTCTAATAGGATAGTTTTTAAACGTGAGGAGAAAGATGCTCCGACAGCCATTAAGAAGCCCAATCCACCTAGCCGCATTTGATAGATAGATCTTCAGAATTAAATTATGGACAGACAGAAGTACCAACGTTGACATGACGATCAGCAGCGGCAAAGAAGCTTAACTCCTTTATACATATTCTTGGTTCTTTCGGAAAAGTCACGTTGAAGGGAAACAATAAAATAATAAAATATATAAAACAATAAAAATTCTCACGACGTTTCGACTGCAACACATGCAGTCATCATCAGGTGTGAAAACCAACGGCAAGAACATTTGAAAGAAGTGGCGGTTTGTATTTATTTATTTTTAAACGTTAGCACCACGGATAGCGATTTGACAGTTTGTTTAGATGGACGAGTCCATCTATGTTCGGAAAAGAGGAGAGCAACAACGGAGAGGGCGATCAAAATCAGTGACAACGCAGGACAACAGTAAACACGCAAATGGCTTTACACAGATGCCCTCAAGACAGGTACTGACCTCCCCCTGAACCGCAACCTCTGACCCCTGGACCCCTCACCTGGTGGTGATGTGTGAGCACTCCCCCTGGGAGAAGGCACTGCTGCGACACATCCCGCGCTCCCTCTGCCACGACAGAGCAATGGGAAACGCGGTTAACGGCGGCGGTTTACCAGTTAGTAGCAATGATTATCGGTTAGCAGCACAAGTTAGTCTAATTTTATTTAGTTAGTGGCAGTGGTTGCTATGGCTGTAGGTTGTGGCGGTAATCAGCAGTTATTCGGAGTGCTTAGTGGACAGCAGCAGTGGTTTGTGGCAGTTGTTTAGTGGTTGTATTAACAATGTATGTATGTTAGACTACATTGGTGCATGACAACATTAAGCAGTTCGTGGTAATGATAACTTGTTGGATAGCAGGAAGCCGGGTGTGCATGCAGGAGTGGGGGCTGACGTCAATATGGGCTGTTGAGCAGATAGATGGTGATGTGTGAAAGCCAGAGTGCAGAGGCTGGTGTGCGGGCTACTGTGCTGGCCGGAAAAAAGTGTGCAGGCTGCAGTCATGCTCACCTTGTGGAGTAGGTGTGTGAGACCCCTGATTGGACGGCCTCCCAGGCCGCCTGTGGCCAGCAAGATCTGCTGCTGAATCTCACTGCAATCCAGCTCCTTGGTGTCTGGGTTTTGGTCAACTGCAGCCCAAACAAAGAGCAGCAACAAATAGACAGGAGTCAGTGCAGCGCGATCACCAAAACCGGGGCTCTGTAAGAGTCTCAGAACATGAGGTTGAATCTGTGGCCGAAATCCATTTTTTCCTGGATGTGCAGCAGTGCATCTGATGCAGTGAGATGCATGGTGTTGGAAGGACAGGGAGTGAGATGAAAAACTAAACCCATTGCAGGATGACTCAACCCAAACCACATAACACTGCACTTATTTTATACACAAAGTACCCAGGTTATGTGTCTTGGGCAGTCCAACGGGAGGTTGAAGTTCCTTTAATGACAAAAAAAACTTTAAAAGATGGATTCGAACCATGGACCTCGGCACTAAGCGGTGAATGTGCGACCATTACTAAGGCTGGCGTGGAAGTGATACGGCTCTAATTTTCCCGACTGTGAATTTAAAGTGGTTTTTTTTCGTAAAAAATACCGACGTTTCAAACTTGCGTCAGACAGACCAGGATACACGGCCTAGGTACCTATCGAGAATAGAAGTGGCAATTGTTTTCTGGGGTAAAGCTTCTCTTTACTAAAGATGTCGGTTCACGGCCATAGGGATAAAGACCTTGGTGACCAGGAGCATCCAATCATAGGTCTGATTATTATACAAACCAATGCAACAATTAATGTTAATTCTAAAGCTCACGATACACATCGAATTGCGCACATAACAAGTGACTTAAAAAAATGATCTGTCTATTTGTAATGTATGTGTAGTGACATATGATGTCACTACTGTGTCGGGACTGTACGAGCGTAGTGACATATGACGTCACTACTGTGTTGGGTCTGTACGGGTACTGTAGGCAGGGTGTCACTGAGGTCGCGTCAGGCCGTGACACTCTGCATGAACCCGACAGGGAACGTGACCGGACGAAGGGGGGCTAGGGGCCCCAGAGGGGAGCTTGGCGGTCACGTGGTAAGGGGCCCGGACCTTCCCAAAGGATCGGGAAGGGGGGCGTGGCCGGGGCGGGGCCAGCCACGCCGCAGCAGGAAAAAGCGGGGTGTGAAGAAAGAGCGGGGTTGTTCGACCCCGGGAATGAAGAGGCCATCAGCGGTCCTCGAGTCTCCGATCTTCATCCGTGACCAGGCAGCCTGTTAACCTGCCTTGGTCACGTTATATAGTATTCCCCTGAGTGTTAGTTAAATTAGGAATGGTGGTCACCACCTTATGTCGTGTTCAAGTTGTTTGTTTCGTTGCCTCCAAGTTGAGTGTGCGCCTCAATTGAACCCATTACATATGTGGCCGAAGATGAAATGATCAAGTATATTCATGAAATGTCAGATTTCAAAAGCTAAGCAGATTTGAGTCTGGATAGTACTTGGATGGGGTGATGCCGCTCAGGTTGTCGTAGGCTGCTGCAGCAGCTGTAAGTCGTGGGTAGCAAAGGTCTGTCCAACAAAATCGATTGTTGTATACCAGATTCCAGGTCTATTTTTGAATTACATTACAAAGAGGAGTTTGAGTGGTACTTGGGCGCTTGTCATGTGACAAGGGAGGGCATTACGTTACTAGGGGGGTTATTGCAATATCAGGGAGTTTACCACTTTACCAGGGAGGGTATCATGTTACCATGGCATTTATAGCATTACCAGGGGGATTATAGCGGTCTCCCAGTCTCCCGTCCCAGCCACTGTCGCTGTCTTCATCCGACTCGGAGAAGTTGCTAACCAGGTGCAGCCCTGTGCCGGCATTGCGGATGAGCCGCACCTGGCCTCTACACGCACAACACACACACACGATGATCTTATACACAGTAGACAAGTGCTGTTAGAAGGCACCTACTAAGACCAGTACGGCAAACGAGAGAGGGGGAGGTGTGGCCGCAACCACGGGGTCAAGCACGCCTGTGCTGAGGTTGATTACACAATGCACCAGGCATTCATTTTAAGCCCGAGTTGACCTAGAAGAGACCCAGGACCGGTTCAGACACTACTCGCCACTGATGGTAGACATGGCCAAGAATTAAACTCAGGTCGCCGGAGTGCAGATAAACAACCGGCCCACATCTCACATGCACACGCGCACTCGTACTAATCAGTCACTCCATATAGTATTATAGACTGTAGGGTCATGTGCACTTAGCAAACATACTGAACTAAGTTTAATTTAATGTTTAACCAGGTGAAAACGCAAGAGACCGTGATGAGTCTCATTTGCAAGAGTTATCTTGGGCATCAGTCTACCAGAAGGGGGGGGGGGGGCAATGATTACAATGTGTCTCAAGTCAGTAATTCGTGGGCAATTCTAGAATTAAGCAAGTTTGGTCACTTACGCCGCCGGCACACAATGCAAATGACGTCAGGGGATCTTTAAGGTCCACTATAAACAAACTGTTATTGCACCCACGTTAATAATCAAGGCGGCCGCTAGATTCGAACCACTAACCTCTGCATCAAACGGCGAATGCGCTAACACTGGAACATTATTTGGGTCATTGCTAAGGCCGGGAAACAAGTAGGTGGTGTGGCCAGAACCGCAATGTTTACAAACCACACAGGGTAGTTGTTTAGAGTTGATATAGAGGTCAAGGACAGGCTCAGATGTCACTCTCCTCTGCTGTCGTCATCTGAACTCAGGTTGCAAAGATTGTAGCGCAGTGTGCCGCCTTCAGCACCACTGCTTTACACAAAGCACATGCAGTTTCACATGCACGCGTACATATACAAGCATATATACAAGCACACACAGGCACACAAAGTAGTTGTTAACAAGAATTTACTAAGGGCAGCATGGCACATCGAGGCACAGTGGGGGTGATGTGGCCAGAACCACGAATTTCTGGCCACCTTTGTCTCCATAGTTTTGATGTTGATCACACACTCCACCAGGTTCTTATTTTAAGGTTGACTTGACCAAGGAATGGCCCAGAAGTGGTGGAGATAACTTGCCACCCTTGTGCATCATATCCAAGAACAAAAATCACGTCACAGGGATCATAGCGGAGTGCATGAACCACTACACCAGAGTTTAATAAACATGCATCCACATAAAAAAGACAAATATCCCCCACTGTAGCAAAATAAGTCATGTAGACAGTGCTGTTAGGAAGCACCTATTAAGGCTGGCATGGCGCATTAAGGGGCGGTGTGGCAAATACCATGCCCACCAGTCTTTACCTCCGAGTTTGAATAGCTGTCAAGTATGCGTGGATTTTCTTCAGGAACCCTGGCTTCCTTCCACAAGAAAACAATTGCAGTGCTTTAAAATAACAAGTCACCGAATGAAAGCGAGTCTTCGGCCACGCTGAGCTTTTCCTGGATGAAAAGAATAATCTTACAATCCCCCGGTTGTCTAATTGGTCGAGACTGTGAATTAATTTGCCTCTCGTTCAGGAGCTAGGTGGATTGCTCGATTCCTTCATCGCGAGACCGGGAGAGACGGTGGGAGATGGTGGCGGCTTGGCGAGGCGTTCATCCTGCACAGGATAGATTATGGCAACAATTCGGCCCTCACCCCCAAAATATTGCTTTGATTAACTTTCACATTTCAGGCTTGGGATTCAATTCTTGCTTTGCTTAAATTGTATTGCTTCTAGGTTTGTTTGCCGGTTTGTAACATTTTGTTCACTCCCCCGGCCTCAACGTAAAATTACTGATAATTTTGAAAAAAATTAATACACTTTTGCGTACATTTTATCCTGAGATTAAGAATCGATATTAATCACTCAATTGCAACATGTCTGATGAGTAATTCCACAATATAAAAAAGGATAAGAATGGCAGTGATATTAATACAGTACAACACTAAGAAGACAGGAATGATCATCTTTCCCAACACAGCTCCAAGTGGAATGTCAGCAGGATGATGCTAAGTTAAGAAAATTATTTGCTTTGTCACTATTCTACTGCAACAATAGTGGGAAGAGCTGATTAAGGTTGGTGTGACGTAGGGCTCAGGGGTTTAATGTCATAGGTTGAGTTTAGGCTTAAGATTTTGGGAAATCGATTAGGGGGGTTGGGTTAAGGTCGGACTTGTGTTAAGTTTATGGTTGCAATTAGGAATTGGGTTATGATTATGGTTAGGTCTAAGACTAGGTGTTTGGTTATAGTTAGAGCTTGCATTCGGAGCAATATTAGGGGTGAGGTTTAAGGTTTGGATTCAGACTTGAGTCAGTGTTATGGTTTCAGTTATGGGTAGAATGTGAGTTTTCGATCATGCATATTGGGCCTTTGGCCAGGACCACAGTTTCAGAATCAGCGTTACACTCATAGCTGCCTCCACCCACCCAATTTGGCATTATCTTCTATTTTTGTTGTGATGCCATTCCATTATTATTCCTCTAGATTCCTACTCCGATAAGAATCTGGCACAGACCGCATGCCAACTCTGACCCATGGAATAACGCAAGGCTCACATGACCCCCCTCTACCCAACGAGACTGCCACCCCATCACGTCACAGCCAGAGGTTTCGTAACTACTAAAGACACTTGTTAGACAAAACAAAGGAAGTCATGGGCCGGGACATTTGTTGATTTGTTTTTTTGAGGCCCTCTCTCCCCGCCGTTACATCGAGGCCTCACAAACGTTCAGATATTCTCAAGTCACAACCCACGCTCCCTCCGAAACCTGGGTTTATCTTACATGAAACATGTTTGTTACTTGTTTTAACACGGTACCATATTTCAGAACCAAGGGCACGCGAAGTCAAACAGAGGCGTTCGCATGCGGGCGAGGCCATAGAAAACCACGCACTCGAAATACCAACGACTTAAAGGGGAAAAAAATAGTCGACCCAGGAAACCTGACCATTTAAAAAAGAAATCCAGGCCTAGGAATTCTTGGGCGAGACTAATGACGGAATGGCAGCCAAAGGCACGAGAATTCCCCCCGAGAAGGACCCCCATAGCGGGTGACTGGCCAAGCTGGTGCGGTGGAGAGAGATGGATGGTCGCATCGCATTGACCGTAATGGGATGGCAACGACATGAGGGTGGTGGGGGGGCCCTTCGTCCACAAGTAGACAGACCGTGCCTCGCGATGATCGCAAGTACCGTGTTTACACACGGTCAGCGGTAAGTGAAACAAGGCAGGTGAGGAAAGATAAACGAAGACGTGAACAGCACTTATAGCGGCTTTTTAAGCCTGCAACACAGCTGTACACGTGGAAGGGTCGGCGGATCACAGAAGGACGGGCGAGGCCACCTGTGCAGCAGGAAAGCAAGTATCTGCGCCAAATCCACGTCCTCATCTCCTTCCTCGCTGCTGTCCACCTCCCTGACGACTCCTCCTCCTCCACCACCCGCTCCTCCTCCGGTCACTGCTCGCTCCGGCTGGTCGCCTCCATCGGCCTCGGCGGACATGGTCCTCGATGTTCGAGATCCCATCACAGGTCGGTGTAGCCGAGCATGGCGGCCCCACGCAGACGGCGAGGCCCCGCGGGCCGCGCGGAAAGGGCCGGCGAGAGGACCGAGTGTCGTGTTGAGACCGCTTAGGGGTGGCCGGGTTAGAGACCGATGAGAACCAGAAGGAAGACGAGTGAGCGGGGAACGCCGGATTAGAAGCACCGGCCAGCGGCCATTGAGCAACCCCCCCCCACCCCCCACTGAGATAGGGTAAACAAGACGGACAAGTCCAACTCAACCACGGGGGGTGGGGAGTAGCGAAGTACCAAGATGCCAAACGAGGGATATATTTACGGTTGCATCGGCAAAACTGATTTAAAAAATGTTTTAATAATTTTGCAGAGCGGCGGATATGTAACGTTTGTTTGTGAAAGTAGAAATTTGGCGTGGTTGTGAAATCGATGTGCACCCCTTGACCCCGTGTGATGGAATGGTAGAGTCCCGCCACCGCCAGTGAAGATGGGGAGGCGCTCTACGGAATTGACGTAACCCGGGCGGAAGTCGCCTCCCGTGTCGAGGCCGCGGTGCCACTACGGAGGTTTTACCTCCGACAAAAGTAGAACAAAGCCTCTGGAAAGCCGCACTTGCTTCAGAGGAAGAGGCCACGGCTACCGTGGCGGGGGGGGGGGGGTCCGGCTTACTGCAAATCGTCATCGCCATCACGATCCATGGGCAGAGTTGCCCGTGGGTTGTTTACTGCACTTTTCCTCTGCCTTGCGTTCAATATGCTCAAGTAGTGCCACATATTTCATCAAATATTTTTGGAAGAACACATGAATGCACTTACAGTTTAGGCCAAACGCTTGCATCGTATCAAGACCAAACGTTTTGGTTGAGCCCGTAACTTTGGGTGGCCACTCAAAGCTGCATGAACCAAGTGATGAAGGTTGTGATGATGACGCAGCTCATGGTGGTGTGATGGTGGCAGCAGCAATCAGCAGCAGCCTTAGACGAGAGGCGAAAACGGTCATCTGTTCATGGCTCATCTTGGCAAGAAGACATTCTCTTGACTTGGGTTGCCACTTGTCCGGGTTTGAAGTGCAACGTCGAGAAATTCGAAATGTGTTCAGGCGACAGTAATAAACAATCCCAGATGCCATATTGTCCTGATTAATGGTATTTTGCACCGCTTTGATTGACTCGGGCTGAGAAATATGTCCAAATTTGGTCTACAGTGGGAAATGTGGCAACCCTGTATGACTTGACGCATGTCCATTTCAAATTTGGTGAAAATTAAATCATTTGCATGATAGAGTGACTGCACATGTGGCTTGCCGTGATGGCTCAGCCAGCCACCCAAATGACGAACATGTCGAAGCATGTTTTTATTTTATTATTAAAGATGTAACCAAAGGTATTGGTTTTTCTTCGATGGACTGACCCCTATCTACCTTCCTCCTCTCATCCCACGCACATGTGCAGCAATTACGGTGGTCTAATCACCCAGTTAACCTTCGCTCTCAGTGGGAGGCCACTCATCCTCTGCTGTGCCCAGCCTGAAACTCCCCTGCCCCAGACGTGCTGTAGACTCCTTTCCTGTCAAAGTTTCGGCTCAAGATCTGTTTTATCTGCCTTTGACACGGTAGTATTTAGACGCTTTATAAATCATAATCATTGCATTTCTGAATTGATGACAACGCTCAAACAAGTGTCCGACAGCCCTCTATTTACAGCCTTGGTACACATTCAAGAACAGTTCTTTTTGTGGTGTCTTTCTATAACATCACCGTATCAACAGTGGCAGGTCTGTGGTTCCTGTTAGCAGGAGACCTCACATAACCCTGGCATGAGGCTTTGACTAAGACCACTAAATCATGCCTCCTTCCTTACACTTCACAACGGAATGCAAAGTGGGTTTTAAATTTCATGAGACGATGGGTTTAAAAAAACATAACTTTATATTTTTTTAAACGTAAACAACACGTACAATTCCCACCTCATAACGGCATCTGCATGCCTAAAGTGTTGTATGAGTCGCAACAGACACTGACCTTTGACAGGTGTTTGAACTCAGCCCTTTTGCTTACCGGGGGGGGGGGGGGCAGGGAACTTTCAATTAACTTTGGTGGGCAATCACACATTCACACGCCAACTCATGTCACTGCACGAGGTCCTTGCAGTGACAGAAGTGACCTTGCATGCTAAAATTAGAAACCACCCACAAGGTTGAAAATATTCCCCTACCAGTACCCGACTATGGTTTAATCAACGTGTTATTTCATAGATCACGTGAAAACGCTACCGAGATAATCTCCTCTGAAAAGGAAACATAAGTAATAGTTTTTAATTAAGGATGTTTTGTAATAAAATCTATTATTTAGAAAAGTCTCAAGACTTTTTCAGAAGGATCCTAGATTGGAATGTTTGTCCAATTTCATAACTTTTTTTCTCTTACACAATGGATGGAATCAGTGTCTGGAGAAAGCCTACACGTGAAAGCACTCGAAAATCTGCAGGTTGGCACCCTGTTTTGTGTACTGCAAACTGTTGGCTAGCAGCCCAATGAGCTATTCACCTGTTGATCTCTCTGTGAATCCCTCAACACAATTTTCACAATGGATAAGTGTGCACTGGCATGCCGCCCACACACTCCACAGCCACCCAAGGTACACCACTAACAGATCCCAGAACTCAACAGGAAGCCTCTTCACATTTTAAAGCATATTCTTTATATAAAAACATTGTTTCAGGATAAAGAGATTCATTGCGAGGTCAGGGGTCATGAACAGGGCTTAATTTCGCACTGAATATTCTCTGGGTCACTGGTTGACTGGAGACGGCACAAAACTCGTGGAGATACACTGACTGTGGTGTGACGGGTGCTTTAATATTTTCTGTGTCGCGAACTCGGACAGAACTAAAATTAAGCCCTGGGCATGACCTCCAACCTCCGCCCTATGCCCTCTGTCCTAACGCACGTCATGCTTGTTTCCCAGCACTCATCTCGCTGGGATTAATTGGATTTGGTGATGATGCCATCAGGGTAGCGCTTCTTGAAGCGAGCCACCACCTCGGGGTCCAGCAGGTGGATTCCGTCCAGCTGGTTACCCAGCGTAACCCTGGCAACAAAGAAATGGACCAAGAAGCAGGGGAAACTGATCAGGAAAGAAGAAGTGCAGAACAGAACATTCGACAGCAGAAAAAGCAGGAAATGAGCTTCAACGGTCACGAAGACTGATCATGATGAGAAGCAGGAGAGGAGGAGTAGAAAGCAGGATTCGTTCCGTGGTGATAAACTTTGGTGGTACAAACAAGAAAAGTATCTGACTGGACTCCTGAAACATAATTAATGCAACAATACTGTCTATAACACAGAAAATTGAGCTGCCCACTTTTGGCCTGCAATGACTGCTGGGGAGACAAGGGATGAATAGACCTTTAGTGGTGCCAATGTCTGCTTTAGCTCACGGACTTTTCTCTTTGTGTGTGAGCTCCTACCAGTTGGGCTGGATGTTGTGAGGTCTCCCGAACAGCTCAATCTTGCGAGTTCCGGGGGAGAGGCGTTCGATGATTCCGTAAATCTCATCAGGCTTATGGCTCGTGGAGCGAACCTGTACCATGCGTGGGTGCACGACGGCACCAGTCAAACAATGATAGAATCTACATTCCCGCGCGACTCAAATAACAACACAGTTTAAATTTCTACATGTAAAAATAATATATTTCGAAAAGTTGTGTATTTAGATGCAGTATACATTCTAAAGTGTTTATGATCATGTGCTAGCCAGAAAAAGAATTGTTTCAAAGATCCCTCTAGTGATTCATCATTATTCATTTTTGGGTCAGGTGGCGCAAGTACAATGTGTGCCATAAAGCCTCCTCCACCTGACAAAGCCGAATAAAGTTAGTATGTGAACGTGGTCATTTTTATTTCTGAAGCAAAGTGGTATGTTGACCCAAAACTTTCTAACAGAGGATGGTAACGGACCGCAACCAAAGGATGAAGTTACGGAGATTAGTAGTCAGGTGGGCGTAAACATGTTTTCATGTTAAAGAGCAATCCATATTTGACAATGACGATAAAGTCCGACGTTTCGCTGGTAATTATATCCATCATCATCAGGCGATTGCCAGAGTTAATCTCCTGCATTGAAAATGTTCTGCGATCCTCGGCATTCGCAGTAGGGGGGTACTGATTGCTGTGTAATCGGAATTGAGTAATTTGCAGGTAATTTTCAAATTTAACAAATGTGGACCACCCTGCCAGGACACAATAGTCTACTCTCGCAAACGAAGTCACGGGATGTTTAATTTCCACTGTGGGCAGATAGCACATCATAGTATTATTACGGTTATTACACCCGCAGTAATAACCAGGGCGACCACTGGTTCGAACTATGGGAACCTCTGCAACAAATGGGGAACGCGCAATTAAGTAGTGTTATTTAAATTATACTGGGGTAAGTAGTTAGTCCTATGTTATCTTGATTAAAGTAACATCATTTGAAGGAGGTTACGATGCGATTACAAATAATAATTTGTTCTTAAGCAGTACTCAGCCTATCGCTGCAGGCTCGGTTGAAAGATAACAAATCGCCCATGTAGCACTGCATCGATTGTTGGGGTAAGTGCTTTTAGTGAACACCTATTAAGGCTGACACAGCTCATAAGGAGGTGGTATGGCCTGAAACATATCTGAAACATGTCCGACCACTGTTGTCTCCGCTCTGGTGAACTTTACACACTGCACCAGATACTCAATTAAGGCCGAGTCGACGGAGGGAGAAGTTCTGAAACCACTTTCCACTGATGCTAGTTGTAGCTGGGAATTGGACTGAAATGGACCGAGTTTTTAGCCCAGTGAGCTTACCATTATGCGACCACTAGCCACGCTAGTACACATAGGACCTCACACATGAATACATTTTGCACAGTAATTGGAGGTGCGGAATAGTCTGCCATGAGCTGCTGTTACACTCACATTTAAACACACACAAACAAGCATGCACACACTTGCCTCGGCAACCAGAACATCACAATCCAGCCCCCGGTTAAAGCCCTCCGTGTTTCCCTTCATTCCAACCTGCGCACAGTGACAGACATGCAAACAACATCAATGTCCTTTACATAATTAGGCGAGCGCTCACACATGCAGAGTGCTTTTCGGGTCATTTGCACACTACTCGGTGCTGCAGCATGCAGTTGCGTGGTACGCGAGACACGTTTTCACCAGAAGAGTCTAAACTGCAAATGCAGATAGGTGCAGCCGGTAACACGTTGCCCTCTGCCCATACTTTATGGAGAACTGAGAACACTGAACTTGATGCTGTGCCCTAGCTAGGCTTCGTGTGCATAGGCTAGAAGAATACCAAATTCTGCACATAATACGTGTACGTGTTTGCATGCATGTGAGACAGCGTGCATTTCCCATTGTTTTTGCGTGGATGTGGTTGTACGAGCGGGTGTGCATAAGCAAGTGTGCACGTGTGCGTGTGTTTGCACGTGTGTTCATATGTGCATGTGGAAGAGAGTGTAACCACGTCTCTATGCGTGCATACATGCATACATGCATGTGTTTGTACATATGTACAAGTTGCATGGGTGGCGCAGATGCCAGTCAACACAGTCAGTTAACCCAACACACCTAGGTTTGTTGAATGGTCTCCTGCCAGTTAGCCTTTGAAACTTCAATTGACCCTAAGTGCAATTTTCCTGGCACAAGCTGACATAACCACTACTTGGTGGCAAATTTCAGCTGTTGTTGTTTTACGTATGCGTAAATGTATGCCGGTGGACGCTGGTACCAGGCAATGCTCCTTGCCGTGGTTTAGCCAGTGGCCCGTCCGCCCTGTACGGATGATCCGCTGCAGTTGATTTGTCTTAACCCAGATGAGCTCATCCACTCGCTCATAGCTGCATACACACACGACAATCATTATCATCAGACAGTAAAATATGAGCAACTACAGTCCCCGCAGATATAGGGAAATAAACCGACTCTCTGGCACTTTTGTCCTCACATGTTTATCCAACAATTGACCACATTTGTCAATAACACTGCCATAGAAGAAGTACAGTTGTCCCTCACTATAACGCGGTTCACCTTTCGCGGCCTCGCTGTTTCGCGGATTTTTTTGTTTGTTTAATTTTGCATGCTTTTTTTTCCTGCGTACAGTATGAACGCGCATTGTGTTCGGCGTCCTGATTGGCTAAGGGAGAACCGCACATGTGTTCTGCGTCCTGATTAGCTAAGGGAGTACAGAATGCATTCGGCTAGCCAGATTTACAAAAATGTTTGGGCTTGAAAACAGGTTTTGATCTTTGGTTTCATTTACTAATATTGTACTTATTTTTTTAAATCTGCGAAAGTTTAAACTTTGAGAGTGTTTAAATAAGAGAGAAATGTGAGAAAATGTTAATGCCTGTCTGAGAAAAGTGTATAAAAGTGTGTGGTTAGGGGTTTTACGGCCTTAAAACATGTATAATAATTGTAAAAAATAAAGCTGATTACTTCGCGGATTTCGTCTATTGCGGGTTATTTTTAGAACGTATCCCCCGCGATAAACGAGGGACCACTGTATATAATAGGTGACATTTCGAGCAATGGCCCTTTTTCATAGAATATAAATGAATGGCCATTGGGTTGCGCTGACCTGTGAACGCAGCTTTCCAATTCCTGCTTCTTTCCTGTTGCGATTATGAAACATGAACGCACATGGCGTCTTTAGTTTTAGGGTATAGGTGTAAGGTTAGGCATTAGGGTTTAGAAACATGAGTTAAGTTTACGGTTTTGAGATGAGGGTTTTAAGTTTAGGGCCCAGGACAGTATCACCTAAAACTGATTTGCCTGTCCCGCATTTGTGTGACAGTAGTCTAAGCCGCAAGTGTTTTGTGCTGTGGTTACTGCTTTCTAGCCACAAGCTGTGTAGGCATGAGTGCTCTCATGAAGATGCATGATGTATGATAACAAATACGATACTATGTGGCCTGAGGTTTTGTGGTTGTGATGTGGGTTCCTTGGAAGACCTTGGGAATGACTTACCCCCAGAGCTTGAGGCACTCCCTGCCCAACTCCATGGCTCTGCGGCACAACCACACACGCACGGACACGCAGAAATGCAAATAGGCACGGAGATTCGCCCGCGCGTACACACACAGCTATACGCACGGCATACTGTACATGTGCAGCCCTTTTGCCAATCGACTGCCGGATGAGGCACCCTCCACACGTTGTGCAGGTCGTAGTTTATTTGACAATATTTCACCACGCTTAAGTATTGTTAAATAGGTGTCGAATATAGCTGTGGAAGCATAGAAGTAAAGATTTTAAAAAATGGTATAGTACAATAAAGTATTGTGCTGCACTGCCCTCTACTGCCCATAATATAGCCCTGCTTGCCTATTACAATCATGGTGGTTGCACATCCAACTATCTTCAGATATCTATTATTTATACTATTAATTATAACGGATTTGAATACGTACATACTCAAAAAAATAATTTAGTTGTTGAGAATTTAAATAACAAAATAAGCGGGCAATGTCTCCAACGCATCCGTCTATATAAAAAAAATGACAATGATTTTTTGCTACAAAATGCACTTGCCACACAGACATTGATTCAAGACAGGCAAACTTTGAACCAGTTTCGAGAAAGTGTCTCATCAGCAAAGTCAGAGTCAACAATCCAGTCAGCAAGCAAGCATGACTGCTGATGACAGGTCCTATGTCAAAACTGGTCAAGAGTTTGTCTCGAATCCATGCTGCTTAACTGTGCACTCCCAGAAGGCCATGCGGCTGATAGGTTGGGTAAAAAATAAGTATCACGAGTGTACAATCTCCTTTAATTGATGAATCGCCGCATCCTTTCTGGGCATGGTGTTGTGCTGTATCCATCACCATCTATCGCTGCCGTACCACACACAGCGATGGACAGTGATGGCCACACTCGCTGTGCGGCCATTACCTGCCCGTCACCCACAGGAAGATGTAGCCATCGTCCTGCAGCACAGGGATGTTGAGCCGGCGCATCTCGTCGTCCGTGAGTGTGCCGTACGGCAGCTCCATATGAATGTCCCAAGGGGGGTCTGCCATCACTACCGAGAATTTACCCAGAATGCTCATGTCCAGGAAGCGTATGTCGCAGTTTATCCACTGCGCAAACACATGTGCACGCACACCAAAGACATAGAGTAAGTGCCCGATATAGCCTTGTAGACTATAGTGGCAGGGCATAACAAGTGCACTTTGAAACCCATACATGTACACTCAAGCATGCAAAGACAAGCTCCCCCATTAAGCCTACAAATAGACTGTTGTGGTAAGTGCTGGTAGTTAGCAAGAAAACAATAATACATGTTCTCTCATGCACATACAGATCCCCCAAACAGCCTCAATGGACTGTGTTGTTGGCAAACAAACAGGAAAACGCGACATGTACTATCATGCAGTGATGTTAGCATGGAACGTCTATGTAATGCTCACCTGCGAGGGAAACAGTTTCCCCGCGGTGGTGTCATCGCGCGGCCTGTTCACCGCCACCACCGCCGCCGCCTCCTCCATGCGGCCCCTCCGGCCTGGCCCCCCCATGCCACCACCGGCGGCCAAGCCACCGCCATCGATCTCGTAGTGCACGTACTTGCAGGTGTCCATGTGGAAGCACGTGTTAAGGAAGGAGCAGTCGCCCAGCGACTCGTCCGTGTGCTTGTGGATGATGCGGCGGAAGTGCAGCTTGGGGCACGGGCGTGAGGAGCCGCACGCACCCATGCACTCCTGCTTGGTGCCATGCTCACAGAATTCCCGAACCTGCAGCACCGTGGCGGCATGTACAGACAGAGACAACGATCACCCATGTAGCCTCTACCAGACGGTTGGGGCAAGTGTCATTCGCAGGCACCAATGACGGACAGCAGGGTGCACAGGGGGTGGCATGGCCAGCACCATGTTCAGTTATCTGTCTCCCCAGTGCTAATGGTGTTTAAACAATGCTCCAGCTCCTCATTTAAGGGTGAGTCAATTGATTTAGATATAACTGGCCACTGAAGGGGACTGTGGCCTGGAATATAACTCAGGTTGTCAGGTTCATAGAGAGGTACTCGAACCACTACAGTTTGGGAAGAGCTTAAAACCCAAACCTGCTGATCAATGAGGTTGATAACTGGCACAGTTGGAGGAATGTCATGCCCAGAGCTGTCAACATGCTGCAATAACAACGACATATATAAGACAATTCTAGATTTAAAGCTTTCGTGACTGCAAGGACCCATACTCTTTGGTTCTATTCGGTAAAGTCACGTAGGTAAAAAATAAAACAAAAATCACGACGTTTCGGCCACAACACAAGCGGCCTTCATCAGGTGAAGGGACCAGACTGTCTCGAGGACAGCGCTGGAGTGAAACACAGCCACGCTCAGACCGCGACCTTTAAGCTGTGTGCGAGGAAACAAGGTGCCTTGACGAAGGAATTAGCATATAAAATAGCATTTGATTGGCCGACTAATCAAATTCCTTTGTCAAGGCACCTTGTTTCCTCGCACACAGCTTAAAGGTCGCGATCTGAGCGTGGCTGTGTTTCACTCCAGCGCTATCCTCGAGACAGTCTAGTCCCTTCACCTGATGAAGGCCGCTTGTGTTGTGGCCGAAACGTCGTGATTTTTGTTTTATTTTTACCTACGTGACTTTACCAAATAGAACCAAAGAGTATATATAAGACAGGTCATGAAGATGAATGGAAAATGGATGAAGCCTGAAGGCATAGGGCCATGAGCATGTGGCTCTGGGAAGAGTAAGGGAGTGTGCGTGTGTACCTGTGCTCCCCCTCGTGAGCGGAACTTCTCAAGAATAGACTGTTCCTTGGCCGTGCTTGCCGTTAGCAGCTGCAGTATCTCGGCCGACACCTTCTTGCTCTCCTGCTCACGCGTCGACTGCTGCGACAGCAGGCTCATGATCTCCTGGTCCAACTGGAGAACCGGCAGTTGCGAACATCATCACAACGCATCCACATCCTCATCTAATCATCATCAGTCACGATCAACCAATCTGCTAGGTGACGTCATCCCCAAGTCGTCGCCATCCTTCACAGTCCCACGATCCAACAACCCACCCAGCACCAGCACATTAGTCCAGTTCACCGCTCAATCTCCGCAGTAAATTTTCGCTTTGTTAATACAATCCACCACAAAGCGCCAGATCGCTTCAGACCTCAGAAGATAAGGAAGATTGATCCTGGAGAGTGCTTGTATTGGCAGCCATAATGAACAATAGGTTGTTTTAGGCTGGGGGAAACATGGAGGGTGGCAGAGGGCAGTTCAGCTCCATCTATTGTTGTACTGTATGTCTATGCTCCCTACCTTCACCAACCAACACTTACCAACATGGTAAATGACAATCAAATCATCTCCATGGACTGAAAAAAGGACTGCACATGCACTCGTTACTGTCTTGAGTCTACGTGCAGCGTGAGAGTGCAGCCAACGATGACGCTGTCACCTCATTGCTTGTGGATGATGTGGAGGTGGATGAGAGCTGCGTTTTCTTATTCATCTTGTCGGGAGGTGCTCCCTCGCTGGCCTCAGCCTTCCGCTTGTTGGCACTGGAACTGGGCACCAGTGGAATCGAGCTGCCCCCATCCTGCCCCAGGTCGCCCTTGCCGACCCCACCAGATCCACCTGGGTCCGATGTCACACCTGATACTGCACGGCAAAGATGTGACCCTTGGTTATTTTATACTTGTCACAATTCGGGGTGGTGATTCAATTCAAGAATCAATTATTTTTTCCCGCACTGCCGAGATCCTGTGTTTTTGAATCCAGATTTTAGCCATTCATGATTTAAGCAGGTCTCTTAAATTTAATCAATTGATGGTCTCAGCTGAACAAATAACTGCACACAAAAAGTTATCACGATATATTTTTCCAAAATTACAGTTCTGAAAAAAGGAAAATCAGTTTTACTGCCAGTTTAGCGCTCTGACCGGCAGGTCACCAACAATAAACTCCGGTTACTCACCTGACCCAGAAGTGGTGGCTGCCCCCAGCATGGCGGACAGCTTGGAGTGCTCAGCGTCTGTGACGAGCACGCATGGCCCGCCGTCCGGCAGGCAGCCGGCGCTCACCGCGATCAGCTCCTGCGCTGCGAACTTGTGCAGCAGGCTCTCGACGGACGCCCGCGTTACGAGGGATTCGGACTGCGCGTGTACATGCACGACATGTGCGCAGATACACACACACGTGCATGCAAGTCGAACACAGATTATTGTACATCACACAAAACGAACACACGGCTCTGCACGCTCATGAAAAACAACGGACGCGTGAAATATCACGTCGAGCATAATGAAGTCATGGTGGGGGGGCCGGGGGGTGAGCATGGTGTTTGATGTCCTCATCTTGGCTGAAATTTATTATGCCACCAAGGTTTGGAAAACCCATTGATCAAGTTGGCCGGTTTTATGTAGGGTACGTCCCTAATACACAAGTTTATGCCAAAAATAAATTTATATTGGATTATATTTACGAATGTTCTTGTGACACCCTCCTATACAGATGGACAGAGCTAAGGTATAAATGCAATCAACCTTAGCTGGAAAGGGTTAAAAACACTTCCCGAGAGGTCTACACAGCCATCTTCACATCCCCATCACATGTCACCGTGCACTCAGTGGCCACTGTGCATCATCACCTGTGAGATGGCAGTCTGGATGGCAGCCGAGTCAACGGGCAGTGGCAGGGCGAGGTCGGAGAGGTACGCGAGGAGCCGGCTCTCGAGCCGCGGGTCGACCCTCACCTCCAGCACCGGGGCTGTCACCTCGACCACCCCCACTGCCCCCCGCCGGAGAGAGGGCTCGGGGAGGGAGCTCGACGGCGAGTGGCCTGTAGGGCTCTCGCTGCGCGCCGCAGGCCCAACCACCCCGCCGGTCACCTCTGGGTCTGGCGGCCACCGCAGAGAAACAATTAGGTTTGGAAACTGCTTGCAATATAGGGTCTCTTGAAAAGTTTATTCACCTAAATATTTGATTTCTTTGATCAAATGGATTAATTGCCTGAATAATCTTAAAAAAAAAATGTCAGCATTGTTTCCTACCCCACAACTGTCAGATTTCTCAACCACACCCCTAAACAAGACGTCACCCCAATAGTCTGATGCCTTCATTGGCTATCAACCCCAGATCAATTTCAAGACCGCTCTCACCATCAGCAAATTACTCTATGGACCTGCCCCCTGCCTACCTCTCTGCTGCCTCTGCAAGGGCGTCTTGCAGTGACATAAGTGAATGATATGTGTATAAACATGTGGCTGGCAAAGATAATTGAAATTCCTTTACAGCTCTCAGTAAGGGAAAGATTATCTATGCTATCGTATTCAGTTTGGGGACCAGAGTAGTCAGATTATGGGAAGAGAGTGGTCCAATATAATCCGTTGTGCGGAATCACCAAGGCCAAGCTGAGTTGGGTCCTTCCATCTCCTCTGGAGTCTCTCCCGCAGGCTGCTCAGCTGCTTCTTATGAGCCTGGATGCTGCTCCATGTGTCCGACATGATGCTGCTGACACACACAGGCAGGGATTAAACTCATAAAATATTTTACAAAGATCTCTAGCCATCAATCCATCGGAGCCCACCTCCTCTCCAATTAATAGCACAGCAATTACCGTATATACATACTCTTTGGTTCTTTCGGTATATACCTTAACACCTTCACCGTTCGCACCACAACATTTCCAACACCACCACAGGCATCCCAACAATCACCAGCATCACTACCAATATCACCGTTACCACTATTGTGATCATCACATCACCATTATATCAACACCATGATAACTACCACCATGACCACATCATCACCATAATACCATCATCCCCATAGTCACTACCACTACAACCATCACCATCACAGCCGCCAACAACATCAGCACCACTATGAGCAAAACAAAAATCACCACCAGCACTGTTATTTTTACCAGCATCATTACCACCACCGTCATCGCCAATGCTAATTTTGACCACCAATATCATCACCGTCAATTTCCATCACCACTATGACCACCATCACCACCAAAAAATCATTATCACCACATCCTTAGTGGTTGGCACTCAGGCGAAAAAAATTGCGGATCGGGTGAGGCGGTCTCAGACAAAGCATTCGGTATTCTACGGATTTAAAAAGCCTCAGCACCATACTCGACCAGTATATGTGGTTTGATCACCACGTGCAAAATATAATCAGGTCCTGCAATGATTATATCAGGGCTCTATGACACATCCGACCACTGTTGAGTCGTGACATAGCCAACACATTGACGTCTAGCAAAAACATTACCAAGGTGCAGAGTGTACAAAATGCGTTGGAACGTGTTGTGACGGGTACTGCAAGATCTGACCATGTCGGTCCGGTGCTTGCCGAGGTGGTCGTCGAACGAATACATTATAAGGTCGCAATCAAACACAAAATACTTGCCACAAATGAACCACAATACCTTGCCGATCTCGTCAAAGCGCATAAACCATCGCGTAAACTCCGGCAATCCTCGCAGCGCCTTTTGTCTAGCCGTCGAACAAACACTGTCACTGTATCGCGCGCTTTCAGATGCGCTTCTGCGGCCGTCTTTCCGGAACGTTCTTCGTTCCAATATTAGAAAGCCACTTTGAAATTTAGATCTCAAACGAATTTTTTTTTATATACATTAACAAAAATGTTTTTTTATTTGTGTCTTTCGACAAAGTCACGTAGATAGGTTCACATAAAATAACTAAAAAAAAGTCAGGAAGAGGGGATTGGTTTTTAAAAGCAAACTGTTTATAAAGGTTTAAAATGGGCGTAGCCCAAATGTCAGCAGCCAATGTTAACGTCGGCGGAGGGCAACGATCGCTACCGGTGGTTGGGGGTTTCCACCAATCAAAGGGCTGCCAAGAAGTTTGTTGTCATCCCACCGCACCCTCCGATTCGTGCGGTTGGCTACGTACGGTGTGTGGAAGTTCAACGTAGATAGATACCCACCACTATCGCCACCGTCATTGTGATAAACAATTGCTATCACCGTTATTACCTTCACTACTGCAATCACCACTGTTATAATCAACACATCTCCGCCACCATCATGACCAACAATCGCTATTGGCAGCCACTACGTTTGCCACAACTTCCACAACCACATTCCCACCGCTATCACCATCATCATGACCACCAATTGCCACCGTCACCTTCCCACCACGATCATCATGACCATCAATTACCATCACCACCACCACCGCTGTTTAGACCACCAATTGCCAACCACAATCACATTCCCACCGCTACCACCATCACCGTGACCATCAATTGTCATCACCATCGCCACTATCACCACCGCCGATTTAAGACCACCAATTGCCACCACCACCACCGTCTCCTACCAAGGCTCCGCGTTTCCCAGCGCGCGTGCCCCTCTCCGTGTTTACCACTCTCTACTGTACCGGCGCACGCGCACTGTACGTCGCGTTTCCGGCGGAAAAATTGCGCGCGCGCGCGTGCCGGAAACGAAAAGTTAATTTCTCTGTTCCGATCGCGTTGCAGATTACAGACTACATTCTAACAACACTAACATATGTTAGAATAACTGACAGTGCCCATCGCAATTTGCAGTAGAACAAAAAAAACTCCCATCAAATAAAAATGTGTACATATATCGATTCAGACCTTCACAGTCTATTTCGATTCACATTCATGATTATCTAATCCATTATTGTGCTATTGTTCCTTACGTGTAATCGATAGCTGCTCATAGTACAGCAATATCATTGGTAACGATCACTCGATGGTTCGATTATCGATCTGGAATCCCAATCTACGTTCATATATAAATTCGATTCCTCTTTGCCTTGACATTCTGCGAAATAGTGAATGTACGATTCCGTGGAATCGATAGTCTGCCCCCATAGACTCGTATTAATCGCATGTAAATATATATTTGACGTTTCTAATTCTGTATCGGTTAATCGAATACAATCTAAATTACCCAATGCAATTGTTTTCATGAGACCAGCGAAATCCATTGTTTGCGCTTTACTTACGTGATGATCTCACGTCGCTTTTTCTTCTATCAACCCGGGGTGACCAGTGTGGTTCAGTATGGACAATTGACCTACACATCCAAAAGGGCTGCACGTGTCCCGTAGAGTACTCTACAGGGTTCCATTTTTCCATTTATTTGGTATAGCCCTGTGAGCCATTCGGCTCTTGAATCGGGTGCAATCGCAACAAACAAAAACATGAACAAGAAAACATCTTAAAGTGACTATGTGACTGTGCAAACAGAAAATCCAGGAAAAAAAACATCAAAATATTCCTGAAATAGCACCGTACACCAACGCTGTGTTCAAAAATCCCAGTGGGATGCAAGTCAAACAACAACAACAACCACAAGACAACTAAGATTTAGGCCATCAGTCTAACTTAGGTCATCAGTCTAACAATATCTTATGACCTCCCCATTTAATTATCTGAAACGTAACCTTTCTTTTTAAAGTAAGGTTGATTTCAAACAGAAACGATTATGCAAAGGAAAAAAGTAATATGGGTCAATTCATTGGAGGTTACAAGACCTCTGCATCACCCTGCGCATCTATACTGGTTTTAGAACACAGGGGCCTCAGTGGTGACCGATGTTGACTAACATCTACCAGGGTCCTGCAGAGTGATGACAAGATTCAGGTTAATTTTGGTTACCCAGTTGAGAACTCGAACTGAGACCAGAATGAGTCTCCAGGGATCATTAGTTTGCCAGTAGCGGGCGAAGATAGACCCCGTGTATAGTCACAATTCAGTAATTTCCAGAGAAATGTACGAGTCTGGCAAATGTGGACCATGACACCGGCAACACTGGCCCACTTGCTAGTGACCCAACGAGATCTTTAACTTCTAATTTGTAGAATTTAATAATTAATGCACCCATAGTATTAATCAGGGCGGCCGCTGGAATCGAACCGTGGACATCTACAACAAGCGGTGAACGCGCACCAGCTGGGCCACATCACGAGTGGTGTCTCTGATTGTCCACCAGTACATTTAAATTAGAAGTCAGTGTCAACGTTTTATATATTAAGTACCAAAATGAGAATTAGTTACCCAGGAAAGCCTCACTGAGTCTCAAGACTCGTTCATGATTGTCCTGCTACAATTGCTGTTGTTTGACCGATCCCATTAATAGATTGGCTTCGTATGGGAGGAAAATGGAGATCTCGGAGAAAACCCACGACACATACGAGGGGGCGAACTAAAAATCTCCGCGCAGATAAATACAACAATCCGTTTGATGTACACTGCCATGTATTGGTCACACACCCCCATGCCGACAACACATGGCAAGCCCTCGTGTCGGTTGGTCACTCATACAAATATATATAACCATCAGGCTCAAAAAACCTGCCGAGCTTGCAGAACACAGCAGCCCGACAGGAGAACCATGTTGGGACGAATCTTTAACATCGGCCCCTTCTACCTCTGTAAACTGTACATATTTAAATGCAATGTTTGCCAACACTTGCGAACGACATCTCATTGGGGAAAAAAAAAAACAATTCCCGTTTCCAATAAATGTCTTAACTTTCCCAACAACCTCAAGCGCTGTCTTCTGGACAGTCCTGTTTCTTCACCTGAGGACGGCTACTTGTGTTGTGGTCGAAACGTCGTGAGAATTTTATTGTTTTATTTTATTCTCATTCTACGTGACTTTACCGAAAGAGCCAAAGAAGACTTCCCAATGTTGTTCCACCAGGGAGCGCTGCAACTCATTTCGCCCGGGACGGTTCTCAGCTGGGAAGTTTTAAATGGGGAGGGAAGGGGGACGAAACCCCAAGCGGACCGCTCGTCCGGAGAGAGGCCGGCGGGCTGGGTCGCTCTCCTGGCAGCGAGGGGTTCTGAACGCCATGAACACTCAGCGTGAACAGCGACACGAGGAGGTCTTATCAGGTGAGGGCCCATTGACACCTACACGTGATCTTCACCACCATCGTTATCGACGTGTTTGTTATGACCAATCATGCGTCGTCGTCGTCACGATTTTTACAACGGGCATCATCTTACCTGTCAACATCAACAACCGTCAACGTCATGTGTTTTGTGCCACGATTTTCGACAGCACAGTTATTGTTAATATACGGTACAGTTTGGATTTTTCGGGTCTCGATATAAAAAGGTGCATTGAAAAATGTGATACTCCGACCGATGTTCCTGTTGTTGTGGAGCGACTCATGCAGACAGGCTATGGCTCTAGGGTTTGGTTGTTACATGTTGTTTATTGTGAAAATTCGGTCACGGTTCCTACGATCACTGTTACATTGCTTTATGGCTTTATTTTCGTGATTTCGAAAAGTTTTTTGGTTTGGTCATGTTTGTTGTAGTACGGAGTTAGACTGATGGCCTTAATCTAAGTTGTGGCTGTTGTTGTTGTTTGACTTGCATCACACTGGGATTTTTGCACACAGCGTTGGTGTACGGTGCTTTTTTTGGAATATTTTGCAGCTTTTTTCCCTGGATTTTCTGTTTGCACAGTCACATAGTCACTTTTAAGATGTTTTCTTGTTCATGTTTTTGTTTTTTTGTTTGTTGCGGTTGCACCCGATTCAAGAGCCGAATGGCTCACAGGGCTATACCAAATAAATGAAACTGAAAAACAGTATATCAGTCGTAGGGACGTGCATCATCATCATCCATCGTGATTTATAAGCATCGTAATGGTCATCGGCATGACAAACACAACTCTCAACTTAACGGAACGACTCGGCGAGAGAAAACGAAACATGCGGCTTGTCTCATAGCGGGGTTTTTTTCCGGCTGACCGTCGACCACAAAAAAATATATTGGACAGACTCAAGTATGTATTTGTTTCGGCGATGTCTCCGTCAACATTCACCCAGCAAGGCTATTCTGATGTTTCGCGGTCGTCTCGTCAACATAAGACTCTTGACTCAACGAGTGTTGTTTGTCTCGCGGCTCAAGCTTTGGAGAAGTTAAATTTCGATTTAAAGCTTTCGTGACTGCAAGGATTAATCTTCTTTGGTTCTTTCGGTAAAGTCACGTAGCATGAGAATAAAATAATAAATTGATAAAATAAATAATAAATTGATAAAATAAAATAACACAATAATATTCTCACGACATTTCGGCCACAACACAAGCGGCCTTCATCAGGTGAAGGGACGAGACTGTCTGGACAGAATATTATTGTGTTATTTTATTTTATCAATTTATTATTTTATTCTCATTCTTGGAGAAGTTGTTACACCATGTCTGACGGGTGTTGTTGCTCTTGCCGAGTGAGTCTGGCAGGTAAAAAAAACATCATTGCCGCGAGATATCCGCAGGTCTGCTGTGTCTCCTCCAAGGTCGACTCATCCTTACATGAGTACATAACGCAGGATGATAGAATTGCCTACTTGGGAAGCAAAGGCGGCTTGCCTCGATAACAATACAGGTAGTCCCCGACTTACGATGATCCGACTTACGATATTTCGATCTTACGATGGCGATAGCGATATGACAAAATTGTAAAATATTTTTTTATTTCGCGCGGCAGGCAAACGCAGCAGCGTACGAGGTACGATACTGTAACTTTGTCATCGCCATCCTCCTCTTCCGACAACTAAGTTAATGTAGCCATCAACAACCTAAACATCGTTCAAGTATGCAGACGACGGACAATCTTGGTGAGTACAGTAGAATATGATACGTTACAATACGTTCAATGCATGTATGATACATAGCTTTAGCGATTTCATTTTAGGGTTACCACGATACGAGACATACGTTCAATGCATGTTAAAAGTTTTTATCATATAGCAGATAGGATTGTTTCCTGAAAAAAACTTTCTATGAAATTGCAGTTCATATCGGTAGGCTAAGAATTTACCTTGTTTTTTTTCACTTTAAATTTTACCGTGCAACACAGTATTGTAATTAATAAATACATACAGTATATAGTTTATACAGTACGGTACTGTAAATTGCTCTGTTTTTGCTAAATTATCACCATTCTTTAAGACTCCTGGGTAGGCTAGGGCCATTTTCGACTTACGATATTTTCGACTTACGATGGGGTCGTCGTAACGCATCTCCAACGTAAGTCGGGGACTACCTATAATTACTAGTTCCAACACAATCCATGCATCTCAAGTCAAGTTTATTTTGTTTAACCAGGCGAGAACTCAAGAGACCAGAATGTAGTCTCATTTGCAAGAGCGGCCTGCTTCATCAAAATGACAAAAGCACAGCTAATAAAGTACAACAATAAAACGAAGAGAAAGCTGAGGGGCCGTCCATAAATGACGTCACGTTCCTAGGGGGGAGGGGCGGGGTCAGACATGTGTGACGAGGGAGGGGGGTGTTGAGAAATGTGACGTCACATCAAAATGCGCAACTTTAAATAAATATAGACAACACATTCTACTTAATTAAATAGACTTTTTAAAAAAATGTTTTCTCCTACAACATCAGAGTGCAGCGCCACATTAAATACGCACTACAATGCCAACAGTTTAAAGCGATTTGAAGCATGTTTTATTTTCAAAATGGAAATATGGTTTTGGGGGGGGGGAGCAGAGCTTTGTGACGTCATATTTGAGGGGGGTCTGACTGTGACGCCGTGTGACGAGGGGGGGGGGGTAAAAAATCGTCCAAAATCGCGTGACGTCATTTATGGACGGCCCCTGAACAAAAACAACTGTGTTGCGTGAGAAATCGTAAAATACTGCACAAACATAAATCAATATTAAAACATTCCTTGCAATGTAAGTCGACTCGGGCAGATTATTTTTAGACTGATCATAGTAAATTGCAATCAAGTTCCAGAAACATGAAACAGAGATAGGGTGACAATTGTACTTGCATTGTACCAATATCTGTATTACTCAATTGGAATTATACAAGGCAATAATCGCCCCACCTCCCACCCCCTACTTACAGACTAGTGTCCGCTTGCTTGCAGGCCAGGGGCCGACCCTCCCGATGCTCACATTGACAGCTGCCACTTGGGGGGGAGCTTTCAAATGTTTGAGTTGAGATGTGATGTGAAGTGCTCGGAGCGCTAAATTAAACACATATACAGACGTCCCTCGCATAACGCGCGACAATACGTTCCTGAAAAATCGCGCTATATGAATCCTATTTTCCCATATATACAGTTACATGTTATAAGGCGTTAGCCCTGGGTTTACAAAATATGTATATATTTAATACTTCAGAATATCAACATTACAAAACATGCTTAATGCGGGGTTAATACTAAATAATCATTAGGATTCAAATATTACATACTTACAAATACTGCTAAGTAATGATTAAATGCAGGGCTTCTTGAACGCTTCTGTGGGCTGCATGCAGCATCACGTGGGATGCAAAGGAAGTCGATCTGAGATGGCTACTCTGGCTGCCGCCGTGATGCGGTCACCCCATCAGAATTTAAATTTTTCACTTTGAATTTCTTTTTATCATTGATACATTAATTTTTTTTTTTACATTTTTTTTTCTTGAGCGCGTAACTCAAATGCATCGCCTAAATGATGAGTCGCCGAATTGTGAATTCGCGCTTGGGGGGGGGGGGGAGGGCGTTACACGAGGGACACCTTTATCATTGATTTTTGGGTCAGATTGCACGAGTAATTTTGGCAATGTGTGTAGTAAACCCTCCTCCACCCGACGCGGTTACATCCAGCAACAGGCAACTACCAGCGAAACGTCTTATCAAATTGTTAAATGTTATCGATCGCTCTCTCCAACATCGGTATGCTGAAGCAATAACTAGCGCGTTGTTTACGCGACTTTATTTATTTGGCCGTGTTGGGTGGAGGAGGGTGTATGACACGTTGGCGTTTTACTCACGCGATCTGACACCAAAAACAAACCATTGGTCGCGAAAGCCTAAGTGCTAAATCAATGATGTCAATACAGTGACTCCTCTACTTACGAACGAGTTAGGTTCCAGAGGTCTGTTCTTAAGTAGATTTATTCGTAAGTCCAAACTTTACTCCTGGTGATTGCAAACATGTTGTACGGCATGTACGCTCAACATGGGGAATGGCTTTAAATGTTGTATAATCACCTGGAGATGCCACTGGATCTTCATGCTCTGCAGATGCGGACGCCACCACCGCCATCTATTGCGCTGCGATTGAACTTACGACTCTCAGTCCGAACAGGCAACTGGACGTAAAAGACAGGTTTTGTTCGCATCTCTGAAAGTTCGTAAGCCTAATGTTCGTAAGTAGAGGAGTCCATATACTTGTCCCTTTCTCCGCTCGTGTTATTAGAGAGCGCACGCATCCTGGAACGAGGCTGCGACCACGTGACACGTGCGGTGCAGGAGGCGTGGAGGCGCGCGCGCTCGGAGACCCCGGCGTCCTCGCCCTGCGCGAGCCTCCTCCTAGGGGTGGTGAGCGCGCCCCACGTGACCAACCCCCGCGGTGTGAGCGGGGGCCACACGGTAGGTGCGACCCCCCACAACCCCACCTCCTCACCCCAACTACCCCACCCTCCACCTCCTAAGCCCCAAACCCTATACCACTTGGCACTTTCTCACCCGCGCATGCAAATATGTACCTACCTTAGAGAGTCGGGTTACGAAAAGTCAGAAGCCACTGGTCAGGAGGAGCTTTATTAGTCGGAATTCGATCAATACATTGGCACGTACAATAAGTAATACCGTCATATTATTGTAGATGTGACAATGCTGTCGGGTCGTGGCGGGTTAATGAGAATAATTTTGGTATTAAATTTCCACGTGGCCTAACCCAAAAACAAATATGGATCGACCGACACTATTGGCATTATCCGCAACATTATTAGTGGCAGAAGCGTAATCACTATCATCATCAGCAGCATTATCACGAGTATCATCAGGATCAAGTTCACATCTTCACTTGTTGATTAACTCAAGCCACTCTTCGAAGAGACTGGAGTCTGAATGGGCTCTCACCTTTAAGAGTCAAGCATTATCTTCCTCCCCTCCCACTGCCGTCTCAACCCTATTCTACAACGACCAGTCGTTGTAGAATAGGGAATATATTGGTTAACATTGATTCATGTTTGTGCAACATTTTACGATCTCATGTGATACAGTACTGTTTGCGCCAATTTCTACTTGCTTCATGGCTGTGCTTTGTTTTGACAACGGCATTTTGGTGACCCGAGTCACTTACAGATGAGACTATTCTGGTCTCTTGAGTTCTCAACTGGTTAAATAAACGTGAATCCCTCTCCCCCCCCCCACCCTGCCCAGGTGTACGAAATCCGCGTCCTCGTAGCGGGCCAGCTGGACTCGTGCCCGTGCACGATCGTGCGCCGCTTCTGCCAATTCCAGCTCCTGCACCGCGCACTCCTCTCCGAGCTGGGCGCATCGGCCCTGCGGGGGATCTCCCTCCCGCGCTCTCTGCCGGCGCCCCTCCCGCTCTCGCTCTTGCCGCTGCCTCCTCCGACTCCGCGCTGCCTCCAGCTCTACCTGCGTGCCCTCTGCGCGCTGCCGACCGTGCGCGCCTCGCGCCGCTTCCAGGAGTTCCTGTGGCTCGAGGAGACGGCCAGGGGGCACGCGTGCCTGCGTGGGGGCGCCTACGCCGAGGCCGCGTCGCTCCTGCGATCCGCCTCGCTCCTCCAGGAGAGGGCGGCTTGGGTCGCCGCGGACCGCGCGCACTCCGCGCCCACGCTCTCCGCCCTCGCCGTGTGCGCCAGGGACATGGGGCACCCACGCGACGCGCTCGGATACTGCGAGCGAGCGATCCAAGCGCTGAGCGGCGGGGTCGATGGGGTTAGGACGGTCGTTGCCGGACGGGCAAGGCCCCTCCGCCAAAGATACCCCGAGCTGTGGGCCCCGCTACTCCGCGCAAGAGCCCGGCTGCGCTGGGAGCTCGGAGAGACGGACGCCATGGACGAAAAGGAGGATAAGAATGTGGGAGTTGATGGGAGTGGTGACCCTCGCTCACTTAAGGAGGTCGTCATTGCCCAGTACCTGCGGTGATGGAGAAGAGGCGGTGGGGTGGGGGTCAACAAGAAAAGTGACGAGCCAACAGAAAGTGAAATGGGAGATGTGTTAAGCAGCAGAGGTGAGGATGGGGATAGAGGAAATGATCAGAATGAATGGGAATGGTGTTAGGGGTTTGGTTGGCTGATGTGATTTGGGGTAAGTGGTAGGGCTGGCATTTGGATGGCTGATGTGGATAGGATTAGGGCTAGAGTTTCGTTGGGTAGTATTTTTATGGTACGAGCTAGGGTCTAGTTGGATATTTATTCGAGGTATTTAAAGGGGGGGCATCTATTGGAGCTCAGGTGTATGCGTTGCAGACATTGCACATACCTAGCACAGACCTATACAACGAATACTGTTAGGGATGACCCATTAAGGCTCGCATGACGCACGTGGAAGTGGCGTGGCTATAACCGCGCCTTGCCGCCTTTAGTCTCCTTAATGCCGAATTCTTATTGAAGGGCGAGGATCGATTTCTGTTCGTCTCGTTTTACCACGCCCTTTGTATTGTCACTCGATATATCTGTCTCGTTTGTGCAGTTTCTCTTGCCCATTAGCTTAAATGTTCCGTCACATCATCGAATAAGATCGACGCAGCGTTAAACAAGATGCTGCGCAAGCATTTCTGGCATCCTCAAGGCAACCATTGTGGACGGCCTCTACCTCTGGGTTGGTATTGCACCCCGGGGCACGAGTGACAGTGGCCAGCCGTGCAGAACAGTCGCGCGAGACCACGAACCCAAGGCATTCGCTCGGGCCAGGTCCAGAACGTGACCTGCATCTGCGGTGAAGAGTGAGCAATGGCTCCTCGCTCACATCTGCTTCCGCTGCCGTCTGCTAGATGAGCCGTTCACAGCTGATGGCGATGATGATTTAAGCACCGTGACTGATCGTGCGTGGGCCTGTGCACGCATGGTCGTTATTGATTTAACTCGGTTGGTATGAAGGACACAGAATGAATGAAAATGCATACACAGTACCTTTCCTAACCAGTGAGTAAGTGACCACATGCGCAAGCTTCTAAAGCAGGGGTGGGGAACGTCCGGCCCGCGGGCTGTATGGGGCCCGCGAAATCATTTGGTCTCTGGCCCTGCCAAGGCAACTGCAGGCGGGACTCGAAATTCAATAAATCTAGGGAGCAAAACTGGAAAAACAGTTGCGAGTAGCAACATCGTCAATACCAGCTAACAATATCACACGCCTCACCAAAGAGAAGCAGTTCCAGCCAGCACATTAGGGGTGAGTTAATAAAATGTTTGACCAAATATAACAGGCTAATTTTTAAGTTGACAATTTTGTATGGCCCGCGAATGATGTTATAAATATCCAAATGGCCCTTGGTGGAAAAAAAGTTCCCCGCCCCATTTAATATATACGTTTTGTCCCCGCAGATACGCATAAAGGGGCCGAGTATGGAATTACCCTCCCCACCAATTCTTATCCATAGGCCAGATTTGTGGGATACGTTTAAGGGTTAGGATTGAGGATTTCGGGGTGTAGAGTTTGTGAGTTTAGGGTTAGGGGTTTGGAGTGTGTTAGGGTTTAGTCGAGGATTCGTGGTGATAAGTTAGGGGTTTGGTATATAATGTTTAGTCAGGTTAACACGTAGACTTTCGCGACCAATATCCACTACGTTTTTTGGGGGTTAGATCACGTAAATATAAATGTGTCGTTAAACCCGCCACCACCCGACACAGCCAATTAGTAAGGTTTGTCACGTATATAAAACACACCAATTCATTGCTAGTTGAGCACACCGATGTGTTGGAGAGTAAACCGACAACAATATATTTAGTGTTTGTGTTGAATGTTTAGATTAACACGTAGGCTTTCACGACCAATATCATCCATAAGAGGTTTTTTGGTATTTGTGGGTTAGGAGTTTGGATTTTGTGAGGGATTAGTGTAGGGTGATGAGCTTGAGGTTCATGGGAATTGTTGGGGTTAGGGTTTAGAGCTTAGGGGTTTGAGTATATGGTTTAGGGTTGGGGATGATGGTTAGGAATAGTATTACCAAAGCATTATTTTCTTGCCACGAATCTGGTGGGAAGTAACCTCTCGGCCTGTAGCAATTCACCGTTACCCGCCGAATCCGTTAGCAGTGCACGAACCAACTTACACGTGGTGGCCACGTTACGGACAGCTGCGATGACCGCGACAAGGCGTGGGGAGGCACACGAGACATATTTTTGTCCTTGTTTTTTTTTATCTCACGCTTCCTCTTCTGTGCCCAGTTTTATTGTCACACGCTTCCTCATCAAAATAAAAGTCTCTCGATCTTACCGGAGGCATGACGACTTGGCGTAACGACTCGGAAGTCTCGGGGTGGCTCGTGTTTTATCAGCTGCACACTTCGGTTGTGTGAGAACCCCCTGGTTGTCCAGACACGAGTTTAAAGTTTCGTTATTGAAACAGCGATTAGTGAGATGCTCCATTAGATATGAAGTGGGAAAGGTACCATATTGTAGCTGCTCACCCAGAGCTATAAATTCCCTGATAGTGCATTGTCTTTGTGCTGTTCGCCTTTTGGCATTCTCTGGTTTAACACTTTGAGACTGGGTTCTAAAGAAAGCTGTCTCTGGTGTAGACCAATCAGTTTCAAGAGAAATGCATATATTATCAGATCATGTTTTTTTCATTTCTACCACACACCTGCGGTTAATGCAGACAGGATTCCTTGCAAAAGGTTTATGGTTGGTGTTTTAACATCTTAACACAACTGTTTTATTGCCAGAAAGGGTAAAAACACTCTTATATTGTGATACTGGCAAGAAGGTCCCATATAATAAACCTGCTTTATCATTCTACTCTTTGATTTGTACTGCATATATCACATAGGACCCACTATTGTGACCTCTACTTAAAATACAATCTCGCATCACTTGACACAAGAAGAAATCTACATTGGACCCTGTTCATCCATAAAATAATTATTAGCATATATTTGTGCTATAATTGTCTGTTCATTAACCCCATCTTCAACCACAAGAAACCGAAGACGTCCATCTAATTGTGGATTAACTATCCCAAGAATTGCAATAGGTGACGAAGCCGTTGCCGTTGCAGCACCAACGTTTCGGAACAACAACCTTGTTTCCTCCCTTAACATCGTAAATCTTCCTTCAAAAATATCCTGAAGCAGAGGATTAGTGCTGGTCGCAACCACCACATTTGCAAATGTGATTTGTAACTTTGATTCTTAGCCGTGTATTGATAGTTAAATTTTAATATGCACTGTTTTTTTTTTACGAAGGGCACTGTGTGTTGTCTTGGTGTGGTCTGGGGACCACACCAAGTTAATTGCATCATTAGCGTTTAGCGTACGGCTTTAGATGTCATCATCTATCTTGGCAACAATCACGTTGCTCCGTTAACTCTCAGCGTCTCTGCTGTGCCTGCAGTTTACGCTCCCCTCGCACCCCCCCCCTACCCTCCCCCTCTCTGACTTATTTAACTGCCCTAACCCTGGTCTCTCTCCTACTTCAGTAAACAAAAAAATCCTTGCTGTGGTTATCACACCTGATGATGATTGCTTGTGTTGCAATCGAAACGTCGTGGGTTATTTATATATTTATTTATTTTTCACCTACGTGACTTTACCGAAAGAACCAAAGAGTATGGCCTGGGACTGTTTTGTTGACTTGCCCGTGTTTGGGAATTGATGTACTTAGAGGCCGTCCATAAATGACGTCACGCACCTGGGGAGGGGGGTCAGACATTTGTGACGATGTGTAACGAGAACGGGGGGGGGGGGGAAGTTTGAGAAATGTGACGTCACATCAAAATGCGCTACTTTAAATAAATATAGACAACACGTTCTACTAATTCTAGATTTGAAGCTTTCGTGACTGCAAGGATTCATATTCTTGGCTCTTTCGGTAAAGTCACGTGGAAGGGAAACAATAAAATAATAAAAATATAAAACAATAAAATTCTCACGACGTTTTGACTGCAACACAGGCAATCATCATCAGGTGTGAAAACCACAGCAAGAAATTTTGAAAAAAGTGGCGGGTTTTTTTAACGTTAGCACCACGGAGAGCGATTTGGCAGTTATTCAGATGGACGAGTCTATCTATGTTCGGAAAAGAGGAGGGGGGAGACGAAAATAATGGATGCGGTCTGAAAGCCACCATAAACGTGAACAATCAAGACCCGAAATGGTTTATCAAAACCTTCCAATGATTGCTAAGCCATAATCCATCTTCTCGGTTGAAATTGTCTCTGTGCTTGTATATGTGGATAACCTCATGAACGAATCTCTCATGGTAGCCAGATGGCTTACAAAGAACCTCTGTACAGCGATAGATGATGACATCGCTGTACAGCGATTCTGCTGTGACGTTTCCACCTGAAGACGGACGCTTGTGTTGCCTCCGAAACGTCGTGATTTAATTTAGTTTTATTTGATTTGATTTTACCTACGTGACTTTACCGAAAAAACCAAAGGGTACGTTCTACTAAATTAAATAGACTTTTTGATAAATGTTTTCTCCTACAACATCAGAGTGCAGCGCCACATTAAATACGCACTACAATGACAATAGTTTAAAGCGATTTGAAGCATGTTTATTTTGAGGGGGGGGGGGGGGGGCAGAGCTTTGTGACGTCATATTTGAGGGGGGGGGGTCTGACTTTTGTGACGCCGTGTGACGATGGGGGGGGGGGGGGGGGTCAAAAATGGTCCAAAATCGCATGACGTCATTTATGGACGGCCCCTTAATGGACATCCCCTTATGCAATTTGAACTTTAGACGTTTTTGTGATTTCCCTATCTTTCCTGTACTTTGCACTTATATCGTGTTTTTTTTGTATTGTTTTTTTGTTGTTGTAACTTTCTGACCCGCCCCGACTGGAAATCTTTGAAAAAAGGAGCTTTACAGCTCATCGGATTTCTTCAGGATAAATACAGAAACTGATTCTGTCTGTCGCAACCAGTTGCGCGGCTGACTGCTTACAGAAATAAAAAAACCACTATAGCAGCAATCTTGATTTGTAGCTTTCGTGACTGCAGGGATCCACACTCATTGGTTCTTTCGGTAAAGTCACGTGGGTAGAAAAATAAAATAAACGACGACGTTTCGATCGCAACACGAGCGGTCGTTATTGGCAACTAATAATTCGCGATCCAATAATCCACGAATCCCTGTAATGTGCGGTTAATTTTGCGCTTCGCGGTTGCTCCAGTAATCCGCGGAATTCCGCGGTGGACTGACCCCAAATCGCGATCCGTAGATTAGGGCCGAGCTAACGTGGAGCTTCAGGGAAAAGCAGAGGTAAGACTTACATTTTTTTAAATCTTATTTTGCATTGTTTTGGTTTATGTCGCAAAGACGTTGTGCTATTTAGCAGAATTGTGTTTTTTTCATATATATTTTTTGACGACTGTAATCGAACAAAAAAAATCATTGCAAAAACCCATATGGCAATATTTTTCCCCAATTTGGGTCATAGGAAAACTAAGTAATCGCGGGCGGATTCATTTAGCCGCGCTTCCCCTTGCGCTTCGCCACATTTTTTACGGATTCATTGCATCGCGTGGCTAATTCCTCCCTATAATCCGCGAGTTACACAGCGGATTCTAGGATCCGCGATACGGCCGCCCCCAACCCCCAACCCACCGTATCACAACTGGTGACTGACTTGCCTTGGCCCCCGTGTCTCTGCCGTTACAAAGGACCCCGAAAGCCCATTCGTGATCCTGCGGCGCGAAATCCACCCCTGTGGTGGGAAAACGGGAACCTCGCACCGGATAAAAAAGGGAAACGGAGATGATGGATATGAACACGAGGACGGTTATTTTCGGGAAATGTTCACGATGAAACGTAACAGTCTCGATCCGCCCTTTCGGACACTTAATGGAGCATTAATAGTTCGGATCTAACCGTCGATTCGTGACGTATGGTTTATTCGGTTTACGATACGAGATTAGATTTGTACGTGCAAGCGTCTATGATGTTCAATTCGTGCCAGTTTTACACGCGTTTTTCTTTGAGGTCACAGTCTGTAACAAATTGGGGGGGGGGGGTCATTATTTCTAGATTTAAAGCTTTCGTGACTGCAAGGATCCATACTGTTTGGGTTCTATTCGGTAAAGTATTTTTTGTTTTTTTTACGTGACTTTACCGAATAGAACCAAACAGTAAGGGGTCATTATTTTCGTGATAATTATAGCGCCTCTATGTTGCTGCGTTGAGTCACGTGAGCCATACATAACATTACCGACGCTGACGTTGGTTTTCTGAGTATTTTAGTGGGGAAAAACGGCCTTGGGCCACTAATCTCAGATCACAGATGCACACAGTGGGGACCCCTCGACGAGTACCCGTTGAATTTTGCCCGGCCATAGACGCAGTTCAGTTCCACAACAGGTGCCGAACCTGGCACGGGCACCTACACACACCGTTCCGTTCCAATAAGCTGCTGTGTTTCAGTAGTCAAATAGCCTCGGACCACTATTCTCAAATCATAGATCCCCCCCCCCACTCTATGAGTACAAATATAATGTGCCAAACTTGGCACAGGTGCCGACGTGCATTTTTTTCAATTCCAATAAGTAGCTGGGGTATTTTAATGGTCAAATTTTCTTGCGCCACTAATCTTGTGACACCAAAATCTGTTTTGGCAGTTGCCAAATTATCTTGCTTCGTACAGTACTTATAGAGGATACAAACCATCTCATTCCCCTCTGTGGATCTGTTCTCTGAGATTAGTGGTCCAAGGCCATTTGACTACTGAAATACCGCAGCGAGGTATTCAAATGGAACAACGTGTGTAGGTGCCTGTGCCAAGTTTGCCACTCAGTTTTATGACTGAACTGCGTTTAGGGCCGGGCAGCTTCAACTACCACACTCATACACTGGTCCCCCCCCCCCCCTTCTATGAATCTGTGACTTGAGATTCGTTGCCACAAGCCATTTCACAATTTTTCACTGCCCCCCCCCCCCTGTGAATCTGTGACTTGAGATTCGTTGCCACAGGCCACTTCACAATTTTTCAATGCCCAATTACTTGTTCGAAATGTGGCTGCGAGTCATAAGCCGTGTGGAAGATAAGAAGCCAACCCTCAGCATTGTTAATCATTTTAATGTTAGCGAGCGTTTGGCTTTCAAGTTGGAGGAAACCAGACGGTGCGGATAAAATCCACAACGCACACGAGGGGATAACGACAGGTCCAAAACCTACTCGCTGTGCTGCTATATCATAATACAAATTTAGTTGAATCACTTTGGCCTCCTATTTCACTGATAAAATAACATCCAGTCCACCAGCTGATCAGCCTCCTGAGCCAATCTTTTCCAGCAGTATTTGTCGTCGCAGCAGATTAAACCGGTTTCACATTTCTGTCTCAGCAGCGCATGGCCTTCTGAACAAATGAAGCAATTGGTGGGACCCCGGGGTCCCATCACTGCCCTGGGGTGGGAAAAACCGCGTAGCGACACGAGTCTTGCCTTACCGACAACAAAACTAGTGTCAATCGATTGGCCTCGTCGAGAGCTACTCGGGGCACTAAGTTTCGTAAAAAGTTGAAAAATTACATAAACACGTAAAATTCACTGCCTGGGGGGCGGGGCTCGCCTTGGCAAAGAAGCTGAGGATCGACGGCTGACCGGAGGGCGTCGTCGCCACGCGCGACTGCAGCGGACGCCCCCCGGGCTTGCGTTTGGCCGGTGGGGTAGTGCCCATCGTGTTGATCGCCGCCTGCTGGCGCTTGTTGGCGCGAGTCTGGGCGGGCGGCGCGTTGCTGTCGGGATCACGAGTGGGCGGACTGAAAAATTATAATTATTGACCTGATTTTTGCGGGACCCCGGGGTCCCGCCAAATGATTCAAATGCTTCCGGATTGTCTGGTGTTATTGGTGAAAGTCCTCCACGAACACCGTGGGGACTGATCAGAGCAGCACAGCGACATGACACAAATTGTATACATTTTGTCCAATGAATTTCATTTATTAAGAAGGCTGAGGACTTTTTTTCAGAATGGTGCTGCATTGATTGGGATGTCTGGCGAGTTCCTTTGAAGGAGAAAAGAGTTCAACATCGTGTAATGAATGGTCTCTGCATGATCTGCCAACCCTCAAAGTGCCATCTCGGCTGTATCGCAGGTGTGCCCCATCATGGCCGCGGCACGGAAGTCCCTGAGTGAGGACTCTCGCGGGGCGTGGGTACGTGTGCGTGTATAAAAGTGTCTCTCGCCAGGCGTGTGTGTATAAAAGTGTCTCTTTATTGCGAGAGAGTAGAGTCACATCACTGCAGAACCTCCCATAAGCCCGCTTTGGGTAAGGTTCACTGCTAAAAAAAACATGCAACACAAACTGCCGAGCGAAAAAAGGTCAAATCTCCTCCGGGGGGGTGGGAGGGGAACACATCTCGGGGGAAGGGCGCTCGTCAGTGAAGCTATGACCCTGACTCGAGTCCAAACAATCTAGACAACCAGGTTGCAGTTTTGGTCATCAGCCCAACCACACTAAGAACCTGACCCTAACCCGTGCCATAACGACACAAGCCCAGCTGACCCTAACACTAGCCCCAACCATAACCACACTAACCGACCAGCTCCTACCACTAGCCCCTAGCCAAAACCACTATATCCAACCAGCCCCCACCCCTAAACTTATCACATTAAGTCAACCAGACACTAGCCCTACCCTCAATCCGAACCATAATGGCCAATTAGACCCTACCCCTAACATTAACCACACTAACCGTATCCTAATCTTAACCATACTAGGGAAGCCAGATCCTACCCCTAACACTAACCATAACAGCCAACCTCCAACCCTAACTTGCCAACCAGTGGGTTCCTCGCACGATCCCTGATGCCAGTCCCCCCCCCGGCACCGTCGCCCGTCCCAGTTTTCATCGATTATTCGCGTTTCGCTTTTGGTCGTCACAGCTGCTGAAACTGTGGCAGCTGCTGCTGCTGCTGCTGCTGTTGCTCGAAGTGGCGTTTGTTGAGCTACTCAGCAGAGGAGACAGCTTTTCCCCTCTTGTACTGGTGCACCACAACGGTCCAATTAGCGTGCCGTTGGCAAATGCCCCCCCCTGCCCGTCTGTTTTTACTTCGGCCGATTTTTTTACGAAAACTGCACCGATGCCTCCATCTCTAAACGGTCGAGCGAATCGCCGAGCCGATGCGTGACGATTCTTGGCCATTTTTCTGAAAATTTTAGTCCACGTCTGGTTGTATAAAATGGCTCATTTACTACTTCGAATGGAAAACGAAGGGGGAATGACAATAAAGTGGCCACTGAAACTGATCCTATGGATACACTTACCCTACGTGTACATTGTCGCTTTACGCAATCATCCAATAGCCGTTTGTGTACACTCGCCGGATATGAAATTAGCCATTGGCTCAATGTGTACTATGGAACACTGGTCTTATGTGCAACCAGCCAGTGACCCAACGGTTATCTCTCTGTTCTCTTCCATCCGTCGTCGCATGGCAGGTGACGATGGGACTGGACGAATTTTTTCCCCTCCTTCCTTTCTCTGGTCATGGCAATCGCTTCCTGCGGACCTTCGCTTGCCTTTCGTGAGTCCTCTTCCTTCACGCCATCAGTCCGCCTCTCGTGTGGATGACCTCTGCTTCTGTTGCTCCTTCCACGCAGAAGTGCGAGGGCACCAACGGTAATCCATTGGTCTCCATTTTCCTTTGGCACCCAAATCAAATATTCTTTGAATCGTTTGGCTTCTGTTGCCGTAGCTTTAAAAAAGTCTCGGGCTGGCATGGATTATCCCTTACTTCTCAGTTTTCGTAATTTTCACACTCCACCGGATCCTTCTCGACCACAGCAACTTACATTACAAATGCGTCCATGATGTGACAAACATCTCAGACTGACAAAGAGCATGGCGAGAGGCGCCAGGAGGGGCCAAGCAAAGGAGAGGAAGCGACCAATCACAGAGGGCCTTAGCTCATTGGTACTGCTACCAGCATCTCTCCTTCGCCCTCTCTCGTAAGGGCCCAGTATTCAGTTTTGTCGAGTAGAAATAAGATGACACATTACACACTCCGTCTTTATATTATCTATACTTGTTATGTAAGACTGGCTTATGTTGCAACCAATCACTGGCTCCGGATGTACATGGTTGGCTATTGTGGGTGGCATCAAAACAGCATTGGTTAGTCTAAGGGTGCCATCAACATTACACAAGTACCATGAAGTTCACACTAGTATCACCACCATCAACATGACAAGAGTACGATCAACATCACGCCAGTACCATCAACTGCACACCAATATCATCAACATCACACCAATACCATCAATATTACGCCAGTGCCATCAATTTCACACCAGCATCATCACCATCACACCAGTACCATCATCATCTCTCACACATTCCAAAGTGTATCTCTGCTCAAACGACTCCTGAGTGCCACCTAACTCCACTTTTAGCCAGTAGCATAATTTATATCATATCATGGTGGAGACCAGCTTTTCCATAGAACTACTGTCGATATTGAAATTCCTGCAAATTGGCGCTTCATAATTTATTAACTGTGGAGGTGTGATGATCTGAGTCAACCCCTGAGAAGACTATGTATTTTTGACCTTTCAGATTATCAGCCGAGTGCTCTGACCCCAGAGACACCTGGATCATAAGTCCTGTTAAAAGCTCTGAGCCAGAGGTGGAAATTGCACATTCCACTGACAGGAGGTGAGGCAGATTATATATATAAAAAGCTACAGTGGCCGTTTCGAACGCAGTGCATAATTGCGCACTTTTGGCAGAGTCTCGGTTAAAAAATGCAGACGTAACAATAACAATTCATATTCTTGGTTATTTCGGTAAAGTCACCACGTAGAAGGGAAACAATAAAATAATAAAAATACAAAACAATAAAATTCTCACGACGTTTCAACTGCAACACAAGCAATCATCATCAGGTGTGAAAACCACAGCAAGAACATTTGAAAAAAGTGGCGTTTTTTTTTACGTTAGCACCACGGAGAGCAATTTGGCAGTTATTCAGATGGACGAGTCCATCTATGTTCGGAAAAGAGGAGGGGGGAGATGAAAATAATGGATGCGGTCTGAAAGCCACCGTAAGCGTGAACAATCAATTAAGACCCGAAATGGTTTATCAAATCCTTCCAATGATTGCTAAGCCAGAATCCATCTTCTCGGTCGAAATTGTCTCTGTGTTTGTATATGTGGATAGCCTCATGAACGAATCTCTCATGGTAGCCAGATGGCTTGCAAAGAACCTCTGTCTTGGAGAAGTCAGTGTCATCTGAGCCTACTGAATTATAACAGTGATTTGCCACGGCCGAGGTGTTGGTCCTACCGTGTTTTAGGTCTGTTTTGTGTTCACGAATGTGGTCCGAGACATGTCGTTTGTGTAGTCGGAGTAACTATTAGCCTTAAGAGCTTGGTGTACGTGCTTGAGTTCACTGGCTATGTGTTCCTGGTCGGATTTGCATTGGGCTCTATGGTGCAGAGTCTTGATGAGGGAATTCTTCTGGGATGGATGGTGGTGGGAATCCGGTTTCAGGTAAGCATCCGTATGGGTAGCTATCACTCCAACCATGAAGAAGGACCCTCTTGAGGAGCCTTTCAAAACCATCACTTTACCCTACATTGTGGGGATCACAAAAAATATCTCCAAAATCTTGAATAAACAAAAGATCCAGGTCCGATTCAACACATTACATAAAATCCGTGATCTGGTTCCGTCTGTAAAAGATGTGATTCCGGACATACAGTACCCTGGCGTCTACAAACTAAGTTGCCTCTGTGGTAGTAGTTACATTGGAGAAACTAAACGACATGTCTCGGACCACATTTGTAAACACAAAGCAGACCTAAAACACGGTAGGACCAACACCTCGGCCGTGGCAGATCACTGTTATAATTCAGTAGGCTCACATGACACTGACTTCTCCAAGACAGAGGTTCTTTGCAAGCCATCTGGCTACCATGAGAGATTCGTTCATGAGGCTATCCACATATACAAACAGACAATTTCAACCGAGAAGATGGATTCTGGCTTAGCAATCATTGGAAGGATTTGATAAACCATTTCGGGTCTTGATTGTTCACGCTTATGGTGGCTTTCAGACCGCATCCATTATTTTTCGTCTCCCTCCTCCTGTTTTCCGAACATAGATGGACTCGTCCATCTGAATAACTGCCAAATCGCTCTCCGTGGTGCTAACGTTAAAAAAAACGCCACTTTTTTCAAAATTTCTTGCTGTGGTTTTCACACCTGATGATGATTGCTTGTGTTTCAGTCGAAACGTCGTGAGAATTTTATTGTTTTATATTTTTATTATTTTAATGTTTCCCTTCCACGTGACTTTACCGAAAGAACCAAGAATATGAATCCCTGCAGTTACGAAAGCTTTAAATAAAAAAATAACAATTATCTCAACAGTAATAATGATAACGACGATAAGGACATACAGTAACAGTTTAAATAATGTGTAAACAGTGTCGCGTGCGTCACGTACGGTTCACGGGCCCAGATGAACATCCACAAAACTTCCACATCCTAAGCACCACTACTCCTCTCCCTTCTGCCCACCAGCCCGCCCGCCCACCGGCTTGAGAGTCCCCCCACCCACTCGCCCGCCCCCCCCACCCGCCCGCCTGCCTGCCCGCCCGCCCATCCGTCCGTCCGTCCATCCGTCCCTTGCCAGACTCTGCACACATTGAGTAACGCACGTATACACGGTACGGGCAGAGTTCATCATGCAAGTGACAAAGGGTTCCTTCAAATGATCCGATCCTGGGATTCGGGCCAACCGAGGCACCTCCGTGGACATTGTCCGCTCAGGGTGCTCCATTGCCATTGAAGCCGAGGAGGTTGCGGGGGGCCGCCGAGCCGGGCAGCGACCCCGGGGTTCGCGAAGTGTCCATGCTCACGTAGAACGTTTCCAGGCGACCTTTGCCCTTCACGTTGATGCTGCCGCGGCTTTCGCAGGAGTAGCCGAGCGACACGAGCACCTGGGCCGTCTCGCCCGTCACCTGGATGAAGAAGAGGGGCGTGAAAAAGCGCACGGGATGGGAGCAGGGATGAAGTTCTGCTTGGGTTGGTGACCCCACAAAAAAGAATATTTTCGCACCAAACACACTATGTCCAGTATTCCTCTCTCGCTGCTGGCCATGTGGGTACCAGTCACATAGACACCGGACTACAAAGAGGGAGAGGAAATGGGACAGGGGACCCCCCCCCCACTGACCGGACCGCGCCATCCCCGGTACCTGGATGCGGTCCACGGTGCCCGTGCTTTCCATGCGGCTTGCCACGTTCACCGTGTTCCCCCAGATGTCGTACTGCGGCTTCTCGGCACCGATCACCCCCGCGATCACCGGCCCGTGGTTCAATCCTGGGTCGTGGGGGTGGGGAGGATTTTTGAGTATAGGTCAGAGGTTAGATTGAGCCAGACACTGGCGGGTGGTGTCAGAGTTCGGAACGATCGATGTAAAGACTAGTTGACCAGTGTAACCACGAGGGGTGCTACCATTCATCGAGGTGAAACTTACGAAAAAAACTTTACTTATGAGGTAGGTAAAGTTTACAGGGTTCTGGCTGGGAGTAATTACAGCAGTGGAGGTGGCCAACAGGTGGCCGATGGTTCATGTGCTTCCAACTGAGCAACTTGCGGTGCAATTTGGCAAAATCTGGCACACCGTGGCCGACTGTTTTTCAAATAACTTAACGGGATCTTTGACGCCCGCTGTGTAACAGTTCATGTTCACTGCTGTAACAATGGGCTCAGCCTGGTTACCAAAGACTGCACACGCAACCATCACATTACATTAATCTACATTCGGTTAAGTTCCAGCTCTGAAAAGGTTTAATATTGTTGCGAAGGCCATGAAATTAGTTTGTAACTGCCATGCATGCGGTGCATTAGGCAATGTGGCCACTAGGCCACCTGGCCGCCGGGCCACCAGGCTGCCTCCCAGTGCCACCGCGTACCGACACGCAGCTTGAAGCTGTTGAACGAGTGGCGGTTGTTCTGCTCCAGCGCGCTCATCATGGCCAGCACGAACTCCAGCGCGAGCCCCACGTGCGCATTGCCTCGCTCCTCCTCTTCCCGCACATTCATCTGGGGGCAGGGGGAAGGGAGGGAGGGGAGCAAATGTGATCACGGCACGTGACACCCCTTGTGGATGTATGTACGTTGAACTTATTTTACTGTGCATGTAGCCAGACGTGCTAATTGGAGGGGTGTGGTCAGTGGCAAGAAGGGAAGATATAAACGCCAAAAGTGAAGAGGGGTTCGGGCGAATTGCCAGATGTGGATCGAAGGACAGGGTGATGGTTGTGGCTACAGCCGGCATCGAATTAGCCCTCTACCTAAGGATAGGGGTAGGGCTATCATCTGGTTTGATCTGGGTCACAGATAGGGGCTTGGCTTGGTGTTAGGGTCTGGTTGAGTTCAGTGGTTAGGGTTTCGGCTCAGGTTATGGCCAGGCTTGAGATTTGCCAGAATGGCTAGGGTTAGGGCTTGTGCTACTAACGTCTTGTGAGGGTTAGTCCATAACAGACCAGCAGTGGCCATGCTTCTTTATGCGCTGTAAAGAAGGGCCATTGGCTGAAACATGGCCTATAATATATATTTTTGCATTCAAGGCCACAGCATTATTGACAAATGTGTTGAGATTGTGTTGTTGTTGTTAATTGTGCTCGTGCACCACAGCCAACGTACTAGCAGCAGCAGCGGCGGCGGCAGCATCACCAAATAATGTGTTCAATTTAGTTATGGTTAGGGCTATGGGTAGACCCGCAGGGCTCTGATTGGGCTCGCAAGTCACAGCGGTAGGGGTGTATTGTACGTTGAACTTCTTTCGCACCGTACGTAGCCAACCGCGCTAATTGTAGGTGCGGGGGAAGGACAACAAACTAAAAACAAAAAGCAGTTTTAAAGAAGGGAGTTTTCAATCTAGATGATATTAAAAGTGCACAGCTCCAGTGGCTTCTTAACATCGGAAGGAAGAGTGTTCCAGATGGCCGCAGAAGCGGCATCTGAAAGCGCGCGATGCAGTGACCGTCTTTGTTTGATGGCTAGCAGCCGATAGCTGCTGCTGCGAGGATGACTGGAGTTGTCACAATGGTTTATGCTCCTTGATGAGATCAGCAAGGGGTGGAGGCGGGCTGTGATTAGCCAGGGGTGCTGGAACACGATAAACATCGGACACCCGACAAAATCACCCATCAGAGATTTGCCCATATGTGGAAGTAGGCGTGGTGTTGCCCGAAGGGGCCTGTCTTTGCCCATATATGGTCTTGTGGATCGTGAACCGAGGTTAATCGTATCAAATTCTTGCTCAGTCGATCCGGCGAGCCAGCCCCAAAAGTCGATCGCAATTTGCGGGTCAATCGCCGAGTAGATTCATTGCCGATGGACCCATGGATCGAGAAATCCCATTGGTTAGTATGGCGTCATCTGGCACGCCCCCTGTTTGTGATGGGCAAATATCTGCACGATGGGGTGACTCCCGTCGCTGCCCGTTTTTATTGCGTCACAGCGCCGTCACAGCGCCGCCGCGGCGGGGCCGCGCGCACCTGCGCGTGGTCGTGTCCCGCCGTCAAGTTGAGCCCCACGGCCGCCATGTACGTGCTGCCGATCGTCTTGATCTTCTCCACGCCACTGAACTTGAGCTTTGAAAGCAGCTGCGGGGAATGACAAAAAAAAAACACGGGACAAAGCCTGTGGTTACAGGGTGTCGCGTCTTAAGTTGCCAATTTAACGTTAAATCAGCGATGTTCAGAAGATGGTGTTAAGCCAACCTTGGGAGATGGAGCGATGGGATCGGCGTGTGTGACGGCACTGGGCGGATTGTTGCATCGCAGGATCGCAAAGAGGGGTTGCGACAGCTTGAGGAGCAATTCATCTAGATGACAATGATTACGATGATGATGACGATAATGGTGATGATTATTATTATGATGACAATGATTACGATGATGATGATGACGATAATGGTGATGATTATTATTATGATGACAATGACTTCGATGATTAAGATTGAAACGCTGACCACGAGGATGATGATTGGGACAAGATGATAAGTAATTATGGTAATAATCACAAATACGACAATGACGGTGATTATTCACAAGTGAATTTTGGGTGAGGCCATGGTAATCATCTGGCCAAACCTGTGTCATCAAGGCCCTCCACCACCCAACACAGCCATATAAAGTAATTGTCAAGCATTTAATGCATCCAGTTATCATTGCATCAGCCCACCAGTACGTTTAAGAACAAACCTCACAATGACATTTAGCATTCAGATACGCGACATTTCCTTTGAAACTGCATAAAACATCATCAGGACAAGATCCTGGAAGTCAGGATAACCACATCACCTGACCCAACTTCTTACAATAGGGGTCTTGACCCCAAAAGAACCAACCAATCAGAATGAACTAGATTTCAACCATTACAAAGTTATTTACTCTCATTTGATTCTAATCTATCTGGGCCAATGATTAACATAGAATGTATTATTCACTAATACTGCTTATGAACACATAAACCTGAAGCAGGATACGCAATTATTAGGTGAGGGCCTTAACGCACACGTTTGGCCAGATTATGCCATGACCTACCAAAAAAAATCCATTATGAATAATAAAAAATCAACACATTCGTGAACATTAGTTATTTATTGCACCATGAAGGAGGGCCATTGTCTGAAACGTCGCCAATTACATATTATTTTCTTTGAAGCCTACACAGTGCTATTTATGAATGTGTTGAGTTTTCTTTTATTTATTAACTGTGTTTCTATACCACTACCAACACAGCAGCAGCATCAATCACCAGCTAATTTTGTTTGGTGTGCCAGGCTAGGTGCACTTTGAGGCCACGTGTGCGGAAGACTCGCTTTGGAGGAGGTTACGGAACAGGCCCAGGCGGTGAGGCGGCCTACGGCATTAAGGTGACGATTCGTGAACACGACTATGACTTTGTGCCGAGTTAATCGTCATCGCCCTGCCCACCCAGAGCCCCCTTTTATTCTGCTCCTCCCTCCCACTCCTGCTTGTTGTCGTCGTCATCATCATCGTCGTCGTCGCCGCCGCCGTGGTCACCTCGTCGAAGTCGGCGATGATCTCGTTGAGAAGGCGCAGGCACTCGAGGCCGGCCTTGTTGGCGTCGGTCTCGTTGTAGAACTCCTTGAAGTCGGGGATGGAGGCGAAGAGGACGCACACGGCCTCGTGCGCTTGGTTGTAGAGATACTGTGGGCGGGGAGCGAACCCACACGCCGGAGCCGCCGGGGCAACGGAGAGAGGAGAGAGAACGACGGACCATCAACCGCACAATACTATCATACAACGACAACAACAACGATGACGACACCGCAATCCGATGTGGATTTGTAGAGCGTCTATATTGCAAAGTGGGCATAAGTAGTGAGGTTTCTCTGTGTGAGTCTATGGGTCTCTATGTTAGTTCATGTGCCTGTATTCAAGTCTATGGGTCTCTACGCGAGTTTTCTATTCGAGTTGACGGGGCTATATCCGAGTCTACGGGCCTCACGTGTGTGCCTATGGGTCTCTTAAGTGAGCACGTGAGTCAATAAAACACTCTGTCGATGTATGCAGCATCTAAACGCAAGCGCATCTCCACGCGGCATGTTTTACTGCATAGAGAGAAAGAGGCATTCAATCATGTGCTGAGGGTATAAGCAAGGCCTACAGAGGCAGGGAGCCGACAGCACAGGTTGCAGGGGGGAAGGAAGTTGTTGCAGGAGCAACAGATGAGAACGGGCGGTGGGGAGGTGGGGGCGGTGAGAAGAGGGGCAGCCCACCTCGTTGGGCATCTTCATCTTGAGGAAGATGTTGGCGACGTGAGCGGGGAGCACGTTCTGCAGCAGCACGCGGTTCACGTTCCCGATCATCTCCAGCTCCTCCCTCTCCTTCTCGAACTTCGTTCTCCACAGGAAGTCCAGGCGGCAGTAGTAGTTGTTCTGTGGCAACGGCAGCAGCGAGACTCATCCCGATGCGCGATAGTGTGTGTTTGTGCGTGCATGTCTGTGTGCATGCATGTCTGTGTGTGCGCGTGTCTCTATGCGTGTGTCTGTGTGTGTCTCTCTTCATAGGTGCTCGCTAACAGAACTTGCCCCAACAGTCTGTTAAGGCTATACGGGGGGGGGGGGGGGGGGGGTTGTCTATGGGTGTCTCCATGCGTGTGTCTGTCTATGTGGATGTGTCTGCCTATGATCCATCCTGGGTTTAACCAAGTTGGATTTTGTGATGAGCTCATAAATCAATCTTGATTTGTTAATAAATCTTTGAAAGATCTGGACACATTACCGTCAGTGAGCTCCTCTAGTGGGCAAGGCTGCATTGGCTGGGTCATGTAGCCTGCATACACAGCCAGCACATACCCAAGAAGCTTCTGTTTGGCCAGATATAGGGGGCTAAATGGCCACAGCAGGTTGTGGAGCTGAGTGGACTTGCCGATGACTGTTACCAGCGGTATCAAGATCGGCTTCGATGGAGGAGGCTTGTGAAGGACGCTACTGGGCAGTTGTACGCAGTCGCCCTCCAACAACAGCGAAGGGCAGAGGAGTGACGCTCAAAACAATGAGCGGAATGCAGGGTGACGAAAATGCAGCGAATTGCCCGATGATGCTGGATGTAATTACCAGCGAAACGTCGTATTCAAACTGTAAATGTGGATTCACTCTTCAACGCACCGGTGTGGGCTAAAGTAGTGAACTAATTGTCTTTTGTCAACGTGACACTTTTTTTGCTGATTGGCCATGTCGGGTGGTGGAGGGTTACGACACATTTATAAATAACGCGATCTAACCCAAAAACCTTTATTATGAATAATATCGGTCGTGAAAGCCTCCCACGTGTTAAACCCAAGATGCAGCAAGTTGCCACAATAGGGGGCACAGGTGGTGCACCTGCCAGTTAGCGAATCAACCCACGGCACCTGGGTCTGTCCCGTGACCTTTCAGTGAGCCTTTGACACTTCACGTGTCCTCGGACTGCACCTGGCCTGGCACAAGCGCCGAGGTGATGTCACCGCTACTTTGTGGCGAATGGTGGCTGTTGTTGTGTCTGTATATGTTTTTTGTGTATCCATAGGTGCTCGCTAACAGAACTTGCCCTAATAGTCTGTTCAGGCTATACGGGGGATCTTTGTCTTTGTGTGTATCTTTGTGCATCTCTCTCCGTTGATCTGTGTGTGCAGCTTTATTTGGTACTTACACGAGTGCCCGGTATGGTTTGTAAACATATGACGAGGTCGAAAGACATAGACGGTCCAGCGTACATGACTGGTTACACCACCCACCCTCTCATGAGCTGCAGTGGCCTTAATAGGTGCTTGCCAATTAAACAGATGACGCCCGGCACACACACCTGTCTGGCGAGGAAGACGAGGGTGACGAGGAAGACAAAGATAGCGACCACGCCCATGATCTTTATGTCCTTGAGCACGGAGATGCCCCTGCAGAGCCACACGCCAACGGCGTCACCCCCCGTATGCACAGCCACACACAGCATCACCCCTCCTCGTACGCACAGCCTCACGCACACAGCGTCACCCCTCGTATGCACAGCCACACGCATACAGCATCACCCCTCCTCGTACGCACAGCCTCACGCACACAGCATCACTCCTCCTCGTATGCAGAGCCACACACGTACAGCATCACCCCTCGTATGCACAGCCACACACATACAGCATCACCCCTCCTCGTACGCACAGCCTCACGCACACAGCATCACCCCCCGTATACACAGCCACACGCGTGCGGTGTGGTTACGACCATTGTCAGTGACGAGTGACATCTAAACTGGTTCTGGGTGCTCCTCCCCCTTCACCAACACACACGGACCAGCGCGGTGAAGTATGGTCAAACAGCCACCATGGCCGAAACAGCGTGAGGAGGCCTTCGACGAGCAATGGATCGGCAAAGGGCCGAAAAGTAATTCCAAAACGACCAATTATTAAAATGTCGATCGTTGTTGGTGTCAAAGACTACGCCTTGAAACCGGTCACCTGGGTTCGATTCCCGGCCATGGCTAAACACAAAGCGGTGACCGACATCCCAACCGATCAGGAGCCTCCCCTCGGCAGACTCGGGCCTCAAAACGGGTGCGCGGCGCGGGCGCGTGAACATCGTCGGCGCCGTGGGCGATCGACTCAGTTTCCATCCCCGCACTCAAAACAACCGGTGGACGGGCGACCCGCGACGTACTTCGGGTAGAGCGACGTCGTGGCGTTCCCTGCCGCCGCCGAGCACCAGGCCGCACCGGTGCTGTTGGCGGCCATGGCGCCATCGGTGTACAGCGAGCAGGTGAAGGCGTCGAGCTGGAGCGCGTGCGTGCGCAGCAGGATCGCCACGTACGCCGCCACGGCGGCCGCCAGCAGCAGGAGCTTGAGCTCCTGGTTGACGCGCATGAACACGCAGACGCTCACCAGGCCCAGCAGGCAGCAGTAGACCGCGTACTGCGGGGCGGGGACGGGGGCGGGGGTGGCGGCAGGGAAAGGCGGAGGTGAGGGAGCGAGTGGGAGAAGTAGCGGGCGGCGGCGGGAGATGTTAACCAACTTGCCTGATATACAGGACGTCGTGGATTCGATCCCGACCCTGACATCTGTATACATGTGTAGTGGCATAGCGCTGGCTACTGGCTAACAAGGGGAACTGCGGTTTACGGCAGTACTGAAGTCTGCAGGATAGACACGAGAGGGGGGGGGACATCTCGGGGAAAGGTCACAGAAGGGGCCCATCGGGAAGCCTCGAGAACCCGCTGGTAGGTTCCAGAAAGGGGGCGTGGCCGGGGCTGAGCGAGGCCACGCTGGGAGTGTAAGAGGGGCCCCTGTGGGGGACCTCGTGGCTGTTGCTGGAAGTGGGATCCCCATCGTGCTGCTCAAGTCCATCGTCGTCGTCATCTCGTCATCGTCGTCTCCGTCTTCACCATCCCGGGGCGCCGCTCGTCAGACAGCCTACCAACTGTTCTAAGTAGTGCCTCCGACAATAGACGGTCTTAATAATAGTAGTAGTGTGCACCCACGTAGGGTGTTGTGTGTTATCCCGATGGTGCTTGCTAAATAAAGAAGTGCTCCAAGTCTTATTGTCTCCGAGTTGAGTCACTACACACGTGTTTAGAGTTTGTATGTTCTGCCTGTGGTAATGTGGATTTTTCTCCGGGTCCTCCGGTTTTCCCCTCCACATTTACAAGACATCCATTTCGAGCATTTGGCTGCTATAAATTTCCACGTGACAAGCCGCTTCGTTGAGCTATCATTTGGAGCCAGGTCGGGTTCGATTCCCGACTCGGTCGCGTTTCTGCGTGGAGTTTGTAGGTTCTCACTCCTCGCTGTTCTGCATAGGTTTTCTCCGGCTTCTCCGGTTTCCTCTTCCCATAGATAAAGGAAAACCACGCAATGCAACCGGCATCGGCCAAACATCCCAATGCTGGAAATGATGCTGCAAGTTAGGCGATTGGGGTTGCACACAGCAGCAACATCGCCCCCTATGGCGATAATGTGGCAGGACCCTCTTGAAAGAAAGTCTTGAGACTCAGCGAGACTTTCCTAGATAAACAAACATCGCAATTATAATAATAATCAACATAGACACAAGTAGACACGTGCTAATGGTCAAAATATTAGTGATGGGGGCATTAAGCTTAATTAACGGTCGTCCTGATGCATGGACACTTAATGTTGCAGTGTTGTTAATTGATCATGGAGGTGGTGCATACACTCAGTATTGAGTGTGAGTGTGTTTGTACGCATGCATGTATGACTGTGTGAAGGAATGTGTATTTGTGTGTGAGTGCGCGAGTCTGTGAGTGCGAACGTGTGTGAGTGTGTGTGCGCGAGTCTGTGAGTGCGGACGTGTGTGAGTGTGTGTGCGCGAGTCTGTGAGTGCAGACGTGTGTGAGTGTGTGTGCGCAAGTCTGTGAGTGCGGACGTGTGTGAGTGCGCGAGTCTGTGAGTGCGGACGTGTGTGAGTGTGCGAGTCTGTGAGTGCGGACGTGTGTGAGTGTGCGAGTCTGTGAGTGCGGACGTGTGTGAGTGCGCGAGTCTGTGAGTGCGGACGTGTGTGAGTGCGCGAGTCTGTGAGTGCGGACGTGTGTGAGTGTGTGTGCGCGAGTCTGTGAGTGCGGACGTGTGTGAGTGTGTGTGCGCGAGTCTGTGAGTGCGGACGTGTGTGAGTGTGTGTGCGCGAGTCTGTGAGTGCGGACGTGTGTGAGTGCGCGAGTCTGTGAGTGCGGACGTGTGTGAGTGTGTGTGCGCGAGTCTGTGAGTGCGGACGTGTGTGAGTGTGTGTGCGCGAGTACGTGAGTGTGCGGTGTAGACGAGACGTACTGGAAGGTATCCGCACTCGGCGGTGATGCTGGACCCTGGTGCGCACACGGAATCCTGGGGCAGCAGCAGCTACAACGACAACATCAACAACATCAACGACCACAGGCAGGTGACCGCACTAGACTGTCACGAGAGGGGAGGCACCGGACTACGCTCCCATTGACCTGGGTTTAGATTTGGCCTATGGACAGGGAACATCTTTGCAAGTGGCGTTTGAACTGGTCTTACAACTTCTAGAAGTTGACTCAGCCTTAAATGAATGTCATGCACGTGTGGGTGTCTGTATGCATGTGTGTGGGTGTGTGTATGTGCATGTGTGGGTGTGTGTATGTGTGGGTGTGTGTATGTGCATGTGTGGGTGTGTGTATGTGCATGTGTGGGTGTGTATGCATCTGTGAGGAGTGTGAAGAGTTTGGGGAGCGGTGGTGCAGCGGTTAGGGCACTGCACTACGAACATTGCTGACGAATATCTGAACTGGTCTTGGGCCTCCCCCAGGTCGACTCAGCCTCAAATGAGTACTTTGTGCGGTGTTTAAACATTGCAACCGGGGAGGCAAAGGCGGCCGGGCGTGGTGCTGGCCACCCACCGCCTCGTGTGCAGTGCCGGCCTTCATAGGTGCTCGCTAACAGCACTCGCCCCAACAGACTGTTGAGGCTACACGGGGGATCTTTGCCTTTGGGGTGCCCGCCCTCACCATGTTGAGCACGGCCATGACGAGGAGGGTGCCGGTGGCGAGGACGGTGAGGACGAGGCGCAGCCACAGGCCCCACGACGACAACGAGGTGACGTCCCGCGCCCACGCCGCATCACGGCCCTGCCCCCGCACGACCCCCCACGCCACGTTAGGGCCTCGGCAACAGCTGGGTTTTAACGACCGGCTGCATCATCAATCATTACTTAATTCTTGAGCTGACTGGCCAATTGGCACGGTTGGTTACGTACGGTGTGAAAGAAGTTCAACATGCATACATACAAAAAAACTAAATAAATAAAAAACGTTGGCTATGATTGAGGGCCATTGCCTCTAAACGTTGCCTATTATATATTGCTCTTTTTAAGGCTACACACGGAGTGTTGTTGTTATTGACAAATGCGTTGGGTTTTTCTGTTCATTGTGCTTGTGCACCACTGCCAATGCAGCAGCAACAGCGTCACCAGATAATAATTACCGATAACTATTTTGTGAATGACGTCACGTAATCTTTACCATCCACAACAAAGGAGGCGGAGCGTGGTATTAGTATGGTCATTGCACCGAAACATCGCCTTTATATCTTTATCTCTTAGGGCCATGCAGCAGTATTGCCAAACGTGTCGAGTTTGTTCGTTACATCACTCGCTCGGTGAGCTGATCGGTTGAGTGGACGGCCAATTGACCGGTGTAAAGTTCAAGCGATCGCCCACCCGATCGGTCGGTGGGGAGGGGGGGGGTGGCGGGGGTGGTGTGCGGAGGGGTCGTAGGTCACCATCAGCTTCCCCGCGATGGCCGTGGCGAGGACGAGGAGGATGATGAAGGCGGAGACTCCCCACGAGATCCCGAATGGCACCGTCCTGGCCCCGCCAGAGAGTGAGAGAGGAAGGATACGTGGCGACAAACATCGAGTTAGGGCCACTTCCTGATGGACCGGGGCGTCGATAGCTCCTAGTGCTCATCTCTCGTTTACAGTACCTGCGCAGAGCCGGTGATGGAAATTCCATATTACTATGGCCGGTGGGGGGAGGGGGGGCAGTGGGGGGAAGTATCTCTCCAAAGGACAACCCACATGCTGACTTCCCCCCAGAGTGAAGCTCAAAACATAGACCACCAACCCCCTTCTCCCCACGGCGTAAACGCTGAGCATGCGAAGCGGGGACCACTGAATCGAGTATAAGCAAAAACATAACTGAAGTTTTGTCTGATAAAATTTTGATTTAAAGCTTTCGTGACTGCAGGGATTCATATTCTTGGTTCTTTCGGTAAAGTCACGTAGAAGGGAAAAATAAAGTAATAAAAATATAAAACAATACATTTTTCAAATTTTCTTGCCGTGGTTTTCACACCTGATGATGATTGCTTGTGTTGCAGTCGAAACGTCGTGACAATTTTATTGTTTTATATTTTTTATTATTTTATTGTTTCCCTTCTACGTGACTTTACCGAAAGAACCAAGAATATTTATGCATTGCTCTTGAAACTGATTGGTCTACACCAGAGAGAGCTCTCTTTAGAACCCAGTGTCGAAGTGTTAAACCAGAGAACGCCAAAAGGCGAACAGCACAAAAAACAATGCGACGAGGCACAAAGTGGAAGAAGACAACGTCAACCGTGAGGCCACGCCATGAGATCATGTGACCACGCCATGAGGTCATGTGACCACGCCATAAGGTCACGTGACCACACCATGAGGTCACATGACTCTGCCACAAGGTCACATGACCACGACGATCAGTACTTCGTTTACATGAGGCTGCTGCTGGAGTCAAATGAAACAATAATTCATAACTTTAGCAGTGGATGTCAGCACGAGGAGGGGGGATGGGGTGCGGAGAGGCTGGGTGGTATGTGCAGTGGCACCGACCTGGGAAACAGCAGCATCTGCACGGCGAAGACGCTGCCAAACACCAGGGTGGCGCAACCGATGTAGAACGGGAAATGTGGCAGGGCCGTGTTCCGGTACTACCAAGATAAAAAGACAGATACCCCGAATAGCCTTAACCAGACTGTCGGGGCAAAAGCTGTTAACCGAGCACCTATGAAGGCCGGAATGGGACACCAGGGGGTGGGTGGCCAGCACCACACCCGGCTGCATTTGTCTCTCTAGTGCTGATGTTTACCTAGGCGAGGCCCAGGACCGCTAACTACTGCAGCACTTGTTCCCCACAAACACATACACACAGAAACACACACTTGCATGCATACAGCCACACACAGAGACGCACAGAAACACAGCTGTACACGTAAGACAAAGATCCCCTGAATATACCACAAATAGACTCTTTGGGCAAGTGTTGTTGGGGAGCACCGATTAAGGCACACACACAGCACGCACCTTCTTCTCCAGTTCCGCTTCATCAAACCACAGCGAGACGCGGTTAATTTCCTCCGTTTGCGTGCAATGCCTGCACAACATCGTCAAAATCATCAACACAACATCGTCACCGCCATCTCTTCACCGCCATCTTTATCGTCACCATCACCATCACAACATCGGCACCAACATCATCATCGTCAACACCATTATCATCGTCAACATCATCACAACATCGTCACCACCATTATTATCACCATCAACAGTTGTGTGACTGTGTGTGTCCCTGTAAAAGTTTTTGTTTGTACGTGTTGGTGTGTACGTGTGTTGACTCAGCCTAATATGAGTAACTGGTGCGGTGTGTGAACATCGCAATTAGGGAGATAAAGGCAGCTCGGAATGGTGTTGGTAACCAACCCCCTTGTGTGCTGTGCCAGCTTCCATAGGTCCTCACTAACAACTCTTGCCCCAACGGTCTGTTAAGCCTATACGGGGGATATTTGTCTTTGTGTATGTGTAAATGTTTGTGTGGTAGAGGGGAGTGGTAGTGCAGTGGTTGGCGCACTGCGCTACAAAACCGGCAACCCGAGTTCAATTCCCACTCGTGGACAACACCAGCTATGATTTAGCTGAACTAGGCTTGAGCCTACCCTACGTTGAATAGGCCTCAAATGATGTGTAAACATTGCCACGGGAGAGACAAAGTCAGCTGGGAACGGTGCTGCCAACCAACCCCCTCGTCTGCTGTGCCAGGCTTCATAGGTCATTCCTAACAGCACTTCCCCAACAGTCTGCGAAGGCTATATGGGGAATCTTTGTCTACTTGTCGCTGTGCGTGCAGTTCCTGTCGGGGGCTCGCACCACTGTGAGTTGATCGCCGCAATTTCTTGGGTCATTTTCTGCCGAACTCTGTCCTCAACCATTTTCTGTGACTTTGCCCTGCGCAGACAAGCACACACACACACACACGTGCACACACACATGTGCACACAAAACAAAGATCCCCCGTATAGCCTTAACAGACTGCTGGGGCAAGTGCTGTTAGTGAGCAGCACCTATGAAGGCCGGCACGGCACATGAGGGGGTGGGTGGCCAGCACCACGCCCGACCACCTTTGTCTCCCCAGTGGCGATGTTTACACATCGCACCAGGTGACTCATTTGTGGCCGAATCAACCTAGGGGAGTCCCAAGACCGGTTCAGATAATCGTCACTGGTGTTGGCCGTGAGCGGGAATCGAACCCGGGTTGCTGGGTTCGAAGCACAGCGCGCTACAACGACAACCGCAATTTGGTGACATCACCACAGAGCGTGTGGCAGGCTAGGTGCACTTTGAGGCTGTCACATGAAGAGTAGAAGGCTCTCGCTGCTGGATGGAAAGTGATCGAAATCAGAAACAATAGTAAAAGGGACGGTAAGAATCCGATCAGGTTGTTATAATAATAACAACCTGACCTTAACTACAATTGTGGCCTCAATTGGTGACAATTCAAGCAATCACTGGTAGGGTGAATCATTAAAAAAACCACTTCGTACCCATTACATGCCTATCGTATATAAACACTAATTAATTGGCTGAAAACATCACGTTGGCAGCGTCGGAACTTCACCGCGTGGCAGCTGCTGCCTCCCCTGCTCGTTTGTGGTTCCTCCTCGTGCCTCACTCTGAATCGCCCCCCCCCCCTGTAAGTTGTCCTCTCTCGCTCTCTGTCGTTCCCTCTCTCTTGCTCTCCGAGTCGCCCTCTCCGTCTCTCTACGAGAGCGATAAGCAAGCACTATGCGGCGGCGTGTTACAAGGTGAACACTATTATTACATAGAAATAATTATCATCAATTAAAAATAATTCATCTCTCCCAGCGGGGAGGGGGCTGTGTGGGCATGTGAGAGGAGGGGCCGTGACCACACCTGTGGAGCTTCTTGTTGCCGTTGGCTGGCGTGAGCGGAATCCCCTGGAGAGACGGAGGGGGGCGGGGGGGGGGGGGCACCAGGGGAGGGAGAGGGGGGGAGAGACAGGGAGGGAGGAGAGAGAACCGGGTAAGTGGTTTCAGCGACTGAACTCGGGGCTCTACGTAGGCCTACGGGTCTCTAGATTGAATACTTTAGGACTGCTTTTTTGTGTTTAGCTTGTTGTCCTTACCCCGCACCTTCCATTAGCATGGTTGGCTACGTACGTTGCGAAAGAAGTTCAACATAAATACGTACATACGAGTCCATGGGCCTTTGCATAATGGACCGAATCGATCGACGTCAAAAAATGGGCTGCCCATGTACGCGCTTGTACACAAGAGTACGCGCTGCGCGGCACTATGTGTCTGTGAGTCTCTCTGTAACACTAACATAGACGCACGTGCACAAGTGGGAGGGGTGACCTCTGGCTGACCCCAGGCTGACCAATAACTGACCCCTGACTGGTCCCCGGCTGGTCCCTGACTGACCCCTGGCCGACCCCTGACTGACCCTTGGCTGGTCCCTGGCTGACCCCTAGCTGATCCTTGGCTGGTCTCTGGGTGGTCCGTATCTGACCCCTGACCGACCCCTGACCGACCCCTAGCCAACCCATGGCCAATCCTGGCTGACCCCAGGCTGACCCCTGCCTAAACCATGGCCGACCCCTGGCTGACCTTGTCTTTGCTCTCCGAGACGATGCTCTCGCGGTGCCCGAGCAGGACGAAGGGTTTGGCTGCGCCCCACGTGCCCAGGTAGTTGGTGACGCGCACCGACGTGCGCCCACGCGAGCTCGCGTCCTCCACAAAGCTGACGCGGCGCTCGCCCACCCGCTGAGCCTGGGGGGGGTGGCGGGTGGAGTGGAGTGGGGGGGCGGGAGAGAGGACAGGGGAGGGTGAGGGAGTGGTGAGAGAGGGGGGTGCGCTGTGGTCGAGCGGCGGTGCCGACGCATCGAGGGGCGGAAAGCAAAAGTTATCTTTGGAAGGGAGGTCTCGCCCCCCCCCCCCCAACCCCTCCCTTTGGATTTACAAACTCCTCCTGAGACGGCAGCAGGGATATAGACAGGAGATTGAAGTGTAGTGAGAGATGCGAGAGAAATGTAAACCAGAAATAGAGATGCAGTGAGATGAAAGGTGAGAGATACAGGCAAGGTCGGTATGAGAGAGATGAATTGGATCTCACGTTAATTGTCTAAATTCATGTGTTGATTGGTATTTTCATTTGGGTTGATGTTTGATGCACCCACAGTTTTATGAATCCTAGGGCCCCTTGAGCTGTCTTGGTGTCTGGCACTGCCACCGGCTGTGGTCACCATCATCACCGTCGTCATCAGCAGCTGTTGTAGCAGCAATAAAATTCTATACAGTAAAAGGTTAAGTTTCAGGCAATGGCTCTTCTTCACAGCACACAGAGAGAGAGAGATCTCCGAGTCTCTCTGTGCGTGCTGTAAAGAAGAGCCATTGCCTGAAACGTTCCCTATGAAATATGTTTTTATTTTCAAGGCCGCATGGAGTGGTTATTATTGACGAACGTGTTGACTTTCTTGTTGTTGCGCAGCAGCCGCAGCAACGGCAAACGTCCACAGAGCCGCGAACGTAAATTAGCCACACGACTAAGCGCAACCATGCGAACGGGCATCTTCCGAGTTTATTGTCGACATTTGGAGCGTGACGCAGGCTTTGGAAAGTTCACCCTTAAACGGCGCCGCCCTTTCGACCGGCGGCAGTGGCTCCGCCCCGGGGGCTTGGCGACCGAGAGCCGCGCGTTCACCGCGCCGCCAAAATGCCGGTGCCCGCTCCTCGTCAGCACATGCACAGGTGCAGCACCACACCAATAAAAATCGCATAGCGACGACCCGTCTGCTGCCACACCCGAAGGCCTCACCCTGGCTCCACTGTTCTAGAAGGTGGCGGGCTGCTTGGAAATGCCGCCTGCCAACCAGCAGCTGATGACGACGAAAAGGATTTACCCCCACCACCGCGATTCGATTCAAGAACGGATGAATCTTGGCTCGTTTACGGCCATCCGTTTGTTCTCTCCAATTCGATTGAGTCAGCGGACCACAACGACGCGTGCACATTTAAAAGTAAATCATCTTCATTGACATCCATTTGCCAATGCATTGCCGGATGAAGGCCTCCCCACACCAATTTCGTATTAGGGGTTGTCAGAGCAAACTACTTGCTGGTGAGTGCAGGTTGGACCGGTTCAGACGCCACTAGCCACCGATGTTAGCCGCAGCGAGCGATGACGCGTGTTCGCGCCAAGCGGCCATCGTGACAAACTGCGCGGCGGTCGTGACTGCTGACCTTGGGGTCGATGATGAAGTAGGTGCTGATGCCATGTTCGCGGAGGTACGCGTTGCGCTCCCCACCGTTGCCGGGCTCCACGGGGAACGCGTCTCCCAGGAATCCCAGCGTCGCCTCCGTGATGTGAACGCGACTGTGACGGGGTGCGGGACATTCAGGGGCGGGCCGGGGGGGGTACAAGTCACAGATGGCAGATGAGACATCGTCCGTTTTGGGAAGTTACAAACTTGGGAGTATTTTAATATATTTTCTGTTGTATTTAATTTTAAACAGATGTTTTTTTTATGCAGCCTGTTTTGTTATAGTCTGTGTTCGTTGTGCCGTTAACTGTGCCTCATCTCGCTAGCTAAATCAGCTCAAGGCTCCCGTAAAACACGTGACCTCTGTGTGTGACCACCCCTCCCACTGAACACCTCCCCCTCCCCGCCCGCTGTGAGAACAGACGGCGCTCCTCCGTGCAACCTCAAGGCCCTGATGCAGCCTCCTCCTCCCTGTCCTCATCCCTGCCGACCCCTCTGTGGACGTGGGCACAACTGCGGTGAAGGCGGTGCGGTGAAGGTGGGGCGGTGCGGGGCGGTGCTGGGCGGGGCGGGCTACCCGGGCAGTCCTCCGGCCTCCATGTAGTTGGCGAGCGTGACGTCGTGCGACCACACGTCGTACTGCCACTTGCGGAGGCCGATGACGCCGCACAGGACGTTGCCCGAGTGGACGCCCACGCGCATGTTGATGTCCACGCCCGTGTTGTCGCGCACCTGCCTGCGCACGCGCCTCCGATTAGCGCGGTTGGCTACCCTTGAACAGACATCGCAATGATTTAAGGCTGAATATCCCCTTGAGGAGGCCCAGAACCGATTTGGATGTTCGTCACCAGCGGTGACTGGCGGTAAGTGAGAATCAAACTCGGGGCCACCGGGTGGGTTGGAAGCTCGGTGCGCTAACCGCTGAACCACTACTCCAAAGAAAACAAAGACAAAGCCCCCCCTTATAGCCTAAACACATTTTTGGGGCAAGTCCTGTTAGCGAGTAGCACCTACGGAGGCCGACATGGCGCACACGAGGGGGTGGGTGGCCAATCACCACGCCCGACCGTATTTTGTTTCCTCCGTTGCCGGTGTTTTATACACACTCCACCAGGTACTCGTTTTAAGGCTGAGGCTACCAAGGGGAGGACCGGAACCGGTTCAAATATTGGCCACTGTTATTGGTCGTGAACGCAAACAGGAATCGAACTCGAAGATTCTGGGGTTCGTGGTGCAGTGCGCCGACCACTACGCTACCGCTCCCCACGCACGCGCTGAGGGATGGACGCCGCTCCCTCTTGGCACAAGCGCTTCCCTGGTACGTGGCAACGCCCCGACCTCGCAAGGATCGGGGTGACCCGTCCAACTCACTCCCTCTCCTCCCCCTTGTGAGGTATTGTCGTCAGGACCTCTTTCTTTCTCTCTCTATCCCAATGCTTGTCCCCTTACCACCGTCTTGCTCTCTCTCCATCGCTCTCTCTTCCCATGCCTCTCTCTCCATCGCTCTCTCTTCCCGTGCCTCTCTCTCCGTCGCTCTCTCTTCCCGTGCCTCTCTCTCCGTCGCTCTCTCTTCCCGTGCCTCTCTCTCCGTCGCTCTCTCTTCCCGTGCCTCTCTCTCCCCATTAGCCTCTATCCCTGTGCCTCTCTCTCTCTCCAGGTCTCTCTCTCTCACTTTGAAATTTCCTTCGTTTGCGAGCCTCTCCTGTTACCTCTCCCCCTCTCACCATATCGCCTGGCACATGTTGAGGCCCATGCGCACGCAGTTGTGCGCGTGCTCTCTCAGCGGCATGGGCAGCCCCGACACGCAGTAGTAGCAGTCCCCCAGGATCTTGATCCGCATGCATGCGTTCTCCTGCACACAGCCGCGCAAGCCCACGCGTCATCACACGTTACGCATCACTCGCTTGCCCCCGCTCGCCCGCTCGCTCACTCGCTCATATCTGAGTTCAGTTGCAGGTTCATTTTGCATGGTCAATACCACTGCTGGCTACCTTTGTATCCCCAGGGGCACCGCGGTTGGGAGATGTTAACTACCTCGCCTGGTATGCAGGAGTTCGTAGGTTCGATCCCGACCCTGGCGCCTGTATATTTGGAGTTTGCATGTCTCTCTCCCCGTGGTCACGTGGATTTTTCTTTGGGTCCTCCGGTTTTTCCATCCACATTTAGACTCGTGCGTTTTAGAGTGTTTGGCTGCTACTTCGTTGAGCTACCAACCATGAAAAAGAGCTCTGAAACTCAGTGAGCCTTAGCTGCTAAGAAAACTGTAGGTGCTGATGTTTTGTACACCGCACCAGCTACTCACACTTTATGCTAAGTCGACCACTCACCCACACAGTGCCACAAAGACAAAGATCCCCCATTTAGCTTTAACAGACTGTTAGACCAAGTGCTGTTAGCGAGCGCCTATGAAGGCCTGACACGGCACACGAAGGGGTGGATGGCCAGCACCACACCTGGCCGTCTTTGCCCTCCCACTAACGATGTTTACACACTGCGTCAGGTACTAATTTGAGGCTGAGTCGACCTAGGGAAGGACCAGGAACAGTTTAGATAATCGTGACTGGTGTTGGCCGTGAGCGAGAATCAAACTCGGGTCGCCGGGTTCGTAGCGCAGCGCACACACGCATGCCCACACACGCATGCCCACACATGCATGCCCACACACGCATGCCCACGCATGCCCACAGACACGCGCGTGCGCACCTTGGCGATCAGGTCGAAGCGGCCGAAGAGCTCGTTGAGGACGCCCACGAGCTCCGCCGCTGTGCACACGCTCGCCAGCTGCGTGAAGCCCACGATGTCTGCGTACAGGATGCTGGGGGGGGGCAACGCGCAGTGGTTATGGGTGGCAGCGTGGACACATACGGGGGCCACGAGCGGGCGGAAGGGCGAGATCGCGGGCCTGGCCGTGGCCGGCAGCAGTGGCCCAGGCATCGAACTGGCCACGGCGAGGGCCGGGGACGAATTAACCCGCCCACTGCGGATGTAACGAGCGAGCGAATGAATGAATGCTTTAATTAACTAATTAATGATTTATAACTAAATTAACGATCAAGGGCGTGGATATTTGCGGGACCATTGACAGCGGCTTTGGCATTAGGAGAGGCATTAGTCGAATGGGCATGGTCGGGTTCATGAGCCGCAGGAGTACAGACACAGGCGTGGTCGTGGGCAGGGACCACTAACAAGGACATGCCCTCCGCAAGTAACTGATGTCCGCCATAGTAATGTGGAATTTCCAATTGTTAATGTACTCAAATTATAAATGTTGTGGGTTTACTCCCCAACACACCGGTGTGCTAAAGTCATAATTAATTGGCATGTTTTGTTTACGTGAATTTACTAATTGGCCGTGTCGGGTGGTGGTGGGTTAAACGACATCTTTACATTTATGCGATCTAACCCAAAATAAACTTTATTATGGATAATTTTCAGCTTTGTAATTGGAAACTACCACCACCCCATGCTAATTAAACCCACTCTGACTTGTATTTGCATGCATGCCATTACAAGAGATCTCGTATATGTAAATATAACAACACAACTCGACACATACATCAATAACATTACCTCATTATTATTAGGTCTGTCCTCCTGTAACGCCGCATTTTCATAACTCGAAATGGATATAACGGGATGGATGTAGGAGGTAACACAGTTTTGATAAAGCAGACACGAATTGGATACAACGCTATTGAGTGTGAACAGAACTACGTCGCGCGAGCAGTAATAAGCGGTCGTACGGCTGTCTCTGCGTAGCATCGCACAAGGCGTTGGGATGCTGCTGGATGCTTCTAGACGCTACCCACGTGCCTGAGGCTTTGTTCAGCCTGCGTGCGCATCTCGCGTGTTAGCACGGACTGTGCTTTACCCTATATGATTTATTATGACGCGATATTTCCATAACGTGGTGTTCTTTAGGAACACAACTACCACGTCATGGTAGAATAGACTGTATAGTTGTAATTTAAAGGTCACACACACAGCGGTGTTATTTACAAATGTGTTGAGGGTTCGTTGTTATTGTTAGCCATCCTCGTGCACCACTGCCAACGCAGCATCTCCAAATAATTCCGCGCGCATTTCGTCGTCTGCCCTGACCCTTGGTGATGAAAATTCCACATTATTTGGCGGACGCCAGTTCCATTGTTATGGGAACAACGGCTGCCGGGCGCACCTCACGTCCTTGTGCCGCTTCACGTAGAGGTTGTGGAAGTTGGACTTCTCGCGCCATGGGGTCTGGGGCCCGCGGAACTTGAGCAAGATGTCTCCCTTCATCTCCGACGCCACATGGGTGGGGATCACTGACAGCAGCAGGCAGTCCTGGGGGGGGGGGGGGGGGCGCCGGGAGTGGTGGATGGATGGGCGTGTGTGTTAATCTCTCGGTCTAAACCAGCTCAAGCCTCCCGTAAAAAACACCTGACTTCTGTGCGGACACCCCCACTCTGAATGCCTCCTCCCTCTCCCCACCACCGCCCGCTGTGAGAAAAGACGCCGCTCCTCCGTGCAGCTCACTTCTAACTCGCTCCCTTCCTTCCCTCTTCTTCCTCTCTTCCCTCCCCTCTCATCACCACCACCACCACCCTCTCATCCCAGACATATTGGTTTGGTCATTCCTCCTCCCCCTTCCTGTATCAGCGCTCTTCTCTCTCCCTGCTGCTCGTCTTGAGCCGTGCCCCTCCTCTTTGTCTTACTTGGGGACTTCCGACCCAGCATCCTTTCCTTTCCCCCTTCCTTTTTTATTTATCCACGCATTGCATCCTTGACTCTCCTGCTCTTTCTCACGATGAGCAACGGTTAAAGAGATTCATAATTATAATAAAATCAAGTTACAACGCGGACAGTATTCACTCACTCTCGAGGAATGAGCGACTCAGAGGCGTGAGGAGAAACCACAGACAAGTGGGAAGGCAGCAACAAGGCGGTGAGCCGGTGCGAGCAACAATTTCCCAAGCTTTGCGGGCCTCGATATATTTAGATGTTTTCGGGCCAATTCATGGGTGTTCACATGTGGGAGGAAACTGGAGCACCCGGGGAAAACACGAGCATGTGAGGGTGAAACACTCCATCCCATACAGATGGAACAGGTGTAGTCTACATTTTTTGAGATACCACATTCTGGCAAGACCAGGGTATGACTTCTCATCGACACCCACGAGAAGGGAGTCACACAACATTTGTGCGGCGATCCACCAACCCTTGCCGCTGCCTCCACAGTTTTGGGTTACAAACAGCCAAGTTCAGCGTAGCCGCCACCACCACCGCTGCCGCCTGGCTGCGCCACGCGAGACCCAATCCGTACCGGGTCCGGCTCTGGCCCCGGCCGGTCAGTGGCGCAAACCACATCATTTTCAAAAAGCACCCAAGTTCACCAATCGCCTGTAACTGCTTTGTCCACATCTGAGCACGTAATTGCGTACCAAGGAAATTAAACAGCATATTCACTGACCGACGGACCGGCCGATTGACCGCCCGACCAATTGATTGACTGGCCAACCCATCAATTGACTGAACGACTCATTGACTGACCGATATATTGACCGATTAACCGACTGATCGACCAACTGACAAATTAACCGATTGACCGAGTGACCGTGCCCACACCTGTCTGCGCTTCTCAGCCTCAAGCTGTGCCTTGCTGTACACGTAGTTGTAGGTCTCGCTGTAGGTGTGCCGCAGCGCCAGCTCCACCATCCACTTGTGGTAGGCGCCGACCAGGTTCCCGCACACAAAGATCACCGCGTTCGCCACCAGCTAAAGGTCACGGGGGTCATGGGGGTCACAAGGAAAGATGGTGGGGGGGGGGAGATTGCAGTGTGTGGAGGTGTGAGCTTCGTGCGTGACGGCTGTGGTGAGGAGTCTGTAGAGTTCTCAGCGGTGTTGTGGTGGTGGTGGTGGTGAGCGGCGTGCGTGGTGGTGATGGTGATGATGGTGAGGAGTGTGCGGGGGCTGGGGGCACCCGCTCACCTGTCGGGCCAGGATCCCGCGGTCCGCGGTTCGCAACCCCACGTAGATCGCCGTCGTGATGATGTGGGAGAGACACGTCACCGATCCAGCGATCACCGCCTCCCTGAGCCTCAGTGGCAGCATCGTGTAGCTCACGAAGATGATGTAGAGGAAGATCCATACCTTGGAGGGTGGGAAGGGAGATCGAACATGACACGTGTGTGTGTGTGTGGTCCGTTTGTGTTGTGTCTGTCACTGCACACTCCTCTTTCTTTGTCCGTCTCGTGGGGAGCGGTAGTGCCACGGTTAGCACGCTGAGCTACGAACCCGGCGACCTAAGTTCAATTGCCGTTCACAGCCCACACCAGTGACGATTATCTGAACCGGTCCATGGCCTCTCCTAGGTCCACTCAGTCTCAAATGAGTACCTGGTGCGGTGTGTATACTTCAGCACTGGGGAGACAAAGGCGGCCGGGCGTGGTGTTGGCCACCCACCCCCTCGTGTTCCTTGTCAGCCTTCATAGGTGCTCACTATCAGCCCTTGTCCGAACAGTCAGTTTTCAGGCTCTACAAGAGATCTTTGTCTGTGTGTGTCTATCTGACTGTCTGCGTCCGTCTATGCATGTCTTTTTCTCTACCAATTTGGGGGAGAGGGGAGAGACAGTGGAGTGCGTTTAGGAAAATAGAGTGAGACGAGAGGGAAGAGGTATGAGAGTGAGTGGAGGGGAGTAGAGTGAGACGAGAGGTAGGAGAGTGCGTGGAGGGGAGTAGAGTGAGATGGGAGGGGAGAGATAGGAGAGTGCATGGAGGGGAGTAGAGAGATGAGAGGGGAGAGATTGGAGAGTGCGGAGGGAAGTAAAGTGAGACGAGAGGGGAGAGGTAGGAGAGTGCGTGGAGGGGAGGAGATTGAGATGAGAGGGGAGAGGTAGGAGGGTGTGTGGATGTCAACACAGTGAGATAAGAGGGGTGGGGGTGGAGTAGAGGAGACCCCAGGGACGATCGCAAATCCAGCAAGTCCACTCCACCTCACCTGGTCCCAGGCCGAGACCACCACTCCGCTGCTGAACATGAAGAGGAAGGCCCCGGCCATCATGAGGGCCCACACGACGACGGAGGGGAGCGGGGCGGAGCGGCGCAGCGAGTCCCCGAAGCACGCGACCAGCGGCAACAGCAGCATGAAGATGGCCAGTCCCGCGCTCACTGTGGCCAGGAACATCACCTGCTTGGCCGGGGTCTGCGGCCCATGGGGAAGAGGCGGGAGTAGTGCGGAGGGCGGGTGGGAACCAGAGTGAGCAGGACAGGGAGGGATGCATACGGGACACGGCGTTGAGATAATACCGCGGAAAATGAGGAGGCTGGGTGGCTCGAAGTATCAGAGATGCAGAGCCGGCAACTGCTGAGAACCTGGGTTCGAATCCAGGTCCTCGGCCGCCCATGACGAAACCGTATTCTCAAGTGAAGCGAGTTGATGGTCTCAGCCTGGTCACCGGTGATGCCCATAGAGACCCACAGACTCGCCAAGGGAACCACAGACTCGCATAGAGACCCACAGGCACACACTGAGACCACAGACTCACACAAACTGAGATGTGATTAATCCGCATTCCGAAATGTAATGAGTTGATAGTCCCAGCCCGGATCACCAATTTTTGCACGAAAAAACATCAAATAAATTTTGGTTCTGCGCTTAATCTGGATAAACTCCAGCACGGAGGATAAGAATGGCTGTGTGACTGTCGTGCAATAAACATTACTCTCAGGGGCAACCCGGGGGTGGGGGGGGGGGGAATGCCACCGCCTTTACTATGGCACTTGAAGAAGGGATCTCAGAGGAAGCTCTGTGGGGTCCGCCTCTGTGGGCTGTTCTCTCACACCATGTGTTGCACAGTGGTCGAAAGGGTTCTGAGTGGATTCTCTGTCCTGTGACGGTACGCAGATCGCACAATTTGAATAAAGATTGTGGAAAAAGACAAATACTGTAACAACAATATAGTAATGATAACGAGCTCCGTGAGCAATCAGAACAAGCTCCGTGAGCAATCATAACGACCGCCGCTAGCGCATGAGATGGCCCTCCTTAAATTTCCATTCGAATTACGAATGGAAATTAGGAAACATTTCTAACCCGTGTACAAAGCATTGAGTGTCCTGTTCAACGCTGCGTTCTCTGCGCTTCAAAACAACAGCGGCGATACCTTCACGAGATACCGGCATGCAATCGCCAGGCTGCGACTCCCGCGCCGCTCCCTCTCCCCGGGAGCTTTTTCCCAACTCCATAATCGATCGTGTTTCATTCCAGAGGCAACGATCCTCTCATTGTTACTGCTCGGACCCTCATTCCGGTTTCAATTTCCCTGCTTCAGGACTCTTTTCCCACGTCACCGCTCACCTCCCACCCAGGTCTCAAATTCGCCCACTGGTCCCGAACAACGTCAGTCCGACGCATCCGTCAATAACTCCATGGCCATAACATGACACATATAAGTAATGTATACACACGGAGAACCAGACTCAAAGACCCATAGAATCACAATGAGAAACCCATGGACTCCCCGTCTTAAATCTTTCCTCTTTGCATCGGTTGATCTTCTCTGTAAAGCTGATGTTGATGCAGAGCAACACAGACTCACACAGAGACATGCGACATGCAGAGAACCAAAGACTCAGACTAAGACCCATAGTCTCACAGAGACCCACAGACTCAATTAAAAACAAATCAACTCGCACAGACAACCATAGACTCGCACCACAATGACCGACAGAACTCACACAGAAAACCATGGACTCAAATACCCACAGAATCACAGAATCCCATCGACTCTCTGCCCATCTTTGAGTCGAGGTTCAAGACCTTCCTCTTCGCATCTGTTGATCTTCATCTCTGTAGTACGGTTGATGTTGCTATAGAACAACGGCTGTAATTTTACATAGAGGTGGTTCGAAGAGGTGAGATGATTGCAGTTAGAAGTAGTGGAGCGTTCCATCGCCGTGATGACGATGCCTCCTCATCCTCCTCCGTGCTTGTGACTGGGGCATTGAGTCTATGTCATACGTCGCATGGTTCTCTTCTAGGTGACCACAGTCACACGCAGAACAAATCATGGAACACAACACGAGTGAAGGCCGACTGTAGCGAAGGGCGCGGGCATGGTGATGAGATGTTAACTACCTCGCCTGGTTTACAGGAGGTCGTGGGTTCGATCTTGAGCCTGACGCCTGCTGTATATTTGAATACGTTAAATGATGATGTCACCCTGCTACTCTATTTAAGACCGGGAGCAAGTGAGGGCTTTACCATTCTGGCGAATTGCCCGATAAAGCTGAATGTAATTACCAGCGAAACGTCGTACTCAAATTTTAAATGATGTTGATTCACTCTTCAACACACCGGTGGGCTAAAGTAGTGAACTATTTGTCCTTTGTAAACGTGACACATTTTTTACTGTTTGGCTGTGTCGGGTGGTGGAGGGTTACGACACATTTAAATAACGCGATCTAACCCAAAAACCTTTATCATGAATATTATGTATATTTGAAGTTTGCGCGTCTCTCTCTCCCCGTGGTCGAGTGGATTTTTCTCCGGGTCCTCCCGTTTTTCCCTCCACATTTATCATCAACGTGCATTTAGAGTGTTTGGCCGCTATACATTTCCACCTGATAAGCCACTTTGTTGAGCTATCATTGGTGATGGCCAGGTCGCTTCTGAAAAGTAAAGGGAATACACCTCGGTGTGCTTTACCGGGCAAGATAAAAAAAAAATGTTTCGTTTTATTTGTACATATATTTTTAAAGCGATTTGTTTACCTTTCCTATAGTTTGAACTCTGATCGCGTTTTGTACTGTTTGTCATTGGAACGTTCTGACTCGCGCCTGCTGGACATCCGGATTCCTACAGTATTCCGATGAATGTCCACGTGACGATAAGCCAACTTCGTTGCGCCATCATTCGCGACGGTCAGCTTCGCGTTCGAAAACGACCCACATAGCTCAGCAGCGGGCATCACCTGCTAAAAATAAAAAAAAAATTAGTTTAGAGTAACGGAGGGGGGAAGGAAGGGTGGAAGGAGGTGGAGGGAGATGCTCTCCACCTTCTCGGTGGCGAAGGTGAGCACGAGCAGGGCGAGGCACGTGGCGGCGAGGATGAGCAGCAGCGAGAGGAGCAGCGGCTGCTGCTGGCTGCCGCGGTACGAGCGGTAGAGGTCGCCATGCTCGGCTATGAGCGCCGCCGCCGCACCGCCCCCCCGCACGCTGTACTTGCGGCGCAGAACCATGGGGGTTGGGGGGCACTGTGGGTAGTGGAGGGGAGAGGGGGGAGGAGGAGCAGAAGGAATCATCTTCACATGTTTGTGCAATGCAGTAAAAGCTTGGATTGCGAGCATAATTCGTTCCGGAAACGTGTTTGTCATCCAAAGCGCTCGTATATCAGTTGTGATCACGTGACGCTCGGCAGACGAAGCGTCTACACGTGCACTGCTCGTATTGCAAGACCTCGCTCGTTTATCAAATTCATATTTACTTAAAAATTTTGCTCGTCTTGCAAAACACTCGCGGACCAAGTTACTCGCAATCCAAGGTTTTACTCTGTATTCTTTATCGCGACTCCGCCGACAATTGAATTTGACATACAGTAATACCCCGATTTACATCTTCCCCCCTTTTAACGTCGTTTTGCAAAAAACGTCGTCGCTCTATTACGAATAGCGCGACGTGACTCGCGTCGCCTGTAGCCACGCTTACTTCGCCGACAGCGTCGCTCGTCCTTTCTCGTATACGTCACTTCTCAGCCCTCGCATCCGTCGTTTCGACATTCGTGTTGGTCGCACTTTTCAGGAACGCATCCCCGACGTTAACCGGGGTATTGCTGTATATCCTCGTCTGTTTACATAGCTTTAAAAATAGTCACTCTCCATCCGTTTACTGTTTCTGTAACTTAATTTTGTAATTGTGCTGTGATCGGACCGAATCTCCATCTGCCCGAGCCAACTTGTGCGCCGGGGAATGTACGGTTAAACATTGAAATCTGTTTCTATTTTTCATGCACCACAGTTGTTTTGTTCTGATTTCTACTTCCTTCTTTGCTGATAATTTTTTTTAATCTGTATTGCTTTGGTCAAGTTGGTTCAGCAGGTCACTCTATCCTGGTCTCTTGAGTTTTTGTTAACTTGTCATCATCAAGGTCATTATCAAGGTCATCATCATAACCTTTGCAGCAGCAACAAAAACAGTCTCTTGAACATGATCTTCAACATCACGACCATTATCACCATCAGCAGCAGCAGCTGCAGAAGCAGCATCGCCATCATCGACATTATGCAATTCGTAACGTGTGCGATATTTAACGGACATAAATGACCGCGTGACTCTCAGGCGCAGAGCCACAAATTAATTGTCGCTCGAAAGCCAGACTAAAGAAGTGTGGGGCCTTTAAGAAAGAGGTGGGCCTCATCATCACCATCAGCATCCCTTCTGACCCCACCTCGTACGACCACAGCATACTTAGCAGCAGCGTCCCAATAAGTAGCGTCACCATCATCACCACCACCACCACTACCACCGGTATTTGCAGTCATCATCATCACCACCACACTCACCCGTGATGATGATGGATGTAAAAAATGGCACGGACAGAATAAGATGTGTGTATATATTATTGTACTTAGTTTTCCAGAACAACCACAATTGTATAAATTAACAAATGAGAATGATTACAGAAAGGCAAAGTTCGATTTCTTGGACATGAAACGAGAAGACAAGACACTGAATATGACTGTGGTTTTGACCTGGGACATTATAGGTAGCACAAGAAGCCTGGGAAGGCAGCGAATTAAGTTACAGAAGCAATCTTCATTTGAAGCTTTCGTGACTGCAGGAATCCATACTCTTTGGTTCTTTCGGTAAAGTTAGAAAAATAAATTAAATCACGACGTTTCGATCGCAACACAAGCAACCGTCATCAGGTGGGACAACCACAGCAAGAACAAACTGCTGAAGTAGAAGCAAATTGAACTTTTGGATGAAACTGGGAGCAGCATCTCATGCAGAGTTGTTGCGTAACTATCACGGACAGGGCTACATGAAAGGAAGGAGGCCATTAATGCTGACGTCTCTGAGAAAGGCCACAGTGAGATATGGCCTTTAGAGAACGTTACAGGCAATGGCCCTACTTCAGAGCACAAACATGCGTGCGCTCATAACGACCGGAACCCCCACACCCAATGGCGGAGCCAGGATTTTCAGGTAGGGGGGGGGGGGGCAACCCCTCCAGCAATGAAAAACGATAGAGGAGTTGTTAGTAATAAGGACTTGTTAGTAATAAGTAAGGACTTGTCCCTTGCTTGTTACTCGACGCGTGTGCGGCGATCGAGGGTCGAATTCGAACCGCACTCGCTGAAGGTGAATGCCTTCAGGGAAGTCGTGTACTGTATACGCAACTGCGCACAATTCTGTGAGTCACTTATAACTGCTTTTCCGTTACTTATTGCCAATTATGGACTCGGACTATTGTCCTGTAATCTCATAGAGTCCCTGACACGTAATAATATGCTACACAGTGACAGTGGCAGTGGGGGGTCGCAAAATGCCGATTTATTACTAATAAACCCCAATGATCCGATCGAAATGAGGGATTTCAATCGGGTCATTGGGGGGGGGCACGTGCTACCCCCCCCCCCCACGCAGTGGAGACGTCACACCCCACGTGGCGTCTCCACTGCGCGCCCCACGGGACGCTATTGTCCACCTCCCGCCCCCACTTCAATTCACTACGATTTCAAATGTGAAATTGTAGCTGTTGCTCGCTCTGCATGTACATCATCTACATCATGTACATCATCATCTACATCATGTACATCATCCGTGCGACAAAACAAGGATTGGCCTCCTCCCTCCACCTCCCTCCCTGCCCTCGTAAATGCGTTCACTTGTCGTGCAGGCGGCGCTCCCTTTGATGTTTACTGCTGCGCGAACCTTCACCGCTCCTCACTCCCTGCGCCAGATTATTATTAATTTGAGACGGGGCCAGTGGCCACGGCCCACCTAAAGGCAAAGATCCCCCGTTATAGCCTTTAACAGACTGTTGCGGCAAGTGCGGTTAGCGAGCGGCACTTATGGAAGGCTAAGCGCGGTACACGAGGGGGGGTGGGTGGCCAGCACTGTGCCTGGCCACCTTTGTCTCTCTCCAGAGGCGATGTTGACACACCGGACCAGGTATACTCATCTGAAGCGGCGTCTACCTCGGGGAGGCCCGGGCCCGGTTCAGATATTCGTTTGTGGTTTCGGGCCCCCGAGCGCGACTCGAACGCTGGTCGCCAGGTTCGTGGTGCCACCGCCCCGCCGCCGAAGTCAAAGACGCAACGCGTGCGTCGGCGGGCCTGTCTCTCTGCCCCCGCTCGTGTCTCTCTGCCCCTGCTCGTGTCCCACTCGCCAGTAACGTCGGGCCGACCCACAGCAGAATTTATTGAGCACGCGCTGGCTCCTGCTGACGAGACCCAGACGGTGGAAAGCAGACCAGGAGTTTCCTTTGCTTGAGCAAAACGCTGCTGCTGGACTCTTTTGGTCTGGCGTGTGTTTTTTGGAGCGCATGCCGTTATCCTGCTTTTGCTATTGTGCGCTCCGAAGACGGGGCACTGCCCGAAACGTCGCCAGTGAGATCGATTGCAAGTCCTCGTGCTTGTTGTGTTTGGTTTGTTGTCCTTTCCCCCGCACCCCCGATTAGCACGGTTGGCTACGTACGGCGTGAAAGAAGTTCAACACAACATACATGATCATTGCAGCATGCCAGCTGTCATTCGTCCAATAGCACCGCTATAAACGGCGAGGGGGGATAACAAACGACGTTTCGGGCAAAGCCCCCCCCCCCGCCGCCCATTTATAGCAGACAGATCGGCTTGATTGTACCTCAAATTAATCTCTTTGCGATGGAGAAGGGAGATTTCCCGACGCGTCTTCTACATTGACCGTCTTTCTCGCTTTCAAGGCCACAGCGTCCATGACGAACCGCATGTCGAGTTTCTTTTTTTGGAACGCCAATAAAAGCTGATAGAAAGCAAATGCATTCGCATTTATTACGTGGGCACCGAACGCTGGGTCTGTATTTGCTTTTACTTTCACCTCCTGGTGTCGATAAGGGGCCGCCCATAAATGACGTCACGCGATTTTGGAAGATTTTTGACGACCCCCCCCCTCCCCCATCGTCACACGGCGTCACAAAAAGTCAGACCCCCCCCCCAAATATGACGTCACAAAGCTCTGCCCCCCCCCCCAAAAAAAAATGAAACATGCTTCAAATCGCTTTAAACTATTGGCATTGTAGTGCGTATTTAATGTGGTGCTGCACTCTGATGTTGTAGGAGAAAACATTTATTAAAAAGTCTATTTAATTAAGTAGAACGTGTTGTCTATATTTATTTAAAGTTTGCGCATTTTGATGTGACGTCACATTTCCCAACCCCCCCCCCCCCCTCGTCACACATCGTCACAAATGTCTGACCCCCCCCTCCCTCCTAGGTGCGTGACGTCATTTATGGACGGCCCCTAACCAAACGGATAAGGATCAATGTCAATGAACCCCCCGCCCCGCCCCTCCCCCCCTACCCCCCCGACCCCTCCCCCCCTGCCCCCCCGACCCCTCCCCCCCTGCCCCCCCGACCCCTCCCCCCTGCCCCCCCGCCCCTCCCCCCCTGCCCCCCCGCCCCTCCCCCCCCGCCCCTCCCCCCCTGCCCCCCCGTCCCTCCCCCCCTGCCCCCCCGACCCCTCCCCCCCTGCCCCCCCCGACCCCTCCCCACCAAAACGTTGCTGCGGCGCCGGCACCTTCCCAACAAAAAGTCCAACGCCATCACTGGCCACTGATTGTCAGTCGTGTGTTAGTGTGTATGTGTTAGTGTGTTAGTGTGTATGTGTTAGTGTGTATGTGTTAGTGTGTATGTGTTAGTGTGTATGTGTTAGTGTGTATGTGTTAGTGTGTTAGTGTGTATGTGTTAGTGTGTATGTGTTAGTGTGTATGTGTTAGTGTGTATGTGTTAGTGTGTTAGTGTGTATGTGTTAGTGTGTATGTGTTAGTGTGTATGAGTTAGTGTGTATGTGTTAGTGTGTACGTGTTAGTGTGTTAGTGTATGTGTCCGTGTGTTAGTGTGTACGTGTTAGTGTGTACGTGTTAGTGTGTATGTGTCCGTGTGTTAGTGTGTATGTGTCCGTGTGTTAGTGTGTATGTGTTAGTGTGTTAGTGTGTATGTGTTCGTGTGTTAGTGTGTATGTGTCCGTGTGTTAGTGTGTACGAGTTCGTGCGTTA